AAGAGCCTGGGGAAAGTGGAAAGAGCTTACTGCAATTGTACAGCAGGTCTACGAGTGTATTGCAAACATTGCGTTGCCTTGTTGCACTTTATTGTTAGGCAAATAGAGTTGGGATGCTACAAAGCATGTACATCCCAAACAAACCACATGTTCAAGGGAAAAGGGTTATACAACCTGACTTTGTAAGAAATCTTGTTGTGAAAAAGATTACAGGTAGATTTGATACTACTCAAGACGATTTTCAAACTCGTAGAAAAAGTCTCGATTGACATTTGAACCCAGAGCAATCTGCTACTGCAAGGAAAAACACTATCAGATTTTGACTTAAATAGGCTAAGAGAGATAACAAATGAAAATTGTGGTGTACTTTTATATTCTCCAAGAAGCATTTAAAATGACACTATTAAACAAATTGCAGCCTCAGATCAGTCTTATTTGAAATATTCAAATAATGGACAAGTCAGTCTCGACAACAATCGTCAGTATTATGCTCACGTACAAATCCAGATGCTACTACAAATTCTCAATATGCTGATTTTGTTGTAAAAATAATTGCAATAGATGACAATATTTTTATTCAAAGAATTGCCTATGATGCCAGGTTTGCCAAGAACGTTGTAAATAAATGCAACTATGAATGTAAAGATCAACCTTTGAGTTCATTGCATATTAGCATCACAATTAATGTCAGCTTAACTTTAACCCTGGGCCAGTGCCTTATATTGAATAGTACCGTAACTTGTCACTTTTCTATCATCCTAATCACTAAGTTCATCCCGGTAATAGAAGTTGCCTCCCCCTGAATGAGAAAATTACTTCAGAATAATATAAATTGTTATATTTTTTTATTAGTAAATTTCTTTCAATGACGTAAATATCTGTTCAATTCATTTCCTAAATAGAGTTGAATTCATAATTTTAAAGAATACGAAACCAACTAAAGCTAGCTCCTAATAACATATTCAAAGATGGCTGCGTCCATGACTAGCAACAATCAAACAAGTAAATTATGCAAATTTCCCTTTTTCTCTTTCACAAATGAAATATTTTGCTAATCATGAAATAAAACTTTGTAAGTAGTCCAGTCTGATCGTGTGATCGTGTTGGTATAGCTGTCATTGGTGTCTTAACACACAATTTGTCATTTCCTTATATTCTGTCTGGTGCAATAATTCAGTGTCTCTGTTTTCCCAACTCACCAACTTATTAGACTATTCATGTACAGGGAATAATTAAGTAATGTGTGTAGGATCTATGAAAGAATAGCTTCAATTCTGTGTTAACATCTTACAATAACTGAATGGATAGCCCATTACAATATTGAAACTGATAAGTAATTGCTGTTGCCTATTAATAGCCCTTGGTTTTACTACTTTAAGGCACTTTAGCTGAATGGATTTAACTCAGATATCAGCAGGATATTGTTGACTAATTTTACTAATAATTATTAAAGGGTAATAAACTCTAAGTTTCTTTGATACTGAAACTATATATATCTACTTAATAAATAATGTTGACAAACTTATGGACTTTGAACTTTTCAATGAATTCTTACTTTAACCTTTATGAATATATTTATTTGATTTTGAATGAATTCAAATATATTCAGTTGTGTGATGTAGCAGTAATCGCCATGCTGTATGTTATTGACTCTTAGTTTCCTTTTACGGACTTAAAGGAGATAAAATTGTCGTTGAGAGCAAGGTCTAATCTCTCTTACTGTAATACAGGTATAAGGTACGGTCATGTGAAGGACAAGGTCAGATCTATGTTTCTAGCTGTAATAATAGAATGGTTTATTCTTTTAGGCTAGCTGGTAGATCAAGATATTGGTTCTAAGAATGAAGAACTACCATTTTGACAGAAATGGCAGGTTCAAGTATTTTAAGAATCCTAGAAGCAAGTGTGATTTGCTGCGGGGTCACATTGGTATTACGTCAGACGGCCTTTCATTTAGATTGGCTGAGTAAGGGTAAGTATTAGGGTGTATTGAGACGAGTCTCAATGAAAGCACTGGCTTAGGTCACAGAGCAATATATAAGTCTATTAATTATGTGAAAATTAGTTAGTCATTAGTATGATTTTAGTTGAAAAGACACAAGTAAGTGTTATCTGATTCCATAAAGTACAACATGGAAGAAGTTTTTTTTACATATGAAGAGTTTGTGTGAAAATGATTGTATAAGATTCAAAACTTTCAGACATCAGTAAACCACTTAAATAATTGATTATTAGTTAATCTGTGATTTTTCTGTTTGACAGTTACTGTGATCCTTCAGTTTTGTATTTGTGTTTGGCAGCATTTAACATCTCGACCTCCAGTCAGCCATGTTGATAGGTGAGCTTCCTTACTTTCATTTTACTTTATTTTAACCACATTTACAAGGTGGAATTAATTTCTGGTACTAGTAAGATGTTATAAACCATGAGCTTTGATTTTTGGGTGCTATGTGTTGATTTCCACCTCCATGTTTTGATCACTAACTTATCTTAATTAAAAACACATAATTTTAAGATATAGTCTACTTACAAGCCGAGCAAGTAAAATGTCTAACTCTGCCACAGAATTTGTGTGTGTGTGTGTGTGTGTGTGTGTGTCCATCATTGACGCAAGTTTGATATTGTGTTTTTTTTTGTCTGTGTAATTTAGACCTGGAGCAGATGCTGGAATTCTTTGTTGTATTTTAATACCTATGGCAGTTTTATCAGATTACAATACATTCAATCAAATTTCTTCAGGTAAGTTTCATCTTTTGGAATCTTAGAAAATGAAAATTTGGTTTCCCAGAGAGCTTAACCTGGGATGGATTATGTTTTCTCACTAATAGAAATCAAACAGGATCAGCTTGTAAAATTAATAATATGTAGATGGCTTTTGGGTCGCTTGATTGGTGAGTTCTGCACGTTGGAAGTTGGAACAGAGTTCCATGTGTGTTGAAAATATAGTAGGTGCTGACAGAATTCAAAATGGCAGAGTAGCCGATAGATCGGAAAATTTTGAATGTGACATGTTCGCTAACATACTGTTCGATTGAGGGCAGAATTGGAAGTTCCAATTTGGAACAGACAGAACCTGTTCAGAACTCTCCACCCTTTTCTGTCTCATTTTATATGCAGTCAGTGAGTGAGGGTTTACCATTGTTACTTAATCCATCCTTTTGACAAAGGATATCAACAGTATGATACGAAAGGGAAGTTAAAAGACTGATACATTAAAATAAACATATTTATTTCTGAGTTCTATCTGAACTGGGCATTTATTTATCGAATTTGTATCACAAAAAAACACGAGATAAAAAAATTATAAAGTCCATAATACTGTAAATTAAGTCTATTTAAAGTTTCTTAATTTAAGATGTTTTCTCTACAATTTTCGGGGTATCCTTTTCAGCATAGGATTTAGCAGTATGCATAAATTTATCCCAAAATCCAGGGAAAGGATTCACTTTATCAAAGATGGATTTTACAACAGTCCACCACATAAGTCCAACTAAAAACACAAGCCTAGTCAGGGTTCTGACAATTCCATGTAACGAAATGTCTTTCTCTGGCACCTTCCTGGATGTTTCTGCTATTGGTTCTAATGGCTCCATGATGGCATTTTTGATTTTTGTTAGATATCCAATGAATACCAATAATGCTAAGAAATAATATTTCAGTACTATATTGACGGCTGCTGTGATGACTTTTACCACCATTTTCTTCTAAAATGATAAATTAAAACATCGATAAAACTTTGCTCGTTATAAAATTACGGAAATTTAACCATTTGAACCCTGAGTGTAAATGAAATATAACGTCATATACCCTGAACTCCAAGTAATAAAAGTAAAAGCGTATGACGTTAATGTTGTATGACGTCACTTAGTAATGGGCGGTATACCAGTTGCTCGGGTATATATTGCATTAGTGTGTGGACGGTTAACCAGCCACGAGGGTGGAAAGGGGTAAATAAAACATGTAAAAATGTAGAATTGATTGTAAGGCCGTATCACTCTATGTTGTTGTACAAGAAAAGAAGTAAGAAGAAATTTTCACCCGATGAAGTCGTCTGACGAGAACTAAAGCTTGTATAATTAAATACTTTAGTCAATCTTAAAAGGTGTCTGCTTACTTCTTTTAATGTAAAAATGTTGTTCACAAAAGAAAGTAAAGTCATATTTTCACTGCTTTGGTACCTAAACAAATCTGTCAAATGTCACTGACCAAATAGAGCCAAACTGAGAGTAGTAACCAGAGTTGTTCAATGGTGAACTTAATAAACAATACTCTATTTGTGAACCATCTTCACATGATCGCTGTGGTCGTATTCACATGATTCCTTTGTATTTTTTCTAAATAAGAAGGCTTAAGACATAAGGTCCTTTCTTTTTCTTAAATGATATTTTTATACATGAAACTATATAACTAGGAAATAAGAAAATAAATCTGAAAAATTATTATGTTTTTTATACATTAAAATCTTGAAGTAATTTCTTAATTTCTGAAAGCTGTATCTGTGAAAATATATTAGATGGAACTATGAAAACATCAGTCCACAAAGTTATAAAGTTGTGATTAGAAAATTCTTTATCAAAAATGTTTGAGAACATCAAAATTTAAACTTTTAATACATACTGTTAAATGAAAATTCTCCAAAATATAAGAAATAAAATCAGTAATCTCAAGATTTAAATTTAAAATGAATCTTTTCAAAATGACATAACACTTATATAGATAAATTTGACGGAAGGGATTGTCCTGTGTTGACCTCTAGTGGCGATAATACCACGATTTAGCTCATACATTCCTCAATTGAGAGGTGAAATTAAGGTGAAATAACATTTCAATTGTGGACTATGAACAGGATAAATCCAAGTGGTGTGATATGCCCCATGAGACAAAATGTTTTTTTGATTGTCTATTTAGATGTCACATTTAGTATATTTGCCAGTCATGTATGAATAGAGCTCCAAGGTGTCTGGAAGGTCTTGTGGATTAGGATGGAAGTGGTGTGATATGCCCATTTAGACAAAATTCTTTTAGAAAGAAGAAGCTTCCGAATTATTAAATGAAGACTATTTGGTGCTCTATCCTCAGATTGTCACATTTAGTATATTTGCCAGTCATGTCTGAACAGACCTGCAACAATGTCTGATTGGTCTTGGACTATGAATAAGATATAGATTTTAGTAGTGGGACATCCTCCACAACGTAAATGCTTTTAAAGTGAAGGAACTTCAGATATGTGAAGAAACAGAATTTGCTAAAATACCCAGTCATGTCTTAACAGAGCTCAAAGGTGTTTGACCTGTCTTTTTGTTTATGAACAGGACATGAATTAAAGATTTGGATTTAAAACGATTGAAGTAATGAACCATTTGCTACGACATAAATTATCAGAAATAAAAAGTTGGTACTCTAACTAACAACTGGTATAATTACCAGTCAGCTCTTTTTACCAATTAGGTATGACTGAACCACAAAAATGTCAAACTGGCTTAAGGGGATACCAAACTAACCTTATATGTGCAGTGTGACAGGCCATGTGCAGTATTGTCAGGGGTCAAAGTCTATCATTATGAAATAGTTAGATTTTGAATTAATGTTGACAGGCAATTGAAAAAGAAATATCTCAAATCTTCAACTTAAGTAATTACGGTTTAAATCTTATAAAAAGCCGTCTATCAGAAGCACTGCCAGTGGCACCAGTATTTCGTCTTCCTTTAAGGAAGATTTGAACTCATGGCACCTAATTATCAAGCAACAATCCACTACTGACTAAGCTATTCCAATGCCAACTTAGTTTGTAAGTAAGGACAGTTAGTAGTATATGTACATTTCAAAGTCTAGAAATAGATATTCAAATTCACTAATTATCACATTTATTTTACAAGAAAAGTAAGGTGACAGTAGTATAGTGTACATGTATATTGTCACATATGGAGGTCAAAGTTCAATATTGAGACCTACTCCTGGGTGGAAAGAGTGTACTTGCATGTTGTCACTGTCAAAGTTCAAAGTTCAATTTTACGTAATATTACTGTAGATAAAGTCTATGTTTATGAATGAAAAAGTCTTGTTGATCTTAGAATTTGGGGTATTATTTGATAAGATAACAAGTGACAATTGATTCATTCAGTTTATATTGAGTGCATGTAGTTTAAACTGTTGAGTTAGCTGAATATGCCTGTCATGCATAATTAAAACTGGTTGTATTAACCAGTCATGTCTAGATAGAGCTCTTAACTGTTTATTTGGTTGTATTAACTAGTCATGTCTAGATGGAGCTCTTAACTGTTCATTTGGTTGTATTAACCAGTCATGTCTAGATGGAGCTCTTAACTATTGATTTGGTTGTATTAACCAGTCATGTCTAGATAGAGCCCTTAACTGTTCATTTGGTTGTATTAACCAGTCATGTCTAGATAGAGCCCTTAACTGTTCATATGGTTGTATTAACTAGTCATGTCTAGTTAGAGCCCTTAACTGTTCATTTGGTTGTATTAACCAGTCATGTCTAGATAGAGCCCTTAACTGTTCATTTGGTTGTATTAACCAGTCATGTCTAGATAGAGCCCTTAACTGTTCATTTGGTTGTATTAACCAGTCATGTCTAGATGGAGCTCTTAACTGTTCATTTGGTTGTATTAACCAGTCATGTCTAGATAGAGCTCTTAACTGTTGATTTGACTATATCGCCAGTCGTGTCTAAGAGGTGCTCCAAATATAGGTGCTTATTAGATTTGTATCACAGTGAATATGTATTTGAGAAAATTTCTAAATTGTGATGAAAATTGGTATCTTATCTTAATAAAGATGCTAAATTATTCAGCTAAAATTTCCCATCCCAGATGAAGACATACAGATGGAAACATAGGGTAAAGTGAAGAAGGAAGAGAGGGGAGATATTACGAAATTTTTGAATACCTGTTTCTTTGCTTCATCCAGCATCTTCTCAACATCTCCATTTTGGTTTTCTGCCATTTTTCTCATCAGATCTTGAACTGCTTTGAAAATTGTTTCTTCAACTTCACGATAATCTACTGCTTCAAATTTCCGTCTTCTCAGTTGACAATTTTTCAGGTCTTGTCTCCTTCAGTTTTTAAGTCTCTGCTCCTACAGATGATGCCATCAAAATGTCCCTATTCCAGCCAAGGTGTTTATTTATACCTTAAAGCAGCGATCAGAGTTCAATCCTTATTAACACAACTCTTACATGCTCCTTGTACTTTACCTCCAATTATCATTAGCTTATCATTTGACATTGTTTATCTTGAAATAGTCTAGAAATCTCCATGTCAGAGTACAGGCTTCTGTCCACGCAAACTAATGACACACAATACTTTCATTCACTTAACCTTGCCCTCCATGTAATAATGACCCCAAAACCCTCCTCCCCATTCATTTTTAAAGAAGGACATGGCAACTACTTCTAAGAGGAAAGTTGCTTTTTGAAGTCAGATTTACCAAATCATATTATTACTATTATAAAAGAGTTACCAAGGTGATAAAGGCTTGTCATAAGATAACTTTTGTTTTTTGATTGATTGAGAGATTGAGAGGACATAATATTTGCAATACAATAAAAAAAAATGGGGTTGTTTTTTTTGGATGCCTTGGACACAAATGATATGAGGTTGAAGATGATTCAGTCAGTCAAATGTACATTACTATGTAGTATAAAAGTCATTATCAAAATGAGTCACACCATGACAGGGAACATGTTAACTGCCCATGTAGACCTAGGTCAGACCTTGCTCAGACACTTATCTCAAACATTGTCGGAAAATGTGTACTCAGGCATTGACCTTAGACTAAAAGTCTACTGTCTAATTTTAATGTACACTGTTTTTGTATGTTAATTGATACAAAATTAATCTTAAAGCTCAATCCCCCCCTCAATCCCCCTGTGATATTTGGGGAACCCTGTGATATTTGGGGAACCCTGTGATATTTCGGGAACCCTGTGATATTTGGGAAACCCTGTGATATTTCGGGAACCCTGTGATATTTCTGGAACCCTGTGATATTTCGGGAACCCTGTGATATTTGGGAAACCCTGTGATATTCTGGGAACCCTATAATATTCTGGGAAATGGGAACCCTGTGATATTTGGGGAACCCTGTGATATTTGGGGAACCCTGTGATATGTGGAAAACCCTGTGATATTTGGGGAACCCTGTGATATTTAGGGAACCTTGTGATATTTGGGGAACTCTTTGGTATTTGGGGAACCCTATAATATTCTGGGAACCCTGTGATATTTGGGGAGCCCTGTGATATTTGGGAAACCCTGTGATATCTGGGAAACCCTGTGATATTTGGGGAACCCTGTGTTATTTTGAAAACCCTGTGATATTTCGGGAACCGTGTGATATTTCGGGAACCGTGTGATATTCGGGAACCCATTGATATTTCGGGAACTCCTTGATATTTCGGGAACCCTGTGATACTTGGGAATCCCCTTGATATTTGGGAAACACTATGATATTTGGGGAAACCTCATGACATTTAAAGGTGAACCTCAGCATCACTAACAGATTAAAACTTCATTGAAAATTGGAATCAAAACCCCAGACCTTCAGGTTAGAAAACGAATATCTTAACATTTAGAGCAAAATCTGAGATTCCGTGTGATATGGTTGGCTATCAGGTAATATCAGTTATGTTCAAAACACTTGAATTTTCTACGATATGACATGCCAATCAAAATTTATCAGAAATAGAAAAAAGGTAGTTGTTTTGACTCGCTTGAGACGTGTGATATATCAATTGATGTTATATCATCATTTTTTCTTTACTTTTTTCAATTTCTTATAAAATAGTCCTCAGAGATATGCTTTGTGCGTAGTTAGATAACGGTAATAATAAGCTTATTTGGCAAAACAACAAGTGTTTGTTATTTATTAGGCCTTGACATTGGAATTATTAGAATTATCATCTTTGTTTTTGAGACCTTTTTATCGATTTTTGACCTTTAATTTGTAATTCTTGTTCAGTTTTTGTGATGTCTGAATTTTTTATAGATAAAAAGTAGAGACAGCAGGGGCTTAGTTTTTATGGGTGCAAAGGAACTGCTAAAACCACCTTAAAGAAGATACAAAGTTTGGCTTTACCTCTTTGCAAAACTTTCAATATTGTACAAGACATGATCTGTTTTAACAGCTCTATCTAATACAGAAAATTAAAAGTAAAATGTTGTTTTGAATCTATCTGACTCATGACACATCTCTCATGACACATCTCTTATTACACATCTCTTATTATTTTGAAAAAAAGGTTCATAAAGGCGAAATGCTGTTTCTTAATTCTTCTCTCTGAATAGAATAGTGTTATTTTCAATCTATTCACTTTATGAATTGTTTTCAGGTTCAGCTAGGGTGATGTCAAACAGTAAAAAAGATGTCTATTTTATTATTATTCTATTCCTATTTTCTACCTACCAACTTAAACACGATGATAAAATAAAATGGTGGCTACAAATAATTCTACAGTTTTCTGGTGTGATTATTTTACTCTATCAATTTAGTAAGTAATTTCTTTCAATTTTCAATCAATTGCTATCTTAAAACGGAAAGGCCTTGTGTGCTACAGGCTGTGCACATTCGAGACCCCTCGACAGTTTGACAGCAAAACGAGCAGGCTAATCTCCTGGTAAAATTCTCTCATTGCACAATGCATGGCGTTGCATATCCTGGTTAGCCCATTATGTGCAGAAAGTAGGACATAAAACTCCATTCATTTCATTTGCATTTGTTTTAATATTAACATTATGTGCATAATTATCTTTTAACATTCCTTTGTTCATTTCAGATATTTGTGAATATCCACTAGTGTGTTTATTATTAGTGTTATTTTGTTATCTTAATCAAAAAATACCAAATCTTCTACCGAACTGTTTTAGTTTTGGAGAGTTAGCAACTATTTTACATCTTTTTATCCTCACTGTGTGGAGAATTCTACATTCTGCTCAAACAGTAGGTGATATTAACATTATACATACAGAGTTACTGCCCTTTAGTCTTTAAGTTTGCTCTTGAATTGGTATAGAAAAAGACGGTATTTGGAATCCTTTTACCAATCAAATCATATTGAGTTCTTCCCCTTAACCTTTGAATATTTTATTAAGATGAGTATTTTTCTGAATATGTATGAAAGTTTGGAATTGACATATTTTCACTTCTGTAACTGTTTTTTTCAGTCATCTATTTTACAAGATGTTTTAGAAGTTGATGTATTTTGTTCAGTAAGTAGTATTTTATGAAAAACAAATAACTTAATAGTAAGCACAAGTAAAAATGATTGCTTTGAACTTAAACCTAAAAATTAAACATTTCTTGTAACTTTTGAAATTCTCGGAAAGATCTTAGTGCTAGGATGTCCTAGATAAGATAAGACCCTAGGACATCCTAGTGCTAAGATTGTTTCGAGAATACGTAGCCTGATCTTGATATTGGTTTTATCATTTAGTTATTATCAATATTTTGGTATTTCAGGTTGGTTTTATAAGTCTTCTTATAGCTGTATTGTTATGTTATTTATTAAATACGTCTTGTAAACCTGGTCTATTCTATGTTATATATGGTGGAGTGGCTGTAGTCTTTATTATACCAGTATTATATATTTATCTCGATCAGTTTCCTATAGTTTGGTTGATTGAAGTAATATTTAAAACACGAACAAGGGTAGGTTTCAAGAGGAATTCTCAGATATCAAGATCGAGTGAAAAAGGAAAGTTATCCAGAAAAGCCCCTTAAACTTATGCCTTTTATAAATTGATGGTTGATTGTAATATTTTAATCTAGAGAGTACTATAAGAACTTCTATTGTATTAATTTAAGTGTTTATTGGTTTGGTTTAGGACCTGATTTTATTAATGAACAATATCAACATTATATTTCAGGTGCTATTATTATGTTATTGGGTAGCGTGTTCGTTGGTAGCAGGGTGTATTGTGGGATATATAAGTGTAACTGCTGATAGTCGTGACGTATCGACTATTATACGTAAATATTTCCACGTTGTAGTGGTGGCCGTGTTTATACCAGGGCTGGTAGTGGATGTAGAGTTTTTATATTTGTCATCTGTTATAGCTCTAGCTTTCTTTATTATACTAGAGGTTAGCTCCCTTGTTTCATTATTAGTAAGCTGTTTAAAAAGTTGTACTGTTTAAGTTCTTTGTATTTCCATTAATTTCCTATATCAATAAATTAGTGAAAGCTAATAATTAAAATGTTACTAGTGTTATAAATGTGGAAAACTAAACAAACCAAGGTACATATTAGAATAAGAATTGAACATCCAGTTCATGTATTTTATGAATTAATATAAGAATTTTCAAAGACTTTACTCCATCCTCTAATCTTGATCTAGACTTCGTATTTGATATATTCTAGACACATAGTTTTTATTACTCTGTCCTTTCTATATTTTAGACAATACGTGTATGTAAAGTGCCTTGGTTGTGTGATTGACCAGTCTTTTTCTATGTTTATTGATGACCGAGACCAAGGTGTAGTGATTTTAACTCATCTCTATCTACTGATTGGTCTATCACTGCCATTATGGTTGACTAAATCTTTATATAAAGGTATGAAGCATTTCAATTTCGAAATGAGTAAACACTTGTTTCAGGTTCTGTTTAGGTATTTCTGTGCCCTGGTAAGGTTTACATGATCACACAAACATATTTCTGTCATCCAAAACTTAGGTTGTATTTTTTAAGTACTGCATTTATATTCTTTATTTTTCAGCTACCAGTATTAGTTTATACAGTGGAGTCTTGTCACTGGGTATAGGTGACACAGTAGCCTCTATCATTGGGTCTTCTATTGGTCGAATTCACTGGCCTGGTAGGTGTTAGCTTTGATCTCCCCTTCTATTATGAATTCTGAATTAAAAGATATATTCAGTCACTCATAGCACTTATAATCATCCACTATGACCTTTACCCTAGCTAATATGATGCCTTTACTCTCAATGTTTGATAGTTTGAAGATTATAATTGGACGTAAAATGCTGAATTATATATTAGAATAGTATGAATGTTATGTTTCTCTCTGTATTTTAGGCAGCAAGAAAACAGTAGAAGGAACAACAAGTTCTATTTTTAGTCAGTGTCTTACTGTTTATATACTATATAGCTTAGGTTTGTGCTTTTGATCATAATTAAGCATTTTATTTAACAACTTTAGCAATTTATAACATCAAATTATAAGCAAAACTTAAAAGCAGTTCAGCATTTCTATAATGAAAGTAGCCACACGGGATGATGCAAATAGAAGTCATGAATTGTCCAAATTTGCATAACACATTTAGAAACCTCCTTACAATCTCTTTAAGGATGCTAATTCACTCTCTAAATAACCTGAATATCTTGTTTTAGGTATTATAGAAACAGTATATTGGCAGAAAGTAATAATGGCTATAATATTAACATCGTTATATGAGGCCTTTACGTTCCAGATAGACAATCTTGTTCTTCCAGTCTTTATATTTTTACTGCTGGCTTCCTGAGGATATGATAAAATAATAAACTAACTGTGTGAGGGAGAGAGGAAGAACTGAGTTGACTCATCAGAAATCATGAAGAAAGATGATATTAACTATGTATTAATGGAGCGCAAAGTAAATAAAAAACAATCAAAAAGTGTGTTATAATGGTTTCAGGTTTTCAGATACCAAATGATATTGAAACTGAGTTGGATTCTTAATATAAAGTCTTAACCTTTTATACGCACGAAGCAATGCATTAGTTAAACATTAAGAAATGGTAATATTCACAGATTGAAATCATAGTGATTCAGTGTATGCCTCTAAGACATATCATTTCAATCATATCACATTCCATTTGCACATCAGTATACGATTCAAAAAATAACGTGAGCAGTCCACTCTTATTGTAGGTAGAATAAATAGTTATTGAAACTATACAAGCAAGATTTAGTGCGGTATTTCTTTATAAACTACCTCAAATAAAGTGAACTGCTCCTATGTATGTTTTGAATCATTCGTTGATGTGCACTAACATTTTAATTTGATGACCATATTATGTTTTGAAAATTGTTTTTTATATTGTTATTCCTTTTAATTGAATTAAATTATTATAATTTCTTAATTTGATTTTTTTACTTTTTGGATTTTTGACTCCCCAAGGGCCAGATAATTGAAAACATGTAAGTTTTTTACCACTGGAAGTCATGATGACAAATGTTTATTATGATACGACACTGTATCTACAATTATGTGGGCAAAAATGTCAAAATTTTTATGTTAATATTTTGATATACTTGTAAAAATGTCTCTTGGAGATGGTACGATTCAAAATTTTTTGATAAACATGTAAAAAATATTCAAATATAAAGACAAGATAATTTTTGTAATGTTTTGCTTTGAGGCGAATTTTGTATAATGACAGTTTTCTCATAAAACAAGTTGTAATAACATTTAAATTTAATATTTTTATAAACATGCTGAAATGATCAAAATATCTCATCAGAGATGGTAATTTTTTTTAATGCTAAAATGATTGAAATGTCAATGTTTTGAGGAGACTTGTTAAATGACATATTTATAGTAAGGCTAGTCATAAAAACATATTGTGTTTGTTCTCTCAGTCAAGGTCATTGTCAAATAAACATTCTCTATATCTTTGTAAATGACATATTTTTAAATCAAATTGTCAAACTTTTAAAATATTTTGTTTACTGGCAGAATTTTCAAATAAAAAGTCATTAAAACTACATAGTTTAAGTTATATGTATGTTATCAGTCAAGTTCTCAGCTGCTGTATTGACATGATCTCAATTTGCCATGAATATTCATATTTTTAACTAATTTTTGTTTTCATCATGTGAAAAGCTGTAACAGTTGCCTATTTTGTTAAAAAAATTCATGAGGTTTATGTAACTATCAATGGTTTAAGGTGTTAAGTTATAGTAATGGAATTGCTCGGTTGTCAGAATTTTCAGGAGGGTTTTTCCACCCCTTGGCCCCTATAACTACAGGGCTATATAAAGCTAAAACTCCACCAATCCTGAATATGTCACTGTTTTGTTTTTAAACCTTTCCCTTATCAAGAAATGACTGATTTTTAATTCATATTTTGATAATCTGATAATACTGTTCGACATATTTAGATATTTCTATTTATGGAATTAAGGTTAAAAATAACTCATGGGTTCCATATTTGACTTAAGGATTGGTGCACAGGGCTCTGGTATTAGAGGTGTAGGAATTAATTTGGGGGAGCAGAGAGCATATTAAAATAAATTTTTTTCATCAGTGTTGCTTCAGACAATATTAGAATGATAATAATAATTTTAGTTAATGTAGAAGGCAGAACTTTTAAGAACTTTAACTCTGACCAATTTCAGTCCCTAGTTTGGCTCATTACTGGGTTTCATGTCTCTGTCTATGCCTTGAGGACTTGTTCGATTTTTTTAAAAGGTTACCTCCCACCCTGTGTGCTATAATGCCTAAAGACCTGTTTGTATTTATTTGTTTGTTGATGTAAACCTTGTCAATAATGATCTATCTATCTGTTTGTGATCATTCAGCCATAGATTATGGTTTTTATTGTCTTTTTCTGCGCCTTAGCAATGATCTTTGTAGTCTTAATACTATTTTAACGAGGGTGATATTGCCCTACAGGGACCATAAACCTTTCACATATTTCATTTCCTTATCATCACGTAGGTATAATCAATAAGCCATACTGGAGGTTGTAAAGGGAATGACTTAGCAGTAATATAAACTATATTGTATTAGAGGGGAAAGGGTCTTAAACCTTTTAAAATTCTATCCTATCACATAGGTATAATCATTGAGCCATTCTAGAGGTTATAAAGGGTTGCACACAAATTTAAACCTTTTATGAGCAGAAATATAAGTTGATCTTCACCGGTAATGTGTGGTATTGACCTAAACAATCTGGAATGAACTAGAAAAGAGTCATATAGCTTGGTGGGGTTTGTCAATGTTTTTCAAACTTCAAGTACTGTATGTCACATGGGTAAAAGTAAGTTCTATATCCACCAAGTTATAGTGAATGATAAATTCTATTAAGACGTAATTTATCAGTCTATGATCCTGATTGTTATTCCTGAAAGATCTAAAAAAAATATCAGCCACACCAAAAGCCTCGAGGTTGACCCATCAAAATAAAACTAGAACAGGATATGTAGTGAGTTGCTCTTGTTTATTTGAAGTTTATCATTTTATACAGTCAAGGCTTGGTGTTATTTTTAAAAGATAAGACATTTTATTTTTTAAAAAAGAAATGTCAATAATGAATAATTGAACTTGAAAAACATAGTGTTTAAATAAAGGGAGGTGGAATTTAAATTCTATAGTTTAAAATGTGCAAAATAAGAAATTAAACAATATTAAACCATGAAAAGCAATAAATTTGACGATAGCAAACCATGATACAAAAGATTCAAAGATTGAGAAAGTTGCCCTCCATTGTTTGTCTGTTGAGATATTTGTGCACAACAAGGCATTATGACATACAGCAGAAATATCCTAATATGGTGTAAAATTATATGGGAATGAGAAAAAGTACCCTCTCTTGCCTGATTTGTCAAGATATTAAGAATCCTTAGACTCTTTACTTAGATTGAAGTTTGCTTTATTAAAGTACAAGTGATCTCGAAAGTACATGTAATCGCAAAAGTACAAGTGATATACTGATTGCAAAAGTACAAATGATCTAAAAAAAAAGTACAAGTGATCACGAAAGTACATGTGATTTCAAAAGTACAAGTGAACTCAAAAAGTACTAGTGATATCAGAAGTACTAGTGATCTCAAAAGTGATCTGGAAGTTGAATTATCAATTAGAAAAGTGATCTTGGTTGATCTTTAAATTTTTCAAGGAAATAATTAGTTGACTACAGTGTATATCCCTTTAAAAGATGTTAAATAACTTTATCTTAGCTAAATTGGTACAACAGACCCCTTTCCTCTTATGTTTTCACTTACTGTTTCATGAATAAAAATTCAAGATGGTAAAGGGCAAGCCCTGCACCACCCAATCTTTGAGTATCTATACTCAGTTTTAAAAGTATGAACAAACAAGGAAAATAAATTGCGTTGTATTAAGGAAACATCAATCAATCATTATGTCCTACATTGTCATACATTTAATAACATTATGTATTATTCATATTTATAAATAATGCATTCAAATAATATACCATCTTCACAATTTAAGCTAATACAAATAACGTCTTATGCAGCCCCATTGTTAGTGTGGGGCCCGTGGAGGCTGAGCCTCAGCAAGTGAGAATTAAGCCCCAGCAAAACCTTTCTCAGTTCAACGGAGATTGATTCATTTACAATGTCTTTGTACAAAATCAAAAAGATATAGATTTTGATACGTTTTTGGCAGCTCAAAATTGTCATGAGCTCTCTGTAATTCTTCAAATTTTTTGAGTACAAAATCTGAGCCCCAGCACCAATTCATTCCTTGGGACGGGGCTAGTCTTATGAAAAGTGCCTAATGATGTCAAGGGATAGACAGTATAGTTGTTATTATATTGACATTTACTACAGTTTCATGGTAATGAACAAATAACAAACATGTTATACAACTAGAAGAAATTGATGGAGACATAAAGTCTCAGAAACTGTAATGATGCTTTCAAAGGGACATGGCTCCTTAAACATTTTTTTTACATTTGAAACGTTGGTAAACTTTTTTCTGTAAAATCCCTATACTATGTAGAAAATCCTTTGTGTGCAATTTTAAGTATTTGATTAGAATTCCATAATATTCATCACAACGAAATATACATGCTTGTCTTTCTTTCAATTACATTTCCCCCAAAGATTTGCATTCTTTAAAGTGATACAGATAGCTAGAGTTCTATTAGCTAGGTACCAGTTTCTCAAAATTCCTGGTAAAATGGAAAAATAGATGACAATATCCCTTACAAACAAAAATGTGCAATAAAAAGAGAGATGTAAAAATTAACAACATTGGTGTTACATTTCAAGTTAAGATAACAAGTTTTCTCAACACTATCTAGCTTAGTCTGAAACATCTGCCTCTATTCCAGCCTCTCATAGCTATTTGGACAGTTGTCTGATAGAGTAGAGTCAGGAAACCTCCCGTCTGAAGATGCGGAAAATCCTCACTAAACAGGGCCTAGTTTTTCTGTCTCTACACCAGCTGACAATCTCTCACATCTAGATCAGAGGCTGGAATAGAAGCAGATATTTCGGTCTAGATCTAGAAATATAACAGAATTCTTCACAACTGATGACTTTAACAGAGCTTAGGTAAATCTTGTTGGATCATACCCAAATATTGTTACTAACAGAAGGCTAATATCTGATCTGAATAAATTTATACCCCACAACTAGCTAGTTTAACATTCAGGGATGTTGTTCTGGCTGTATTTGCCAGCCATGTCAAATTACAGTTTGATACATATATATGGTTCCACTTACCAGGCAAGTCTAACTATAACTCTTTGCTGGTGAATTGACTGTATTTCATGATGGTCAAGGTCAGTAAGCCTGATTTGATAGCAATTATCTGATGGCTTTTTTGGTTATGATTGCTAGGCATGTCTGGCTAGAGCTGTACCAATAAAACCAATTTTTCTGTGATTACTTAGCATGTCTGGCTAGAGCTGTACCAATAAAAGCAATTTTTCTGTGATTACTTAGCATGTCTGGCTAGAGATGTAGGATATGATTGTATTTGCCAGTCTTGTCTGACTAGGGCCGACACTTGTGTTGACTGTATTGACTCTGACTAGAACTCTACTGTTGACTTAGTTGTATTTGCCTGTCTTATCTTTATTTGACTGTTAAGAGTATTTGGGCTGGGTCAAAATTTGAATGACCTCCATCAATCTACTCTGTGATATCCGACATCTGAGCATTCTGACATCTTTTTTTGGCCCCAATTGATTTCCTTCTTATGCCAGTTTAAAACACTCTGAGTAGTACGCAGAATATATTGTACAACAAATTGCCTTCATTTCAATTCACTTTTTTCCAGAGAATTACAAGATGATGCAATTAAATTGAAACCCATCAATCACATTCTACGCATAAAACAAACAACTCAACTGTAAATTTATAACATCATAAAATTTATTTCATTTTGTCTAATCAGAATAGTTCAAGTTTCACAAATAAACAATTCACTCACTGAAGCTTATACATTTTCTCAATTTTCTGATTATTGTTATCAGCTTTTGGAGAGATAGAAATAGCCCTATTAGCCTAAATCATAGACTTTAGTATCAGGAATTTAGCCTTAAAATTTTAAGTCCTTTGCCTGTTAATTGCAATAGGTTGCCAATTTCCATGGTAAAAACTAGCAAAATCATTAGATATCAAAACAAATTGTCCTTAAGATCTAAATCATAATCAGACATTTTTAAGTTTCTCCCAACCATGTCTGGCCATAATAACCCTGATGCTTAGAAAGAGAAGCTAAGGTGTTGTAATAGCTGGAATAGTTTAAAGAATCTCTGTATGAGTAAACCTGTCTAACTTAGTATTAATAGCTCACACTCCACCAAAATAAAGTCCTTTCATTTCCAACCATTCATTCAACTTTAGGTGAAAATAAGAAAACAAGATAAAGAGAAAATAACATTTGATTTTATCACAAATTTAATCGATTAAGTAAGTTGTTGATTTGAAATCGTTCAGGGTAATTCATTTGATATATTTGTCTCTGTCAAGCGATAAAACAAACACACAATGTCATTCATACATACAAAGGCAGAAAATATCTGGTTAAAGGGATTGTAGAGAGGTTTTCAAAATTTTGTATGTGTATTGGCGACAATGATAGCATCAATTTGCAACCTCCCAATTTTCAATCAAAGGTCTGTGGTTCCTGAAAATTTACTAAAAATAAGCCTTTTATGACGTCACTAAGCATGAAATGCTAGTATCACATAAGGCCCTTTGCGATAGTGACATCGTAAAATGCGTTGTTCTAGTAGAATTGCAGGAACTACAGGCGTCTGGTTGCAAATTGGAATATCAATGAACCAATGCTATCAGTGTTCCTTGGTACACATACAAATTTTTTGAAAACCTCTTTACAATCCCTTGATTCAAATGGGCTGACCGATTTCATTCAAGAGAGAACAATACATTTTGATTTTAACTGGACATTTGAAAATGAAAAGAAGTCTATAACCACTTGAGTATTGACGTACAATCATGCATGCCCCCTCAGCAATAAATTAGAAGGGAACGTAGTTCAATTTACCCAAGCTTTTTCATAAGAGTAAAGACTCTATACTGAATATTGGTTCAAAACAGAAAACAAAGCAGAAAAATGATTTTTTGGTATTCGGTAACCCCAGTCGGTCATGACTGGCAAATATTAACATATCAACTGTGATGACAAGTATACTGCATAAATCTTGAAGCAACAAACAAGATTGTTTATGTACAAACTGTATACACAACGTTGACCTGTTTACACCAAATATTTAATGGTCTAATTTTATGGCATAGGCCTATCTACTTCTACATAGTATGACCTTAATGTCAATGCTATCTTACTCATTTTCCTCATAACCAAGAAGTACATGTACCTTGATTGTGAGGAAATTTCCTTCAATTTCGACTTTGATGTCATATAAATTCACTTGACACGTGTTAAGATATTGAAATCTGACAAAACAAGATTTCAAATTCAAAATTGCATCACATTTGCGAAACTAATTTTCGACCAATAAGCAAAAATTTGTTTCTTTCTGAAAGGTCAACTTTAAGACAATTTTCATTTTCATATCATATCTGAAAACAAGGCATAAAAGTAGAAATGGCACAAAATATCCAGGGATTATGTTCAAACAGAAGATTCAAAACAAATAATAAATCACTCTAAATCATTCTAAGCTGTGATTAAGTACATTCATAAGAGATACCTGAAGTGACAATTTGACACAGAATTCACAGCAGGCCTTTAATTTAATTAAGTTAAATTAACGTTTACTTAAAGTTAAATCACAATGACACGATGTCACAGACAAGTCAGTTAACACACTGAACACAGTATCAGCTGGTAAGATCAAAGGTTAGATGTTGTAAATGATGAGTCTTTTTTAACTAAAATCATAATATATAAAGTATTACTGTTCCAAGATATTGTTGATACTTGACGAATAATTACATATGATCTGCTTTTTCTGTCCATATTTTATCAAAATAATCGGATAGTTTCGAAATATTAAAGATATTTGTAGTTAAATTACACTTGCTCTGCATTCTCTGTTCACATTACTTTATCAGTTGTTCTTTAAACAAAATAGTTTTAAATTTTAATTGATAATCCCATTGGATGGGCGTATACCACTTTAAAGGGTTTATTTTACAGCACTTGTTGGTAATTTCATCAATAAATCCACCTAATTCTAACACAATATATCACTGTGACCTAGACCAATTTATTTTCAGACTAGTTTCCTTGTTTTTAGACTCATCAACATTCATCCGACACGACATCAAAATCTTTCTTGACACTTTGTTTTTAGACTGTAAATGTTTGCAATCAGCAATAGAGGTAAGCGTTTAGTTATTGTCTAATAAGCAATTTAAACTAAGGAATGAACAATCCATTGAAATGAGCACCATCAAAAACACACGTCCATCTTTCGTGTCACATTCAATAAAAGTCATCAAAAGAAAAATTAATATTACTACTTAGACGAAAATATTTACACCAGCTTTCGGATATTCCTTCCAAAATAAATGTCTTCTAAAATTTATATCTTGTAAACTTCATAAAACATTTTTGATTTATAAATCATAAAAAACTTAACAAATAAATAAATTACGCTACAGTATGGCTCCTGGGCTTTCCACGGCCGATTCCACCATAAAAACCTTTCGAACCGTCCGGTCCTCGAGGCTGACGAATCACGTTTGTCATGTCCAACATTCTTGGAGACAATCCGGTCACCACGCTTCCATCAAAATTTCTTCGACCCATATGTGGACTCACTGCTGGGCTTCCATTATCTTGCATCTCCTTAGCAGCTTGGAGTCGACGTTTCACCCATGGACTTGAAGGTGTCCCAGTAGATCCAAACGAATCAATTCTCTTGCGATCCATCTCTGGGCTACTTCTTGGGCTGAATTTATTCTCGTCAGCTAATGGAGACTTGCCATGGCCAATCTTGCGTCTGTGATTGTGAGGACTGTTCCTTGGACTAGTTCGTGGAGAAGATTTCGGACTGAGACGATTAGAATCAAAGTCAGGTGTACGTGGACTGAGAGACGAAGCTTTAGTATTTGAGCTTTCTCCCTCAGAACCACTGCTACAGTTAGACGAATCATTTTCTTTGGCAAGTTCATCAATTCTTAACTTCTTCTTTCTACCACCGCGTTTTCGTTGCTTCTTGTTGTCGTCACTCCCATCCCCATGACATTCACCTTTCTCTTTTTCTTCATCCTTCTTCTTTTTCACCGCAAGAACCATAACTCTTAAGCCATTCCTCCAGTCATTCTTGTCTGTCATAGTATCAGCACATTTCTTGGCACTCTCGTGTTTCTCAAACTCCACAATGGCACACGTAGCAGTATCAATCTCAGGATGTTTGTGGGCATGCTTCTTTATATCTGGGGGGACAGGTTTTCCTGGCTTTAAGATCCGAATTAAAACAATGTCACCACATTTTGAGAAAAGTTCAGCCACAGATTCAATGGAAGGGTTTTCCATGGGTAGATTTACTGCCACCACTGTTCTGGAAGGTGTAGTTTCATCATAATCTGGAAGAGGATCAATTCGACGAACCTTTGTCCCTTCTTCGTTCACCTCTAACTTTTTGGAATGTTTCAAACTATGAGCAACAACTCTATAATCCTTTGTGAGCGTTTTCACTTTCTTGAAGGACGTAATCAACTTGATGCTGACGTACCCCATTTTGTTTCTACGAATATGTTTCAGCAGAAAGGCATCCTTCAAGACATTGGCATCAGAAAAATAAAATTCCACTTGAGTAACAATTTTGTCTCTTATTTCATCAGTGGGGGGAACAAATTCTTCAACTGTCTTTGGTGACATTGGGCTGTTCCGTCCACTCCCTCTGCCAGATCCCTCATCAGAAATTTCAAATCCACTGCCGATGTCTTCTTCACTGGTATAAACGACACTACCATCGTCATCCCTAATCTGTTCCACTCGCAGAGTAGGGGCTGTCAAATGGGAAACCCCATCCGGCTTCTTGTTATCCTCGTGTTGTCGAGGAATGTCGTGTGTTGTGTCATCATTTTGCGTCGTGTCCGACTTAGATTGAGATTCTTCGGACAGTGACATGTCCGACACGATTACTTCTACCTCATTCATTCTGTCGGCAAAATCTCAGACTCCCAGACTTCCCAACTTTGTCTTTTTTCAGATGGAAAATCTTTCCAGATTGTTTCTTGAAGCCGTTGAGATCCGTGACTTCTGGTTTTCTTCACCGACAAACACGCACTGATCACCTCGCCAGACTCGTTGTGACAAATCTATTTTTATCTTTCAATGACGTCACCAACCAATCAAACTATTGATGACGCGTGTAAAGAATTGCGTGAGGCGATAGAAATATTATCCAGTATTTGTTAATCAAATGGAAGTTAACCGATAACGTCTGGATAACTATTCTATGGTTAAAGGTGTGTGGGTGTGAAAAATAAATCATGAATGAAAGGTTATAGTTTTGTGAATGTGATGAAACGTAAAATCTCGTGGTATAAACAACCCCGTTTTGCTGAATCAACAAAAGGAGTTCCGGGAAACTCTCGTCTGATTTCTAATTTTTTAAATAGTAACCATAGTAATAGTTTTGGGGATGTTTAAGATTGGTTAATCCATTCAAGCTTCATCAAGAATAGTGCGACACAGAGATAAAAGGATAAATGGATACGGTACCAGAAGGATATGTTTTAAGATATTCCCAACTATCTACCCCCACCCCCCAAACACATACATCACCACCCATTTGACACGTATGACATTATTATTCCTTCCTCTGGAGTCGATCAGTGGATATATTCGGTTGTAGGGGGGTAGAAGATATATAAATTTATATTATTCAATTTATCTTCAACCTCCATTCTTTTATATTCTTTATCTTATCTTAAATTATCTATCGAAAGATTATAGATCACACCCGAAATTTGGTATGGGAAGGGTTTAGATGTATGATCATACCAGTACACAAAATAATGTGAAATCTTCACTGAAATCCCATGAATCGTCTGCTTTGAAATCTATTCTTAAATGATTGGCATGTAAATGAACTTCCTCAACGGACCAAGTCAATTCGAGAGACTGGATAATCGATATCAAGCACTTGCTAAAATTGATGCGCATCAAATATTATTAATATGGAGACGCACATTTTTGTATTAATGAGTTTATGTTTTCTGCTTTGAAAATATGAACTGATTTCAATTTCAGCACTCCATACGAATGATATTACGAAGAAAACTAGTTCCTAAATTTGTATTATATTTGTCTACATACAAATGTTGCGCATCATTGGAATATTCAAGATGGCCGACTCAGAACAACTTGACACTCTGGAAAAAACAATTGAAGGTTTAGAACAAATTGTTTTCGGCTGTGTCGAAAAAGATGCACATTATCCGAAGGTATATTGCATGGTCTTTGCGTTTGCCGAGTTTCGTTGAATTCTGTTTGATCGTTTTAGTAGAATTATGAATGCAACCAACATGAGTCATCTCCATCATTCTCAACAATCATACCCCCCGCCCTACCTTTTCACTCAAACTCATTTCATTTAATTATTTGTACATGTCAATACCATATCCAAGTAATTAATACGGCACATATCAAGAAAAAGGAAATTTTAGACAGGTTGATCAAATAATAGAATATTGATTGAATTTTTCTTGCATTCTGCCTTGGTAAATAAAACTTTAAGATGGCAGTATTCTTACAAATTTTCTGACTGGCATGCTAGGAAGTTGTGATATAGTCTTTTTCTATTTGAGCATTTGGCCTTATTACTTTATATTTATAAGATTCGGAAATTAGCAATATCATTTTTTAAGATAGGATTTTCTACTTTGTATTTTTAGTGATAGACAAAATATAACCAATTTCCTCCATTAATTATAATATCACTGTTATACATTTAAGTCCATAGTTAGAGATAGATTCAGAAAGCAACCATATATATTTTTTATTATATGATATACACTGAAATATTTAATCAGCCCTGCTTGATTGTTGATTGTTTTTATTTTGAATATATGACAATGTTTTTGTGCATTTTGAAGGACGATTTTGTTGCATGTTTTTCTGTGTTTTGTTCTAATTTGTAACCTTGTTTATTTGACAGGTTTCTGAAACTAAAGTTCAGGTAATGTATGTTTTTGTCATGTAAATGTTAACATTTTCTTTTAAATTATTTAAATGGTTTATTGTGGAAGGGGATTAGTAAGTGACATAATTTTAAATAGATTGGGTTAGGTGCAGAAGAGTAGGATGTAAAACTCCATTCATTTCATTACATTTAAATTGCTTGGGATTGGAAGGGATAAGAAACTGACACTTGGCCTAATATCAGATCAACTGTTAACATAAAAACACTGGTCTTGGTGTTGGGTGTTATAGAAGATATTTACCTAGAAGCACTGGCCAAGGTCATCTTTGTGTAACGATCAATACCAGTATGGCCTCATTTAACATTTTTTTGACATTTTTTGCGAAAGGAACAATTTAAATCAAAAAATATTATAATGATTTTCAATTTGGTCCAGACACAATGTCATGGCCTTGTTATTTTCAATTTGTCATGATATGGGAAAGAACAAACAGTCGTCCTGAGTTGTTTTTTGAATTTTAAATATGTCAACAAATGTTGTTGCAATAAACAACAACTTAAAATAAAGGTGTGACAAGCTATGGGTGTAAATTGTATTGATGTCATAAGACAGAAAAACTGTTAAATGTACAAAGGGACAAAGGGAAACAATAAGAATGATTAGGGATAATTTATAAAGACTTGTTATCTAAGGTTTATTTTGTATACTTTTAAATTGTTAAATGATGCAGGATGTCTATTAGCCATTACCGTCAGGTCCCTTGTTTGTCTTTGCGCAGCTGATGCCTTCATCCATATCAACCTAAATTGTCAATTTGTACACTAAAAAATCTAAGATTTCAGTTAATTCTATGTTGACTTGTCAGAGAGTGTAATTAGAGAAATTCAAAAGCTACAATTAATGGGTTGCTCCTCATCACATCATACCAGGATAGATCAACACAACTATTAGTTTCAGCATGATTTTACAAAGTAGTTTATTGTTTCACATAACTGCATGTTTTCATTATTAACTGTCCTATCTTTTAATCTTTAAAAACATTCATTTTCTGTTGAATTTCAAGCATTATTGCAGTAAATTTCAGTTTCCATCATTTAAAATATTTTGCATGACAGCTTACCTTTAGTTAGCAACTGTTGTGACTGAACATTGCTGACTTTTTTTCTGTCAACTCATTTTTGAACATTTTTTTTTTGTGATCAGTGTGTTTATCTAAATTTGTCAGTTTGACATATCTTTTAGAGTGTCCACAATCCATATACTATAAATCTTATAAAGATAGTTTGGTAGCTATATTAATACCATTGACTAAGTTATAAGGTCAGGAAAAGAGTCAGCAAGTTTTGGATAAGAACAAAATTTAAATTTGTCTTTTGGTGAATATTGAATGAATATTGTTTTCTATTGTAGTGTATTGATAGCTTGTTAGAGATCAACAATAAAATATCAACTTCTGTTACTGGCAAAAAAAGAATTCCTAAAGCTTTTACTAAATGTAAGTTCAATAAATCTTTAATAAGATAAAAGTCTGGCACACAGACCTATCTTTGAAACATCAAGGTTTTTGAAGGCATCAAATTATTTCTCATCTTATGCCCACATTTTCTTACGATTGGCACCCAACTTACTGTCTATTGTTGTGAACCACCACACACTAGGCAATTTTTGTTGTTGACGAATTTCTTATAGGTGTTAAGTAATTGACTGATAGTGGCAGGTTATAAGAATACAATAAGAGTTAATGCATAGGTATTGCAAAAAAGTAGGACATCCTTTCAAAGCAACTCTATTTGCTCAGTGACTAGGCTTTTTCCATAGTTGGATACATTATGTATGTATATGCTAAACTTAGAATTCGAAACATGTTTTATTTCAGTAAATGAATTAAAGTTATCGTTAGACCCTGCCTACACAGATGAGATGACTTTATCAGAATCAGCTAAAATAGATACAGTCCTAGCAGGTTGGTAGAGAAGTCATTATTTTACTTTTAACAGATACCTAGAACAATATCTGCCATATGTGGTTCTGCATGTATTGTATTGCAATGATTCTGTTTTTGTCTATTGTAGAAGAAGAGTTTTTAAGAGAACAAGCTAATAGATTAGACACCATGCAACAACTAGAAGAGATGATCAGCAGTGAACATATTAAAGGTGGGTTCTACTAGACTCCTTTTCAAATTTTCACGTCATGAAAAATACCTGTAGTTTGATTAAACGGTACACCATATTTCCTGAAATGAGACAAACATTTTGATGGTGTAAGGATGGCTGAGCCTACCAAACCCAAGCCATTATATTAGGAAAAAATTATTTTTTATATTCCATAGATGGAACAGTTCCAGCCTTTGTCTATATTGAATGAATATATATTTTGTAATTTCAGCTGTACCTAAATTTTCTGGTAAACTTCATGAATTGAGTCAAGTTCAGATTAAACAACAGGTATAATACTTTATTTGACTTATTTCAGAGCCTAGGAATTTGTTTCTTAATTTTGCATAAATATTTTTTAGGATTTTGTGATCTTGTGCTGTATTGAAATATGTATACATCTTTTTGCAGCCTTAAAAGCAAATCTTAAAAATTACCAGAGAATTTGATTCAATCAAAGCTCTTAATTGTCCCTTCTTTATGAATATGGTTTCATTTTAGGACCAGACAGCTTTGATAACAGAAGAAGTTCAACAAGCATTAGATTCTTATAATACTATTGTATCCTTTATCATAAAATTACTTTAATTAACCAATTACAGATTTCCATATGGATTCAATAACAGTATAAAATCTTTTGGGCAAAATTGTTTTACTAGCATTGTATGTCAGTTTCATCTAAATTTGATTCTTCATCAGTTAATATATTAGTTTTATTGATGAAACCTTGTGAATCGTATTTCACAAATCAAAAACCCACAATCTTGAGGATCCTTTATCAGCTGATCTCTGATCAAATCTTTTGGCATTGATGTTTTCTGATTTATTTATATCCATGTTTGTCTAGGATAGATGAAAGATGATGTAGTCTAGGACATCAGACTTTCTTTTATCAAATATTTTACATGATTCCTTAACCAGTTACTAGATCACCCTGCTGTCAAAACAGTTTGCTAAATGGGATGAAATTGTTACAAACGCAGAAATAGCAGCCCAGAAAAAATGAGAGACATTGTAACAAAATAGTGCAATTTTGAATTATCTTTCCTTGGTATGGTGCTTCAAACTTTGTTATTGAAACCAAATTTGTTTGGCATTTAAACAATTCTTTTTGTTTCATTGACTGCTGTTAGATCTATTTCAGTTATGTGTTAAGCACAAGACTTAACTTGTGTAAGGTGTTATAGAAGAAGCACTGTTCTCTCATGTGTAGAGACCATGCTTAACGGCATCTCAAAGTAAAATTATAATTTGAATAAAATATGTTACTAAACTTGTGTAGGACTACGAACATCACAAATGCTATGTTTAACTATAATTTGAATAGACTAAGTCTTACTACAAACATCACAAATGCTATGTTTAACTATAATTTGAATAGACTAAGTCTTACTACAAACATCACAAATGCTATGTTCAACTATAATTTGAATAGACTAAGTCTTACTACAAACATCACAAATGCTATGTTTAACTATAATTTGAATAGACTAAGTCTTACTACAAACATCACAAATGCTATGTTTAACTATAATTTGAATAGACTAAGTCTTACTACAAACATCACAAATGCTATGTTTTGATTCTAGCAATTGTGCTGTGACAAACACCTTTGTTTAAAGATTTAAGAGAGGGGCCTCTACAAAAGAGGCTTTAAGTTATTCTTTATGTTGGTGTACTAGTATTACTTATAAATATCTTTGAACATTCAGTGGCTACATTGAGTAGAATTGAAGACAATTTCTTTGTTAATTTATTTATTGTATATATGGAAATAAAATATATTAAGAGTAAAATAGAGTTTTTGCTGTCCCTGTGTTACATCAATGCCTTGTACACAAAAGTAGTGCACAGGCTATGCAAGATTATCAGAATTCCGATTTCTCAATTTATATACTCTATAGGTCTTAACCTACCCAATCCTAACCTTCCCCGTGCCATGCCATGTCTTTCTTTCTTTCTTATGGCTTGAGACAAGCATTTGTAAGGGAATTTTGCAGCCCTTATAAGCGATGAGAATGACTGAATATAGTAGTATTTTCCGATATACGCTGTGTTATATCAACTTTAGCCAATACGTAGTAAATATACACCAAAAGCAGCAACGGATCTCTTGCTATTTGGGACTGGTTCACGAAGACTACATTTTAGAATAGTCCACTATTAGAAAGGTGATTCAGTCTGCCAAATTATTACAAAAAGCGTCTAATTTAGAAAACCGCTCTTCTGAATGGTTCTCAAAAACTGAATTTCTTAAAACACTTATCCAGAGTTATTTTTCCATTGATTGATGAAAGTTTCCTTCGAAGAATAAATTCTTTACTGCAAGCTGGCATCTCTATATTTTGGCAAATAAAAACTTCCAATGGCGACCGTGGTACGTGTTGCATCACAGTGCTTAAGATTAAAAAGTTGTAAATTTTCACCAGTTATTCAATTTAGACGATATTCCGCCATGTCAGGCCTGTTGATCGAGGATTCTAAATATTCATTCCTGAAGGAACTGGGCCTGTCTGGGAGTAATCCAGGAGTTTACAATGGAACTTGGTTTGGTAGCGGCGAGGTAGGGAAATTTTTCTGACAAAACTCACATGTTTTCTGAATTTCTGCGTGTTTGGAATTGTGTCATTGCTCTTTCTGGCTAAATATAATCCCTGTGCAATCACTGTAGTAAGATTATGCACGTTTTTGCATCAATTTCGTCTCAGTTGACAGATGGTAGAAACTTCAATGAAGTATTTTAAAGGTCAAGGTTGTATGTGGGCGTGGTTTAGAGTTCATGTTGTATTTTGATTGGTTAATGCTTTATTTTGATGATGAAATTGAAATGAATGATTTAAAACTGAATTTTTTGTTTTAGGAAATCACCTCCTATTCTCCAGCAAGTAATAAACCAATTGCCAAAGTTACTCAGGTAAATAAGTGTTGTTTTTTTCTATGAAACCTGTGTATAAATTAAAAACTTCGATTGTCACAAATGTTGAATTGTGAAAGTTTTGCAAGTGTTCTGTAACATATCACAGTTATGAGAGGCAGCCATAATTTTAAACATTAATAATAATGTATTTTAGGGCAGTGTAAACGATTATGAAAAAGCCATTAAGTCAGCAGAAGAAGCCTGGAATATTTGGGTAGATGTAAGTACGTCCATGTATCTCAATCAGAAAACTGACTTTGAACATCCCATTGTCATAAAAAAAAACATTGTTAGGCCTCTATGTAATATCAATGATAGAAGGAGGGAACAGAATAAAGATTAAAATGATAATGATTAACAATGATAATATTAAAAACTAAATCAGGAAAGGGTGAAATAGGAAGCCATACATTATTGACGTGCACCCATCTATAAGCCTGTTTTGTTTTCAACTTTGTACTTATAAACAATGAAAACGAAGCACAAAATTAAAATTTCAAGGACGTTATTATAATATATTTTTATTTTACCCCAGATTCCAGGACCAAAAAGAGGTGAAATTGTGAGACAAATGGGTCATGCCTTAAGAGAAAAATTAGTGCCACTTGGAAAATTGGTGAGTTATTTTGTTTGTAAATCATATACCTTGACATTGTGAAGATGAAGTTTAAGAGGACAAGGGTGAAATTTGAAGAAAATGCAACAGTAGAATATTGTTATCAAATGTATGTTTATTGCAGGTGTCTCTAGAAATGGGTAAAATTCTACCAGAGGGTATTGGAGAGGTCCAGGAATATATTGATATAGCTGATTATGCTGTAGGTTTATCTAGAATGTTTGCTGGCTCTATCTTCCCTTCAGAACGTAGGTTTTTACTCCCATTTTTATTACCACTGTTTCAATTTTCATCCAACTTTGATCAATTCTTAGGTTTCATCAACATTTCTACCATACCTTGAGACACAAGTTTAACAAATATGTCATGGATTTCTTTTGTCATTGTCATTGTTATTCCTGAAGGCTCTGTATAATTGCATCAAAGGGAGAAAACTCTTAACTAATGCTCAATATTTTAAGACCACAATAAAACAGTCTATTATCTTAATAAAGAAAAGAAAGAAAGAACTATTTTTAACAAGGATAACAATTAAGTTTCACAACAAGGACACTGTCTACTAGCTGGTCCTAGCCAAGCCTATGAGGGTTAGTTGTTAGTGAAGAGATTTTTTATTATTTTACGATATGACTGGTTCTGGAGTTGATGAATGATATTAAACATTGACTGTATGATGTATATTTGTAGGTCCAGGTCATGCGTTGATGGAACAGTGGAACCCACTAGGTATAGTTGGTTGTATCACAGCGTTTAATTTCCCAGTGGCTCCGTATGGATGGAACTCAGCTATAGCTCTTGTTTGTGGTAATGTTATGTTGTGGTAAGTAAATACTCTACTCAAGCAATGTGGATTGGCTGTATTATCAGATTAGAGCTAAAGGCTGGCAAATAACCAGTGTCTACCAGTAAAGTCTGACTGAAACTCTGGGGTTTTGACATAAATATGTCTGTCCTTCTTGATTTGTCTATATTTCTTTTATGACTTGTTTGCTACAATTCTGTTTCAAATGTTTACTTGTTGCAATAATAACTGTTAAAATTATATTATGCTGAATCACAGAATCAGAAAAAATTGGTCAGAATTCTGAATGTTTTTTGTTTATATTTTAGGAAAGGGGCTCCATCAACACCATTAACTAGTGTAGCTGTCACAAGGTAGGGACAAAAATGCACATTCCTATGCTCAATCAGGTGGATATGAACAACATGAATTACTCTTGGTGTAGTAAAGAATTCTGCTGTCAGTAAAAACTCTTACATATTACATATTTCAGAACTATTGACTATATTTTAGAATCCTAGGGTCAGTATTAGAAGAGAACAATCTACCCGGTGCTATATGTAGTATGGTTTGTGGTGGAGTAGACATAGGGTCAGCCATGGCTAAAGATGAACGAGTTAAACTTCTTTCCTTTACTGGCAGTTGTCAGGTATAGTTGTCTTTGTGATTTGTGATATGTTTTAATTGTTTAGTTACCCCTTGGCTGTTACATTTTATAATGATCACTCAGTACTCATAGTTAGCCTCCTCATATTAACCCTGTGTTTACCAAACAAAACTTTTAAAGTTACTTCATGATTTAGTCAAATGAACTAGCCACTTTGCTGTAACTTTTCTAATCTTGGCAGGTGCCTTCCAGCGTGACGATATTTTTTGTGTTGAAGCTTCTGTGTTCGTAAATTTATATTGTTCAAACACTGAAATCCTAGACCTAAATTTGTTTTATGATATATGAAACTTAGCTACAATGATGCTTTTTTTTTTCCAGGCTGGTCACGCTGTTTCTAAAATGGTGAATGAAAGATATGGTAAGATTATCTATTATTAGGGATGCACAATAAATTGAGACAGAGTGTGTTTAGTGTTTAGCTGGTAATTGAAAAGAGTGGGCTTAATGCTGCTGACAAAATATTCCTTGTTGCACAGCAATGGTCATTGAAAGTCAAGCTTGATTTCACACCAACTTATGTTATGTTTGATTTTTTCAGGTAAATTTTTATTAGAATTGGGTGGAAATAATGCTATTGTAGGTAAGTATCTTCTGCATATTAATATTGCAATTACCTTGTAGATGTAGAGATCATTAGCATCTTGCCTCTGCTGGTGGAGAAGTCTCCTCTTAAAACTGCTGTTAGACCCTTATATTTATTCTAGCTTTTAAAACCCTATTACTCTTGGAGTGTGAGACCACTATTCCAACAAACCTGATGCCAAAATTGTTTTTAAACAAAATATTTTTACTTTCGTTTTCATTTTGTTTGTGTCTTATCTTCCAGTAAATGAAGATGCAGATGTAGACATGGTTGTCAGGTCTGCTGTGTTTGCCTGTGCTGGTACTGCAGGTCAGAGATGTACAACAACCAGACGCTTGGTAAGATGTATTAACATCTAGTCTTCCAGTCTTTCCATTTTATGTGGTGGCCTCAGTGTCTGTTATTTTGTGTCATGGACTGCATCCCAGTATATATAATGATTTATTGATTTTATTTGCCCTTATCAATGATGCAAGTCAGAAGCAACGTGGAAATCCTAGCTCAGAAAGAACAATAAACCAAGGCCCTGTGTAGATTGAAATTAGAAATCAGCAATTCTTACAAGTCAATGAATTGTGATTGTAGATTCTGCATGAGAAAGTACATGATGTTATAGTAGAAAGATTAGTTAAAGCTTATCAACAGTTACGTATGGGAGATCCTCTCGAGGGTACGTTATATTCTAGTCACAATGTAGATTATTGATACCTTACTCAGCTGTCAAACAAGCTTATATATTTGCCCTCTCATCCTCAATTGTTCGCTTTTCAAATGCCTAGCAAAATTTTCTTCAGAGTAATATCAGATGTGATAGTGGTCCATCCAATGTTTGCATAATTTATTTAATTGTATTGAAACTGAAAGTCAGATTGTAATTCTAAAAAGTGTTATCTATTTCAACTGATGTAATATATTTAAAGGCACTATTCTAATTCTTTCTTCAGATGGTACGTTAGTGGGTCCAATGCATAATGAACAAGGTGTCAATATTTATAAAACAGCAGTAGATGAGGCAGTAAAACAGGGGGGAAAGATTGAATGTGGTGGCAAGGTAAGTCATTTGACCATTTGCTTTGTCTGTATGCAATATAATGCCTAGTCTAAATATTTATTTTAGCTATCCATAGCACTTATCAGAATCAATTCCTATGTCTGGTTCTCCTACATTTCAATGAAAAAGCACCATGCCAATTAAGACCTATGGCATTTTTAAGGCGCCAATTGATAAACTGTTCATGTTTTATGAATGGATTTTGAAGATCTATTTTCCCTTTCTCCAGGTTGTAGATCGAGCAGGATTTTTTGTCGAGCCAACGATAGTAACAGGTTTAAAACATGATGCCCAGATTGTACATAAAGAATCATTCGCTCCTATTGTTTATGTTTTAAAATGTAAGGTAGGTAAAATACAATCTCTAGACATTGTTGAATCATTTTTCACCAGTTTCTGCAATCGTAAAAGTTTCAGAAAAACTAAAAAGGTTTCAATATGTTGATTAATGACAAGAAAAAATTGATAACTGGACAGCGGGATAGCTTAGTTGGATTGTCTTTGTTCTGTGAGGCTGTAGGTTACATTCCACAGCAATTCCATAGCATGTGCTTTCGTTAGTTGGCTATTTATTAAATTTCTTTGAATTTGTGTATGTGATGAATAGTAATGGATACAAACATCTTTGAATATGGACCTCATTAATTCTTGTGTTGTAGAATGTAGACGAGGGTATCAAGTGGAATAATGAAGTAAAGCAGGGATTATCCAGTAGTTTATTTACCAAAGATCTTAATACCATATTTAGATGGATTGGGTATGTATCTGATAAGTTATTTCCTCATAGACTACCTTCATATTGATGCTGACATTTTACTTGTGTTGACTATGATGTGTGATACATTTCGACTTTATATTTTTCTTGTGTTCACCTGATCCAGATGTAAATGGGTACAGAAAACCCTGAAAATATTATTGCTTAGGACAAGATCCTCAGAAATCAAACTCCCCTTGTAACATAACAAGGTTGGCATGATCAACTTGTGTCCATCTTGTCTCTTTCCTCCCTAATCCCCACCACATTGTGTATCTATTTCCAGACCTAAAGGATCAGACTGTGGTGTTGTTAATGTTAATATACCAACTTCAGGGGCAGAGATAGGAGGAGCTTTTGGTAAGTTATATATAAAATTTGATATTGCATTATTTTAGCCATTTGTATTAGAAACAGGGGAGCTCATATTTCATTAAAAAATACACAGAAAGTTTCATGTGACATCCAGTATAATTTTAGCAATTTATGACAATATACTGGTGACTTAGGCCAGTATTTATATATAGGAGAGTATCTCTAATAACACTGTATTATTGATTAATATGTGTATCATATGATTAATAACACTGTGTATCATATGATTAATAACACTGTGTATCATATGATTAATAACACTGTGTATTATATTATTAATAACACTGTGTATCATATGATTAATAACACAGTGTATTATATGATTAATAACACTGTGTATTATTGTAGGTGGAGAGAAACATACTGGTGGTGGAAGAGAATCTGGAAGTGATGCCTGGAAACAATACATGAGACGATCTACTTGGTATGTTATTGTATTCCTATACCCCTTACTATTAACTTCTGTTCCAGGTCTTTTAACCAAGTCCTAATCATTAATTTATTGTGCCTTATGTTCCAAACTTTTATTGCCCCTAGAACAGAGGCTGACCTAACTTTTACCCCTCCCTGTTTATCATTTTTAGTACGGAAAGAATTGCCTGTGAGCCCTTGTGAGAATCATGGCCCCTACTCAGCTCCAATTTAGATTCATAGAAACTGTTAGGCACTCTATTTTTTATTATGATCTGAAGACAGTTTTTGTTATGTTTCACTTTTGTATTTCAGTACAATTAACTATAGTAAAGAACTTCCATTGGCACAGGGAATCAAGTTCGAATAAATCCTGAATCAAAGACTGAAAGATCCTGATATTATACTCTGAATAAAGACTGAGTGGTGCCTTTAACTTACTGATTGACAGATTGTGTCTTCTGATTTGCATGTGCATTTATCATCATATTGAAATTGCCAAAATGAACTATACCAATAAAGACAAGAATTTACTATTGATTAAAAGGAATATCAACTAATACTAAAATGTGCTTTTATATACAAGTTGATGAATAATGATCATAGAATTATGAAAACAAGTAATAACTCATATGAACTAGGTTACATATTTGTGCCATATACTTATATTAAAAGATCTCAATCAAGGGGCAAAAAACTATTTACTTATTGATATATCACTTCTATTTATTACAGGCATTTAAGAAATATATCCAAACAGACTTTTTGTTAATCTTTATCAGAAATTTCTCCTTCGATTGGAGACTGTTGTCCTGGATCTGGAGTTTTTATGAATTACGAGCTCTGGAAGCTTCTTTACAGAACATGATATACCTTTACAAGTTTAGTGCTATTATTATTATATATAATTTTGAATGTGTCCATTGTTGAAATGTTATATTTGAATCTAGTGCTACTTACAATACAGTATTTTTCATAAAGATTATTCCAATATATTATGTTTTTATTCACTCACCAAATGAAAATGGATATACGGATTGTGAAAATCCTTGGATATTTTGTCTTGAGGTTTTTATTGAGCAAAGATATATATGTGCACATTGGTAAAGACTTTAGCTTAAAACTGATCTGAAAAATAAAATGGAGCGATTGAAAGAAAAAGGAACCATATCTGAATATTTCATATTTTATTAGTTTGACATGATGGAAAACAAGACAAGGACAAAAACAGAAACATTGAAACTGAGCAGGTTACAGCCCAGCAAAGATATTGATTCATGTCCAGGTACATTCAAAACAGTCTACATTATTCTTGAGGTAGTGATTAACAATATCAAACACTTTATTTTACAAGGGTCAGTATTAGCTAAGCTTATTTCACTGTGGATTAATGATTCTGTCTAACATTCAGCTCATGAGAGACAAATGAAGCTACAATAAAATACCTAACCATGAAAAATATGAACACACTGTGGAGACCCTTGATTGGTAAGTTCTCCTTGTTCGGGATTCATAGAATCAACCAGACGTTCCTTAAAACAAGTAAGAACAGAGTTCAGAACGCGTTCCACGTGTGCCGATAGAATCGGTGTAGACAGAATTCAAAATGGCGGAGAAGAAAATAGATGGACAATTTTGACTATGACATTCGGTTTCTATACGGCTCGATTGAGGGAGGAACCTGTTCTGAACTTTCCAATCGAGTGCCACCTAGAACTTATAAATGCAGCTGACTGTTTATTAGATGAAATTTACCTGGACATGCACAAAAATATCTTTATTTGGACTGTAACTTAAATACATATAAACACTAGAATACATATTATACATGTACATCCAACAGCACTCAGTAATTTGATTTGTCAACTTGGAGTTCCCATCTCCAATACAGATGATTTTTTGGGGTGGCAAATCTGCTTAGTTACCACCATGACTATCAGATATCACTAGCAGCTTTTACGAGGTTATACAATACTTAGTTTAAGTGGAATTGCAGGAACCACAGACGTCTGACTGAAAATTGGAATGGTGCAAATAGATGCTATCATAGTGTCCCCATACACATAAATAGTGAAGAAAACCTCATTATAATCCCTTTAAAGTTGATTTCACCTGATGCCTATACATTTATTAATCATTCGTACACCCCAGATTACCTAACTGGTACTACAATACAACATGAACAAGTACCCATAAAAAAAACCCAAATTTCGTTGGTTTCAATATTACCTGAATTCAAACATAGACCAATGAAGTACAAGGGGTAACTTGGGGTAAAATGGACTGATTGCAGGTTAAAAATATGAAAAGTTCCATAACCTTTAAAAATAATAACTAACAGTCACTAACAAATAAAGAGTCAACAATGAAATTAAAAATAACTGAAAAGTAAATTGTAAAAGTTTTTCTTTGAACCAAGTCTCTAAATGTCAAAAACTCATTGAATTTCTACAGAGTTTCGCCATTCTAGAACTAGGCCGGTGCTTTTTGAGACTACATGTATGTTCTCATCACCATCTATTAGATTATTTATAGTTGATATTTAAATTGACTTTTTAAAAATCTACAAAATTTGATTTACCAACTAACTAACTTTGATGGCAGAAGTAAATGAATTTCGCGCCTTCTTCCTATGGATAGCAATAGGCTTTAAATAAATAACAAACATAAAAATAAGACAAAAAGATTTCAGTAAATCATAAAAATCAGATCAATAATATCAAACAAACATGAATTAAAAAATAAAAAATTTAGGTTTTAACAGATCTTATTATAAGTGATTGTAGAAAACATTTAAGAGATCAAAAATTAAAAAAAAAGTTATTTTATGTCCTTACTAAATTAGTAAAAAAAAACCAATATTTCTTGAAAAAAAAAAAATGATTTTGTAGTTGTCAATACATATGATAAAGTTATTTATAAACATTCTTATACAAACCTATACCCTTATAGTTTTAATAATATTTCTAATCTTTTATCAAAACATAAAAAAACATCTGATTTGAAAGAAATTAGCACTAAAACCATACTGGTCTATTTGAACAAAGATATATAGATATGCACATCTGGTTCTAATTAAAAACATAAACAAGGGCAGTCTATATTGTTTTAAGGTAGAATAAGTAGTATTTTGGCTATATAAACCATACTAATATAATGTCCAAAACTACTTATACTACCTCATAATAATGGACTGCTCATGTTTATCTTTTGAATGATACTGGATGCGATATATATCGTTGCTTGCTTGCTTATACCACAGATGAAGGATGATGAGGAATGATGGGTATATAATGGATGATGAATTTTAAATGCATAAATGACGTCAATACAAATTCTGCGTGTCAGCAACACATATGATGTAAAATATCCTGAAATTTTTTTAATAGATTCTACAAATCTCAGAATCATGGATGGTGCTCGATTGGCAAGTTCTTAACACGTTTTGTTTGTTCCATATCTGGCCTAAATTGAACAGTACAGAACTGTAATATGTCACATACAAAATTTTCATTTCTATTTATTTCTGGCATTTTGAATTCTGTCTGCACCTCCTATTTTGTTCAGTCACACGTGGAATGTAGTATGAAATGCAGTCTGAACGCAGTTCCAACTTGTATCGTTGAAGGGCCAGTTTTATTCCACGATTTCAGCTGGTGCATGACTCACCAATCGAGTGCCCCCATTGCTAATATCACTGAAATGAAATGAATTGAACTTCCTACTTTTCTGCATCATGCCGGCTAATGAAGACGGGCTAATATCACGGAGAGACTAGTCAAAATAAAAGAGTTAGTTCAGTACTGGAATTTCCTAAATTGGTCATTGGTAAATCAAGTTTCACCCAATCAAAAACCATCTTAGTCTTATTCTCTTCTTCAGTTTCCATGACATCCACTTCCATAGCGTCTGTTTCCATGGTGTCATACTTGGAGAAGACCAAGGGAGGTGACTCTTTAATACTTGTTAGAATGTGATAAAAATAGATTTCTGTGTAGAGTCATAAATCCGGGAATCTATTAGGATCTTCTCTATATTCATGAGGTAATTTAAAAAGTTCATCTTCGAGATTAGTTTTCCATTCAAAGTGTGTAAAGGTTACTTTTGCTGAGACAGTAGGGAAAACTGGGATTTCTGCAATGATAAACATATACTGTATAATTGCGAATATATTGCTCAAGTATGTATAATGTGCACCCCTTATTACACTGTCACTGTAAAACACCCAATTCTGACAAAAAATATCAATAAGGTGGCATAACACGGACACCATAATATTGAGTGGTAAGCCTAACAAAAGAAGGGAATGGAAGATTAAAAGTTCCAGTTTTGTGCTCCATGAGGCACTATAAAGTTTATAATAGAAAAGAGTAAAGAAAGCAAGCTAGCTGAAGAGGAGTTATAAATGTAATGAGAACATCAACAAACCTATTTTAACAGGGAAACCTGGAGGTAATTTGGACGTCATAAATTCTCGTAACTTCTGAAACTGTTTAAACGGCGCCACCACTTCTAAAACATCCAGTAATCTGTAGAACATATAAAGACAATAAATAAATTGAAATGGAATGAATATAGTACTATTATAGATATAAGTTTTGTCATGGATACGGTCTTACCAAGAAAGCCGAAAATATGGAATGAAAACTTAAATAAACCAAGTATGAAATAATATTCTGTAAAATGCAAAAGGGTCCATGCTTGTTATATACAGTTTGAAAATAGCTAACTTATCCATTTATATTCCCGTGGAAATATGAAAAGACAAAATATTGAAAAGTGAATTCAACTTACACTTCAACTGTCATGGGAAACTCTTCACTCTAAACAAAAAAAAATTACAACTGATGTACACAAATTTTTAATAATATCAGATCTTTGCACTTAACCAATACTTTTTAAAAACAATGCACTGGTAACAAAATAATTGGCCTGATGAGACACTGAGAACTAGGCATTGAAAAAACTTGACATAAAACTAGCAAATCATTAGTCCTAGAAATATTGATAGTAATGAAAATATCAGAAATTCTGGAAAGAAAAAACATAACTTACCATAGCCATTGTGGCTCTAAAACTTTTTGAATTTTCTTTAGCTATTGGAACCCGGCCTAATACAGGAGGAATACCAGGGCTACATGATATATATTCTTCCCATTTTACATCAGGGTCTGGAGGTGGGGTTAATGATTGACGCCTGTCAAACTGTCAAAAAAAGGAGATTTTATTATACAATCCATGGCATTTCTACTGTCAGGGGCTGGCCCTTGTCTAGTACCTCCTACTTTCCAAGTTTATATCATTTCACATAGGGAAAGATTTGCAATGAGCAATCAATAAGCTACAAAATTTTAACTAACAGTTTGTGACAGACTTAAGATTCCTACTTCGTTTTCCGTATTTGAATTGCGAAATTTACTTTACATTAGAAATCAGAGCCTTTAAAGTTTTATCTGAGAAATTGAGAATTTTACATACCTCACAATTATCCCAGCCACCTTTACTTATATTATCAATAATAGCTTTATTTTTCTGGATATCTTCTGAAGATAAATGTTCTCGTCGTTTCCGAGATTCTAGGGTCATATTATTTACACCATAAAAATCAGCTTTAAAATTTCCCACCATTTCCTGAAATATTGCATATATTTGATAGCGTGAAAGAAAATAAAATTGAATCAATTGTTAAAACCTCACAAAGAGAGTTCAAATATAAGAACATAGATCCATAGTATCAAAATAAGTATACAAGTCCATATCAATTCAATGAATTATTATTTGTTAGGGCTCAATTTGAATAGATGTTGTGCATCAGCCACAACTATGTGTCAAATCAAACAAAAGATTACAATTTTTCTTGTCTGCAATAATGAATTGAGCTAGTCCCAAGAAGTATAAAATCTTGTTTTACAGATAAATACGAAAGAAATATTTTAAATAAAATGACATACTGTTTTATCTTCTCTGAATAACCAGCCACTTTGAGCTCGAGAGAACGTGATATTTTTAGTTGACATTTGAGCTGCCATAATATCAGAACACATCAAAATATCTACTTCATCTTCTAATTCCATCTCACTTTCCTAGAAATATTATTGAAATAAAGCCTTATGTTCTCATTTTCTGCACTTTTATTGTGTTATTGAAGTCATGGCAGTGTGCAATGAGGAAAGATGTCATATTCTGAGTGTAAAGAGATCTACAACCTTTTTCACCCTTCAATTATCAATACTTGCAAGGGAAAACTGGTTTGATAGAAAAGAGGTCTTACCTGATATCTAATTCGTTGAAAAACTTTTTGTTTATTATCAAGAACTGTTAGAGATTGTTTGGGAGGAGCTTCACCATTAAAAATAAACGTAATATCACCCCGTTCCCAACGCATATCATTAAAATCTACTAACGTTGTGTCCAGTCTGAAAAATAAGAATGAAAGCACGCAACTAAAAACATCCCTAATTTTACAAATGAGGTCTTCCAATAACACATATATAGCTTCTTATTGATTTAAAGCAGTGGTTCCCAACCTTTTTCAGCCTTCACACCCCTGAAGCAATCACCTGGACCTTTAACACCCTCAAAATTTATGTCATCCACATTTCCAGCATGTGATGATGTGAGGTGATCTCTCAATTCAAAATAAATTCTTCTCCTCCATCAGTTGGCCACACCCCTGACACCCTAGTCCCACATCCGCAGGGGGTGAAAACACCCTAGGTTGGGAACTGGGGATGCATGTGTGTAGTTGTTCAATGCAAAATGGAGGCGTGTCGTGAAATTGGACATAAGAAATAGTATTTACCGTATACATGGTCCACGTTTGTGTATTTTACAAATATCAGACGGTAATATTCTCGAGACTAGGGGTACTGAAATAATTTAATTTACAAAACTTTAATTATACGGTAATAAACACTTTTATAACATTACATATCACGTAACTTTGCAGAAATGTGCCTAATAAAATGGTTTGTTGAAACACTAAAGTATTACTCACCCCAGCTGTGAAAATCCCATTTTAATTCCAGATAAAAATCATCAATATGTTTGAGAGCTCGTATTAAAGATGGTCTTCTGTCTTCTAATACTTCTCGGGATTGTTGTTTTAATTTTCTTAAAATACTTAAAACTGAAAAATCATCAAATATAATATGGTCCAACTTTCATACTATATTATTATTACAACGAGGCCTCCAAAATAATCATATAGGATAAGCCTTGGACATTTATATATGGCTGAATTTTATAATGATGGTTCATTAAACGTACTTCTATGAGGATTTCAATACACAAATGGAGTGAATCAAGAAATTGACAACATATAAAATATTATATTAGCTCTATATGTTTTATTAACAATTAAAATACAAACATCAACTAAATATTGATTTTTACATCACTTCTAAGTGAACAGTTTATTACACAAAAGAGTTTATAGATTTTCTATTTGAAAACATGAAGCTAGTTTTCATGGTGTGTCATTCTTTTGTTGTAATAGAGGAAGAAGATAATTAAAATGTACTTACTGGTTTGTCTATCTCCATAACTAATAGCCTCAGCTAGCGGTGTCCAACCCTGCAGATTCTTTACTTTTATTGGGGCACCATGGCCTAATAACAACTGTATACATTCTAAAAATAGTTCAAATCACTTGTTACATTACAATGCAACGGGATCCTTTAAAAATTGTTTAAATCAAGATACTATTCTGATCATCAATCATTATTGGTCCAAACTTTAGATCCTGCCTTTTTAGTTTCAGTTATATGAAACACTTCTTCTATTTATAGTACCGGTACGTTAGGTATTTACAAAGCTTTACTAATGCAAATAACAAATGTGATTTCTCAATATAGCAAGTGCTTCTTACCTTTTCTTCCAAGCATAACAGCCAGGTGGAGTGGTGTGTTTCCTGTATAAAAAAAAAGGATAAAGATCACCTATCACCAACGTTGCTCAATTTGTAGAGCACATATAACTGTCTCCATAAAGATGAGCTGTTCATCAAAAGCATGATCTGTGGTATTTAGTTGATTCAATTATAAAGAGTTGTGACAAATTAAACAGGAAATTCCAACTTTAGCATGTCCCTTTTGGTCTATGACTTGACTGAACCAGGATATCAAAATTAAATCTGACAGTCAACACAAACAGGCAGCACCAAATTGGTTTAAAAGAGCTCTATAGCTGGTGAAGCAAATATTTAGAACATTCCAATAATTAGTATTTGTCTTCTGTCAACTTTTGGAATGGGCCATTTCATTCATTTATTAACACTGTAACTGGGAGAAAACTGATGTTAAAGAGATGGAGGCTTAAAAAAATCATTGCTACAATTTGATTTTCTATTGTAAAAGCTTTTATTAACACACAATTAGACCAATCAATAACTTGTTGAGCTGACAAATTATCTAACATTTTAGTTTAATAGGATATTGACTCACAGTAAACCAAGGCCTTGCTTGGTGGCAAGACAATACATTGTCAATGTCAGTCATTAGCAATCTTGTTTACCAACCATAAAAAAATAGCGTGCTAATCATAATTGGTTCTCGATACAACAGATTAGCCTGGCACGCTTCTAAAAGAACTATTTTGCGTGATTCATCGAATAAACTGAACCGTTCCCTAATTTAATTAGTCTTATCGAACTGCCTCGATTTTCAGAAAGAAAACAGGTCATTCCAAAATGCCAGAATATCGTCAATGACAACCTCTGTAGAGTTTAAATGATGGTAAAATGTTTTCCATACCGTGGATATCCTTCTGACCGACATCGTGCGTCCTGATTTGTTGTGACAATCGCTTGTAATCATTTTTAAACACACATTGATGGAGTGGAAAATCGCCGAAGTCAGAATTGTCAGCCATCTTTATTTACTAAGTGACGTCAGAAGGGAGGTGCTCGTTTTCAGAAATTGATAAAAATTAAATTTCGATTTCACATTTCCAAACAAAATCAACAGCAATGTCAAGAATTATCTTGTGGGTGGATGGAACAATTCTAGTGAAATCGATAATGAATCTTGATAGGCATTCGTTTAAAGTTTGTTTTCACAAATACTTCTCCTTTACAAAGGGAGGTAATTGGTGAGGAAAAATGTTTTTAGCTTGGTGACAGTGGCACCTCATTCTGATAAGCTTATTCCATGGATTAAGAACCAAATTCTTTACAATGAAAACCATCCCTATAACCGATGCCAAGAGTTTACTAGATTCTTGATGGATAATATAGTTCTAATGACAAGAAATATCTGATGATGTTCCACGTCTAAAGAGAAATTTACTGTAGTCTGTAGCGGCTTGGTACCAGACCACAATAAATTCTTCATAGTTCACAGTCAATGCACACAAATGTAAACCGTTTTGCTAGATTCAGCTATTTGCCAACTGTCGAGTATTGCATTGCATTCAGTCAAAATCACACAAGATGGGGAGAGGATCTTCTCTATGATACAATTTTGTTGTTAAATTCAGTAGATTTATGTTATATCTGAATTATTTGATCTTACCAATACAAAAAGGCAAAACCAAATCCATTTTACATGTATAAACCAATTGCAAGTCTTGCTTTATTTATATCCATAAAGGGTAGACTGTTGCCACTGTCCTGGCAATATTTCCATTATTGCATACTGCATGACATTGCTTGTCTTCAATTGTCCATTAGCAGCAGAAAAGTTGCATGCAAATCTTCATTCATTTGATACATCCACCTCCCCTATGATGGATCTTTCCTACTCCCCCAAGTTTAGAGCATAGGGATATCCCACTGAAGCCTGCGAAGGTTCAGTGCCCATGGTGGACATTAAGGACATCACAACCATAGTGTCATGGCTCAAATCCTTCCCACTTGCCAGTCCCCTCCTTCATTAATAGGAGAAGCTCTTACTCCGAATTTCCCAAGACTTTCAAGATTGAACACATGTTCTGTAATTCACAGTGCTATGTTTGTAAATATATAACAAAATATTTTAAAGATTTTTTTTTATTTGTACATCGTATTTATTTGAGAGGAATAAATCGAGATGAATGGGTAGCTCCAATACCAGGACGACCATGCTTTACAGGTTTGTAGGAAATGCTAAATTCACCCAAATAATGACCAGTCATTTCAGGCTGAAAATAAACAAACAAAATTTCTTTATTCATACATAACCGAATTAAACTGAAATAAACATTAATTTGAAATAATGTCGAATTATGTATTAATTGGAATTTTAGATATAAAGATTCTCTAAACAAAAATAATCATCTTTGACAAGAATTATGAGTTGCATTCTCTCCCCTGGGAACTCAGTATGTTAAGAATTTTTCACCAATGTTAACATTTACATTGAGAAATACTATACTTTGTTAATCCTTAGATATTTTGAGGAAGTTCTATTGTTCATAAAGATAATAATGTATAATTTTTCACTGTAAATCAGACACAGCCGGAGAATATCATTTATTAACAAATGACTTATAATCCTATCATCATCTTTACAGTTACGAAGTTATCAGATTTAATCTTATTATGATCAATAATTGCATCCAAATGCAGAAAAAATCAAAGAGAACCAGTTCCATATGAGAACATAATTGTGACAGAAATAAGCTTAGATTTCAAATAAATAACGGTTATAATCTAATATCCATAAAACTTTGAAGATAAAATGTTATTTATTACGCTACATATTGTATTCTTTATAGCCTCTCTGGTGATACATGTTGTACAGTGGAATGGCTTACCTTAATTTCAACCTGGTTGTACACTTTACCATTATAAACTCCTACCATACTGCCAATCATCTCCGGTACGATGATCATATCTCTTAAATGTGTCTTTACTACCTGAAATAAGACAGAATATGACATGAGAAATCATACCTTTTGAAATTGGGAGAAAAAACAAGTCAGAGATAAAATCTGATATCTCAAAAGCTAATTGATCTGTTATCTACATGTTCTTATAAAGTTGATTCGATAAGAAGTTTCATTGTTTGTTTTTCTATGTATGTAATGTTGATTTGTAATATGCCATATTGTACAACAGCGCCATGGAGCAGCATTTACTGGATTATAGGCGCTATAGAAATAAATTATTATTATTATTAAGATGTACAAGATAATATGCCATCAGATAGCAGCAATAGTTGCTTGATAAACGCTCAAAAGAAAAAACAGTTGCTTGATAAACCTTCAATTAAAAACCTATTCTCGTTGATCATGAATGAATAACAAGGGGAGACAACCTGTAAATCAGACACAGCCGGAGAATATCATTTATCAACAAATGACTTGTAATCCTATCATCATGTTTACAGTCTATTTATTTACTGCCATATTGCTTTAATTTATGCATCTTTAGTCATATCACCTCTGAGGCCAGAGTCATCACGTGTGTTCTCACTTATACTTATTGAACAGTTTCTTCAAATATTTCAAGACTCTAATCAAGTTCCTTACCTCTGGTTTCTCAAAAGGACCTGCTCGTTTCTTGGCTTTCCTCAATTTTTTCATCAAGTGCATAGGTTGGCGTTTCAACCCTCGTGAAAATCGTCGTCTAACACCCGAGCCTAATAATTCCATGAGTTGGTCACTGAAAAGGAAAGAAAATATTTTAGGGACCAGCCTTATATCAAGCAATGTCTTTGATTGGAATCTGAAGCAATGCAGTAGAAAAAAAGGGATGAGTTTTCAAGAATTAATACTAGAGGGGATCTCTTGGATCAAGTGCCATTTCAGTGGTCAAAGTAAAAAGCTTAGAGCAGTGTTCCAACCCTTCTTGAATCATACTGATCATTTCTCATCATTGCTTTAGACTAATAGTATCAAAATTATTGAATTGAAAATTCAGCATTCTTTTATTCTTGATGAGCTACATTTTGTAGTCATGGAAATTAGTTCAGAAAGGGTTCCACTTTATTATCATCAGGATCATTAAGTGTTTCTTTCATAATTACAAAATCATTCCTAAGCCAGTGCTTTCAACGAGACTCGTCTCAATAGACCCTAATACCTAAATCCTGTCTATCAAAGGGCATCATTTAAGCAAGTCTAAATCTGTACACAATCATTAGATTCAGTTCAGAAAGGGTTCCACTTTTAAATCATTTGGATCATGGAGTGTTTCTTTCATCATTACAAATTCTTTTGGTCCCCGCATCCCAAAAACTACAACCCTTTCACCCTTCAATTTAACTGCAGTGCTGTTGGTGCGTAAGTAGAAATTAGTTCAGAAAGGGTTCCACTTTATTATCATTACGATCATGAAGGGTTTCTTTCATCATTACTTATTCTTATCCTCATCGCCCAAAAAAAAAAAAGTCTTTCAACACCATAGTATCCTGACTAAACTATTGTCAAAACAGAAATTAGTTCAGAAAGGGTTCCACTTTAAAATCATTTGGATCATTAAGTGTTTCTTTCATCATTACAGCATTCTAGATCAAATACTCCTGTAATACCATTAGAGAATTCTGAGGTTTTCCTGATTTTTCTGGTGCAACTGCAATCCAGTTACAGGCCAAGACTCATGTTGAATTGACCTACTCGGAACATAAGTAATTCAATTTAAAGAAATGTAATGTTCTCATAATTCCATTTACCTGGTCATGTCCAATAACTGATCAAGATCGACACCTCTGTAGGTGTATTTACGGAACGTACGCCGTTTTTTCTTCTCAGCCAACTCCTTCAATTCAGCTTCAGTCTGAAAGAAATCAACATATTTTCATCAATGCAAGAAACTGATTGCTCATTCTTGACATGTTTATGAGTACGATGGGTAAAAAGACATCAAATTTTGGCTGGAAATCTGCTCACTCAACTCTATAAACATTTAAACATACAACCGATGTATTCCCCTCTCCCTCTTTCATTACTTATTGCACAAGATAATGAAATCTAGCTCTTTAGTGAATACTAAACGTCTACGATAAAATTATTATTCACATCTTTATTTTTGCCTCTACCAGAATAATCAATTTAGAGATAAACATACAAGGATTCAAGAAAATCTGATCTCTCATCTCAGATTCTGGGGAAAAATAATCTCGGTATGTCATAGAAATTGCCTTATAAAATGGCAGAACTCAGGAGAGTAATCATGTCAAAGTAATGTCGATTGAATGCATGAATGTTCCTCTATCATTAAGAAGGCTTCATGCATCAGATCCACCCATGATTGCAGAGATATAGAAGGATTAATTGATGGGAGAAGACGTTCACGTACCGCCATGTTGATAGTTTCACAGGAAAAGGAAGTGGAAAGGTTAGTTGCTAACGACGCATGCGCCAGTACAGGTGCTCTTGCGCATGTCTGATCAATGAAGTTGGAGTAAAGTTTTGTGAAAGTTTTGTCTGGGTTTTATCAGTTTTTAAAGTGTTTTTAATTTTTAACCCAAACCGAGATGAATTGGATGTCTTGGGGGATTTTAGTCGGAACTTTTACTTTCATTAGATTTTAGTTTTAATGTCAATGGCGCAGACGAAAAAATGTTTTTGTTTACGTTGTGATCTCTCACCTGTCCAATCAAGGTTTTTAGGAAGAAGTTGTCTACCTTGGCGCGGATTTTAATTTGTGGATTAATTGATGAATGGAAAATGACACATTTTAGACTATCTCGTCTGCTACCTCGATTTTTAAGGGGTGATAAAGACAAGAGGTTTGTGGATAAGAATGGGGAAGGTTCCTGCACTGTGCTATTTTTAGATGACACAGAGTTACCAATTTCTGTCAAGGTAAGTTACAATCCAATTAACAGGTGACAATGTCACTGTCACAGGGGATTAGGGATTATTGACAGGGGGTTTGATTAAGATTAATGATTACAGAGATGATGGATAAGATTGATTTAAGGAGTAATGATACAACTGTACTCTTCTGGTTTCTGGTACCGGTACAGTACTTTTTGTTACATGTATATTGCATGTTAGTCTTGTCATTATAATAAAGTTTACTTGGAGAGCTCCAAAATCTTTATTTACAGGAAGAAAGTAGGATTTATTATCAAACAAATTTAATATATCATATAACATTTCTTATGTCACACTGACTTAGCAGAATTCTGAAAGTATTTCAGTTATTTTATATTGCATGAGGTTCAAATTTCAAGATTTTATTATTATTTATGCTTTCTGCCAAGTTTTATAATGGAACAGTATGAAACATGTTTAATTTAAAATAAGAGTTAAGTTAAGATTGACTGACAATCTGTGTAAAAAATAATATTTAGCTCAAACTGTTTTGAAAAAAAAACAATAAAGAATCAATGATGTAATTAAACTGTATGCTCCATGATTGACTATCTGACTATAGTTTGGTGAAAGACTACGAAAGGTGTATGTTGAAAAATATCAGATATCTGTATATACTAAATATTGTCAAGTAGAGTTTTGGATAAGTTGTTATTATGATCTCTGAGTTGCCAGTTTAGATTCTCTTCTCATTAATCTCCTACTGTATAGGGTTATTCTGGTAGAATCTGAATTATATCTTAGAGTGGTTCACTGATTTACTCTTGATTAAATTGAAGGTGTATAATGTCATTCTAGTTTATGCATGTCAAAATAGTTTTGGACATTATCTTCTGGACAGTAAGATTGGACCATATTCTTTTGTAATATTTACAGTGGAGCCTATAGTCTCATGTTTGAATTATAACTATGTGCCTGACTGACTGTAGATTAAAGTGAAGGTGTATGTTGACATTCTAGTTTTAGGCATATGTCAAGCGAGTTTCTGTTATAAAACTTCTGTCCAGGGCAACATATTTTAACGACCACTATCTGTCCATCTTCTGTAATATACCCTCCATGTTTGAATGATAACCAAGTGACTGACTGTAGCTAGATTAAAGTGAAAGGTGTATGTTGACATACCAGTTATCAGTAAACCAAACGTCCACAAGTTTTAACATCAGTGTTAGTCGTTAAATTCTACTTTAAAACTTCAAGTCAAGATAGACATTGTTTGAATCGTTTCATAATGTAAATACACTCCTACTCTACCCACATATCATGTTATGTTTCCTATCAGTAATACCTTCTTAAGAGTTTTGTCTTTAATTAGTCACTTTACATAAGCTTATATCATATACGACATTGAGTAATGGATCATTTGGGTTAAAATTAAGCAGTGTTGTTGATGTGGCTGTATATACCAGTCTTATTAGATATCTTGGTTGTATATAAACCAGTCATATCTGACCAGAGCTTTGGACTATATATTTTTTTTTTAGATTTATAAATTTTTGTAAAAATTGCTTGTTTTTTCTTTTAGAGGGAGTAATTATCCTTATTTGATGGACCTCATTTGATTATAAATTTTTAACAAATACTCTGATTTTCACAAATTTTTTCACAGTTTTAACTCTGTCTGACTGTCTGTAGTATTATATAGATATTTCTCAATATAAGATTACCAAGTAATTTGTGGTGTTTTCCCATATCTAAATAATTATATTAAGTTGAGTTTGTCTTTATTAAGTTATAATAGGCTATATACTGCTATCTAATATCATAGACTAATATCATATACCATATATCTATCTGCATCAGTACAGATTATAATTAGGGGAGTTTTTTTTTCAGAGTCTAGACGTTTTAAATTACTGTACAGTTGTATTCAAAATTGCAGTCTTTCCGGTTTTGTATCTTGAATTTTTTTGTGTGTTATTGTTGAACAAGAATTTTTATATTTTGATATTCAAGGTCTAAATTGTTGCTCTAAATTTTTGTTATATTTTAATCAAAAAATCATAGATTATGATATTGATTATTTTAAATTTTTATCAAAAGTTTTTCAGAAATCATGAGAAGTTTTATTATCAACCATTTGCTTTCAATATTCACTAAATTTATTTTTATTTTGCTTTCAAAGTAAAGTTCATATTAAATAGATGTAAATTATTTTATGTTCAGGTCCATTGAGTTTTTATTATCACAGGTTATCTCTAGGGATAATCATTGTTCAGCTAATGGAGGGTGAATGAAAAAAAATTGATATGAAAAAAAGGTTTTTGTTGATTTATCTAAGATATGAGTCTAGTACTTTATTTTGTCTTTTTGGTGTATTAATGATTTAACTAAGTTTGTGACCATGGCTTTGCCGTATTTTTGTCAGCCATTACATAGATATATGTTTAAGATTTGAACAACATTTAGAAGCTGAGTGCACATATAACAGAAAACACAAGGGAATAAAATTATGGTATAAATTGTGTTGAATAGTTGTGTACTTTGTTATCAAATAAATGTGTTATACCATAATATATTCCCTTGTGTTTTCTGTTAGATATATGTCTAATTAAAGGGATTAAGTAACAAGTTTTCTTTACCAGATAGTTATAAGAGCTATCCCAACTAACTATATGTACCTGTATCACTTTATAGAATTAGAATCTTGCAATGAATTCTTGATCTAGGTGTGAACTGCACATGAAAACGTCAATGATGCCTAGTAACCAAGAGGACAGTCTAAACAGCCCGAGTATGATTTTGTTGCTTTACAGAAGAATTATACAGCTTTTGTAGGGTTAGTTGAAATGGAAATGAATTCTTACTCAGATGCTCAAATTACATTCTACGTTTGGTGGGATTAATGATGGAATATTTTTGTTGATTTATATTCAACATTCCGAAAGAGAAAGAAATTGAAAGTTAACAAGATTGACTATCATAAAACTGATAATGAAACACACAGTAGACAATGATAAATAACAAGCAACTGTAGATGATACCTAATTCAAGTTCTGTTTAAATGATTATACCATACATAATACATGTTAGAAATTGCATTCATGTAATAAATAATTTGTAAATTTTCTAAATCGCTTACAGTTGTATTAACAGAATATTTATTTTTTCCCTTGCTTCATTGTAAATCACATAAAATGTCTGAAATCCATCCATATGATAGTAAATGGTTCTCAGTGTTTTTCGGTCCAGAATGCTGCCAAATACAGAATTATAGTCAAAAAGTTTGGAAACGGCATTAAAGGTTCTTATTATTTCAGACAGAGTATACATGAACCTTCAAAGTCCATCATTTTTTTTCGTCTTAATTAAAAACACAGTACCAGTAATAGCTTGTTACCTACATACCTCAAATGTTTTTGTTTTATAGTAAAATGTCAAAGTAATTTGGAGGAGTTTGAGTTTCATTGACAATATAATCAGGTCAAAACAAATACAATGTTTGACATTTTTGTACAGAAATTGTAGAAGTCACTAGAATTTATTATAACTTGATTTGACTTTATCCAATCTTACAAGATTGATATATATTTGCCTGAATTAATTACAATTTACCTGGTGTGACAATAAATACCTGGACAGTAGAATAATTACTATTATAATCAGAGTACAGACAGTTAATGGTTAACAAATACCTAGTGTTGTTAGTTGTTTCCTAACAAAAGGTGTAAAGTAGACAGTGCGACCAACGATCAGAAAGGATCTCTACAATCCTGCTATCAGAAAGATATTACACCTATGAAGCTATTTTTCACATAGAAAAACAAAAGAGTGATGAGGCCTGGGATTTGAAAAGCGGTAATAAAAATAGGATCCTGGCTTTGCAAGAAAGAATAATCAGTCTTCTTTTCAGTTGATTAAATAAACAGATTGGCAAGAAAATTTTCTAGGGTCCTTAAAAAGGTATCAGATATATTTGCAATTGAACAATAAAGGTGATATAAAAGGTGTTGATATAGTGGTGATTAAAAAGGCAACCAAGACCCTAAAATAACAGTGTGCTAGAAAAACAATGTTGTACTATGTGTTAGATAAATAAAATAGGTGATAAAATTAGGGTTTCTGACTAGACCCTAAAAAAACAGAAAAATGCAAGGTGTGAAATGAATGAAATTAAGGTTTTGTTCAAGGATAAGTAGACCCCAAACGAAAAACAATGCAAGGTGTAAAGTAAATAAAATAGGTGATGTAATTAAGGTTTTGTCATTGTTGTTTTTGTCATAAGTGTTACCAAAAGATACCTCAAGAGGGAACAATCTAAGGTGTGAAGTAAATTGGTTGATTGCTATTTTGCTTTTCTCTGATCAAGGTAAATGGTTTACTAGGCTCTTCAAAGATTGTTCAAAAGAAAACAACAAATAGGGCTATTGGTGTAAAATAAATAAAGTCATTAAATAAGGTTATACAATAGGGTTTTGTCTGTATGGTCTATCTTGTTAAATAAGGGTCTGCTGTCATCAGTTATTTGTTATCAATTTAAAAAAATCCCCTGAGAATGGTACATTGATGTGAGAAACAACAACATCATTATGTAAGACTGAATAATTGTTTTATGATCAACACCACTATCATCTTCAAACTAACTAAGACATTCTGAAGAGGTTTTCTATTGGTACCCTTTTTTGTATCGTATGTGAATCTGGGACATGTAAAGCTTTTACATGTACAATAATAGTTTGTCAGTTTGACTTTTGTTTCTACAATGTAAAACAAACTTGGTCAGATTATTACATTGTGGTGGATGATTTCCTCATAATTTTTGCAAAACAGAATATAAATAAAAATTTCAGTGCATGTCTTATGGAAAGCCACTTTTAAGCCAAGCAAGGCTGGCACTGAATAAACATAAGAAAACAAATTCCATATTCAAAAGAATTTCTTGTTGACAGGAGTCTCAGCCATTCAGTTGACAAACAAGGTTATAATTTGATGTCTTTATTAGCTGACATGGCGTAAAATTAGCAGTTGATAACCCCACAGTGATATAATGTCTAGTTTATACCCTTGTTATCTTCACTAGAGGTTGATTGTCGTCTGACCCTTGTAATCAGTTTTAAAGACGTTAATACTCAACAGATCTGCTCTATCTATACTTATATTGTTTATTTAAGTTAGGGGACAATGTAAGGATTTAGTATGGCTCTTTGAATTAGTTGGTTGTTTGTTGATTTTGCGTGTATGAAAATAGCTTTGATTTCTTTTGAAATATTATTTGATTGGCAGATATTGAGAGTGTTGGGATATTTTAGTTGGCATCCATTCTGATATTTTTGCTGGAACCCCAAATTTTTTAATGTCTGTTCACTACATACATGTAGACCTTTCTGTGCCTCCCTTGTGTATGTATGTGAATTTCTAATTCAGACCTATCTTATCTAAAATAGTTTTTTCTCGTAAGATTTTGTCTAATTTCTGCAAATTAGTGCTCAGAGGCTATAGTTTCGTTTCAGTAAGATTCGTGAGAAGTTTTAAACAGGTCAATCAGTCCCTATGTAAATTGTAAGTTTATGGTTGGTCTAGTTTGTAGGATGAGACAATTAATATAAGATCAAACAAAAACTCGGTAAACTTGTAATGGAGGTCGCCTTGTCTTTAAATTCATTACAGATGGGGTAACACAAGTTAACATAGGTTAACACGGGTAACACAGGATAACAAGGTAACACAGGATGACATAGGGTAACACAGGATAACAGGGTAACATTGGGTAAAACAGGGTAACACAGGATAATACAGGATAACATAGGATAACACAGGATAACACAGAGTAACATAGGGTAACATTGGGTAAAACAGGATAACACAGGATAACACAGGATAACACAGAGTAACATAGGGTAACATTAAGTAACATAGGGTAACATAAGGTAATATAGGGTAACATAGGTTAACACAAGGTAACATAGGGTAACACAGGATAACATAGGGTAACATAGGTTAACACAAGGTAACATAGGTTAACACAAGGTAACATAGGTTAACACAAGGTAACATAGGATAACATAGGGTAACACAGGATAACACAGGGTAACACATGATTTGTGGTTGTTTCCTTTTAAGATCAAAGATATTCTTGAAATTATTTTCACATGTAAAATTTCACAACAAAAATAAATATATTATGCTTATCACTGTATCAGGTATTAAACAGTTTGCTGAAACTAATAGAAAAATAATGATAAAAAAAGCTTTCATATATATAAAATATATCTTAAATATATATTACAAATTTCTAAAACAAGAATGATTCTATTAGTTCTAAGGTAACAAACAAAATTTCAAGCTGAAAACTCACTGTATATATTATGATTTTTTTGTTAATTACCATGTTGGCTCATTATCACATCAGGGAACTATGATATTAATATTGAAAACAGACGAATCACGCGTTCTGTAGATCACAAGATACCGTTACCATCAAACTTTTTACTGATTTATGTTGCTATGTAGAATAAAGCAGGCATTTTAACGTCTTGACTAATGTTCCCTGAAATTTCAGACTTTATTTTTTTCTGTCATGATTTACTAATTAGGTTTCTAAACAATTTGAAAATACTGATAGTTGATTTTGACAGATGTTAGCAAGACTAGGTTCAGAAAAACAGAAACATTGATAAGGTGATTTTCAACTGAGATGTTGCACAGGTTACAATCTAAAACACAAAGGCTTTTGCATAGTTTTTGAAAAATATTCAGCTAGAAATATTTTGAAATATATCTGATGTTACAAGTGTAACTGTGAAATATATTAAAAGTTTGAAATACCAATTTCCATTTTCCATTCAATTTCAACTTTTAAAGACTATTTACATGTATTCAAGACCAAAATCAACCCCCAAAATGGTGCATCTGTCCCTCAAAAATATATAGGCCTTTTGAAATACCCAATTTTAAAGAGCCCAAACTTTATTTCAATATGATAACATAACCTAAGCTTATCTGTTCATATATTTTGTGAAACCCTTTGTAAATATATATCCTGACTATATTTAAAAGATATATGACTGATATATTTAAAAGTCTTTGACCCTGAATTCATTTATCCTGATTGATCAAAACTAGATAAGATGATTTGATAAAATGGTAGGTGAGAAACAGTTCAATACACTAGATAATAGTAAATAATATCATACATTCTTCATCATGGTGTGAAAATATCTCACTTTTAATTTCATGATTTTATCTCTTGACTTTAGAAATGATCTGGGTCATATCAATCTTTTCTAATGACTAAAAAATATTATTTTTAATGTTAATAAATTTGAAGATTTGACATGATATCTGTTGTGTGTTTTGTGTAAACTACATACAGTCAGCTGTTTAAACTGAAAGTTTAAAAGACAGAAAGGAAAAAATCAAAAAATCTTTTGAAAGAAATAAAAAATCCATGTTTGCATAAAGCATCAAATCTTAGTTCTGATCCATTCTTACTTACTCTTACTCCAACTTATTAACTGTTAATGAACATTGTGTAAAATATTCTAAAGTTGTTTCCATTACCAAAATGTCAAGTTACAAGCCACAATTAGCTGTTGTGACTTATTTTTCTGAGTTAACCCAGCTGTATGTATAATCTGGGAAAGATCAATGCCAAGAGGTTTGGTCAAGGACCAGCTGGTGGAAAGGATCCTTGTGAACCTTATTGTTATCCTTAGTGTTTCTCTCCTTTTTTTGTGTTTTATCTTTGTATACAATTAAAAATGATATTTTTATATTTACAGCATACAAGTAAAGGTCAAGCTATCCTAGATAAAGTATTTCTACATCTCAATATACACGAGAAAGATTATTTTGGTTTACGCTATGTGGATCAAGGGGGACAAACGGTAAGTACTGATATAATTTTATCAAAGATCTCTCTTTTTTCACACCGGAGACCATTCAGTAATTTTTTTTTATCCTGCAGTGACTCTACTTCTCATCCATGATCTGACATAATTGTTACGTAACTCATGTTCTTGGTCATTTGATATCCAATCAATCGAATGCTGCTGTTCAAAAACAATGTTTTTGGATATTCATTGCTAAGTTTTAACAGTTTTTTATACTGAAGTATGAACATGATTTTACAAAATAATAAGTAAGGAATTGTCAAATAATAAGTAAGGAATTGTCAAATAATAAGTAAGGAATTGTCAAATAATAAGTAAGGAATATTACAAGATGTAAGGAAGAAATCAAGTCCATGTGTAACACTGTATTGTTACTGTATCACTTGCTGGTAAACCTCTATAACTATGGTGTTATGTTATTCAATATTATCTCAAGTGTGCCATAAGACTTAAATAACACTGGCACACTGAGTAAAGATATGAGTCAATGATTTTATGATCTTTTAATAGTGTAAAGGTATTTTGATTGTTCTTTGATGGAATTTTAAAAACTTTAAATAATCATGATGTGTTTCTGATTCAGGATATTTGAACCCTTCAAACTCTGATGGCATAGGGTCATATTCTTCAAATTCTTTGCCATAAAAGCTGATGTGTATGTCATAGGCATTATAACATTCAAACTATATTTATTCATGATTTATTATTTGTACAGGTGCAGAAAAGTAGGACGTAAAACTCCATTCATTTCATTTCATTTACTATTTGTATATGTAACCTTACGCAAACTATGGATTCAGAAATAAGTCAAAGCTCACCATAATCTGCTACTGTTAGGTGATATCTTCTAGTTATTGACAACTAGAATGCTCAGAGATTTAGAACAAAAATTGGTGCATTGGAATCTCCCTTCAAAGCACATGCTTTCAATAATTGACTTAGTTTCGTGGTTTTGTAAGCTTACTCCTCCAATTATTAAATTTACTTCAATACTGACTTTTTTGTTAAATTCTTCAGTTATTTGAATAAGAAATATGATATATCTAGTACAGTGGAGCAGATGTTTTGTTAAATTCTTAAAAATCACAGAGTGTACAATATAATTTACTAGTTGTATTATTTACACTGTTATAAGGTGTGATTCGCTCTATCAAATTACAATACACTTGAATATAAGTATGAAGTATTTAACTGTTGTCCTGTGAAGCTAATCCATAAAAACCTTAACTAGCAATATCACTCAGTTTACTCATACTCAGGTTACTGAATTTTATTACACTTGAAAGTGTTTTAGCTTTCCTCTTAAAGAATTTTCTCTATTTCAGCATTGGTTGGATCCCAACAAATCTATTTCTAGTCAACTGAAAGGTAAACTTTTACAATATCTTGGTATCACTTATAAAATAATAGGTTAAGAATATAAGTATGAGGTATTTAACTGTTGTCCTGACTAGTTTATCCATAAAAACCTTAACTGGCGATATCAAACTATTTACTGATATGTGTTACTGAATTCTTATAGTTATAGTAATGTTTGAATAGGCAAATAGAAATAGTTTTAGGCATCATTATAGTTTGAATGGGGAACTACTAGATGGTTGTGCTGTTGGGCATCTTTGGTACAAAGTATGAATACTTGAGATTAAAGTAAGAGATAAGTGCTTCCCAATGATCATTTGTTATAAACTTAAACTCTTAAATGGTTAATAACATCTGCATATGTCCTGGATCTTGATTTTATTTATGAGATACAGTGAAACTGAAAGGCTTCTTTACAAAAACTAGCAAATCAATCAAAACTTCAAACCAAACCTTACTTTAAAAATTCATTGTGTGCCCTGCTGCACAAAGATGCTATCTTCCTCATTATCTTAGATTCTAATTGTCTAATTAGTTATCTATTATCTTATTTAATACTTGAATTAGATTTGTCTTTGATGTAGAATTAGTGAGGTTCGTTAATACACCTGCAGTTTGAATGTTTTATAAATTATAAATATGTTGCACTGAATGACTTCACTAGAATGTATTGATTTCTATTTTCATTGTCATCATGTTTTCAATCTGCAATTTATTTATAAAATATTAACTTTCATGTTATCTTTATATAGTTTTTTATTGTTCTTTTATAGGTTAGTTTTAGTGCATTTTTTAAGGCAATTGATAATGGAATATTTTCTCTTTTTTTCAACCAAACAATGTATTTTACTTGTTTGAAATATTTATCTTTTCTTTTGTCTCTGTATCAAACATATTTCTACATTTATTAGAGTTCTTTCATTTTTTCCAAAGTAGTGTGATTTCATACAGGGTACTGTGATACAAGTATTCTATGTACAGAGTTCGATATTTATGGATTTCATGATTGGAAAAATCCATGCCCAAAAATAGAATACATATTAAATTGGTTTTGTTTGTTTGTTTCTGCAATAAAGAAAAACACATAGACATTATAGGAAAGATTGGAAAACTTAGTCTTTCTATTAGGAAAGTTCTTTTAGCTAGCGGTAATATATTTGATATGTAGATCTAGATAGTAATTTGATTGCATCTTGTTTCTATTATTTTCAGCATGTTCTCTGCCCTTCACGTTTTATTTCGGGGTGAAATTCTACGCTGCAGATCCGTGTAAATTACGGGAAGAGATTACCAGGTAAAAATATACGTTTGATCTGTTAGTGTCTTGGTTCCTTTTCATTCTAAGAACTTTGCATGAAGAGTAACTTTAGATTAGGGGATTTTAACCTTTTTCTGTCTATCACCCCTTTCAGGATACTTGTTCTATTACATTGCCCCTCCCCTTAAATTCTATTATTACTATTTTGTGATAATCTCTTAGTTTTTCTTTTTCATGTCGAAGAATATAAGGTGACTGAATAGAGCAACCTAAATTATGATTGTCTAAGATTATGTTAGATTACAAAGCACCTTATTACCCTCCAAAAATACCAAACTTACCCCTTCACCCCCAGAGTGAAAGCCCCTGTTTTACATCCTTTCAATACATGATAGCAAAATTCTGCATTGATATATGGCATGTATCTGAAGCATTAAAAGCTGCACAATCTGATTTTCTTATCTGAATACTTCACTTGGTTTTCATTTTCTTTCAGAATGTAACAGCCATTTTTCTTTTCACCTTTCAGATATTTATTTTTTCTACAAGTCAAGCGAGACATCCTTCAAGGGAGATTACCAGTAACGTTTGATGAGGCCAGAGAACTTTGTGCTTACGCTGTACAATGTAAGTACTGAATAAAGGCTGTATTTTACAGGGATTATAGCTCATCTGTTTGGCCTTGTGACTTTTCTTTACTACAAATTGGTCATCAACATTTTTGATAGCAGGACATTATTCAAGACAATTTCTGGCATGTCTCTCTTTGTGACTGTCTGAAAAGAATAACTTTACCTCCCTCTCTTTTCCCATGACAAAATTTTACTTCATTCCACTATTCAACTTGTTATGTTATATTTATTATACTCTGTTTTGTGATGATATTAATCAAAATCTCAATTCCTGTGTTTTGTTATATAACTCTGTATTACATGGTTTCTATATTTCAGCGGAACTGGGAGATTATGATCCGAATAGATATACACCAGGATATATTTCCGAGTTCCGGTTCCTGCCCAATCAAACAGAAGATTTGGAAGAGGAACTGGAAATTTTACATAAACGACTAGTGTAAGTTTTTAATAGTATAGGGAATCAAAAGACGCTTGTCTTGAGTTTCAATCAAGGCATAGGCAGAGGTGGCAGCTTTTTTCAACCGATTTCCCTTGTTAGTGATTCTGAATAGGGTTTGACAGTCAAGTAAACAATGCAACTCCATACAGACTGAGCCATTGCTCTGATGGTGTGAAGATTAAGTATGTAGAATTTCAGGCTATACTTTGACTGATAGAAAGCAGAAAGGAAGTTAAATTTTTATAAATCATTAGTTTTATTTATTTAATGACCAAGAATGAATATATATTATTATAGAGGACAGGTGCCTGCTATAGCTGAATATCGTTATCTAGAGAAAGTAAAATGGTTAGAGATGTATGGTGTGGACCTTCATCCTGTATTGGTAAGTCCATCTTATAACTTCTGATTGCAGTGTTCACAGGCTCATTGTTGTTACTTGCTGTTCAATATATCACAACTTCTACGACCTTCAACTTGACCTCGTGCAAAAATAACAGAGACTTCATATGTGGTTCCTGATTTGATAATGAGCATTGAACTGGAATATAAGAATATATTAACACACGATTGTTGTTCTTGGAATTCCACTAAAACTAAGCATTTAAACGAGACATCTTTAAATTTTGATATTGTTTATTATAGGGTGAAGGAAGTTTAGAATATTTTCTAGGTTTAACACCAACTGGTATTGTTGTTTATAAAAATAAAGCTAAAATAGGCAACTATTTCTGGTAAGATTTCAACTTTATTCTCAAAGTTAATCTAAGATTTGATATCTCCCATGTGCATGTTAGTGATCCTGGATCTGAAAAAGACTGTGAGGTTTCAACAATGTTATCATTTGTATTAAATTACGAAAAGTTACAATAATTTTTTTTGTTCATATAACAAGCACTATAAAAGTAACGTGTTTCATATTTAACTTTTTCAGGCCTAGAATATCTAAAGTAACGTTTAAAGGAAAAGTATTTATAATAAAAGTGAGGGACAAGAATGTAAGTTATTCTTTGTTTATAATTTGGGTTGGATTGAGAAGATGAACAGTGGTCTAGTAGTTGTTTATAATTTGGGTTGGATTGAGAAGATGAACAGTGGTCTAGTAGTTGTTTATAATTTGGGTTGGATTGAGAAGATGAACAGTGGTCTAGTAGTTGTTTATAATTTGGGTTGGATTGGGAAGATGAACAGTGGTCTAGTAGTTGTTTATAATTTGGGTTGGATTGGGAAGATGAACAGTGGTCTAGTAGTTGTTTATAATTTGGGTTGGATTGAGAAGATGAACAGTGGCCTAGTAGTTGTTTATAATTTGGGTTGGATTGAGAAGATGAACAGTGGCCTAGTAGTTGTTTATAATTTGGGTTGGATTGAGAAGATGAACAGTGGCCTAGTAGTTGTTTATAATTTGGGTTGGATTGAGAAGATGAACAGTGGCCTAGTAGTTGTTTATAATTTGGGTTGGATTGAGAAGATGAACAGTGGCCTAGTAGTTGTTTATAATTTGGGTTGGATTGAGAAGATGAACAGTGGCCTAGTAGTTGTTTATAATTTGGGTTGGATTGAGAAGATGAATAGTGGCCTAGTAGTTGTTTATAATTTGGGTTGGATTGGGAAGATGAACAGTGGTCTAATTGTTGGTAGAATATCGTGGCTATGATTATTGGAAATTTACAGCCAGTTCGATTTCTAAGAGTTGTTTAAGTATTTCATAAAATATTTTGGTCATAATTGGATGTAAATTGGATTGATGCAGGCAAAATTAGCCTAAAAATCAGACAAACACAACACATTGTGGGAGTTCTGATATGAATTGACTTCACCACTTTCATATCATCTTTCAATTCTTGATCCTATATTTAGGTATTCTTTGTCAAATTTTCAGAATGATGATCATAGTTATGCCTTTGAATTACAAACGAAATCAGCCTGTAAACATTTATGGAAATGTTGTGTTGAACATCATGCTTTCTTTAGGTAAGACAGAACTAAGATATATTCATTCTTTGATTTATTTCTCTGTGTTATATTAACTTTGTTATGATTGTTCTACTGTTTCCTTAATTCACCTTGTTTTATTTAATATTATTTATTTTTCTGTATCACAATATACATAAAATACAGTTATAGCAAATCAACATGTCTGTCTACCATCACTATGTTAGTTAATCTTGCTTTTTACATGTAACTGATTCACTTTTCACTGTTAGATTATCTTTTGACTGTGTTTCCACTGAGAATTAAGTTGAATATGTTTTGGAAAATTTGATCTCTGGGGAAAGAAGAACCTGTGTCTTGACAACATAAGAAATTGTTCGATTGCGAAACCGAAAGAAATTGTCATATTACTCTACTTTGTGTTTCGCTATCCCACAATTCCTCCTTGTTATGAAGAAATAGCTTCTACATTACACGCCTGGATTGGTTAAAAATGCAACTGTAAAAGAAGGACGAAAGATATAAGAAAACAGACATGAAACGAAAATCCAATCGCCTATAGTACCCTCTTCTATAATATTTTTGGCATGAGAGACTAGAAGGCCGGATTTCTAGCCTGGTGCTTAAGGGCAATTTCTGACAAAGGCTAGGGGCCTGGCCTAGATGTGTGTAATAGGGTTCAGTGGAAACACAGGGTTTGTTGTATATCACTGTTATATTAACTATTTATCTATATCTCTCTCTCTCACCACATCAGACTGACACGAGTACCTGATGGTTCTAACGCTAGTAAAATATTTAATCTTGGCTCTAAACATAGGTACAGGTACGTAGCTTTCTTATTCTAGTCTACTTTCATTTTCTTAATTCATCACCATAGTATAACAGCCCTAGACCTTCAACCTTCAAACAGTATCTTACTTCTTTAAACAGTGTTTTTGATTGGTCAACTTAAAGGGACAGATTCGCCATGTGTTTGACCAGTCGTACCTTAGTCTCAGAAACAGATTTTTAAGCTGAGCTAATCAGTAATAGTGTTCATAGCTCACCTTGGAAAATCGAATACACTTAAGAGTAAAGAAAACGAAATTGTAATATATTTTCTCATATCCAAGTTATATTTTTAGTGGTAGAACAGAACGACAAGCCCAGGCTGATCAGCTAACTCAGTCTACATCTCAGAATGTTTTACGTGTTGCTAGCAGACGACAACAAAGACGCATAAATTCAGATTCCAGACTCAATGGTAAATAATTTCACTGGGGCCAACAGGGTTGTAGCTACAGGGGGGCAAGAGGGGGATGCTCTGAGAAAACGGATTACCTCCCCGAAAAAAAATCTGACAACATACCAATCTCATTACTGCAACTAAACACCATAAACCATTGCCCCTCCGTACAGTCAAGTCTGGATACTGACTTAAGGACCAATTTAATTGACTTGAATTTCACTTCTACTCAAGAAAGTTCTATAAGGGAAAATCTGTTTTGATATCTTGGCTGTGATTTTTGTGCAGGAATGAGCATGTTATTAGCCGTTAACTTCCTTGTCAAGTGAAATTTGTTCCTATTATTACTGTCCAATCATTGTGAGGGGTGCTCCAGGACTGTAATACCCTTCTTCTTGTGTGGTCTTCAGGATTCGCTCATCATTTATATCATAATCCAAGACTTTATTTCAGATACGTCAAAGCGTAAAAACAACAGTATGATAGATGGAGGACATGTTACCATGGTTATGCCACCAGAACCAGTCAGAGCGTAAGTGAACTTTGTGATTTTTGTAAACTAAACATTTCTGCATCTAATCTCTACATTAACCATATTTTTAGTATGTATAACTAGAGACAATCAGCGTAAACCTACCGAAATTGCAGTCAGTTCAATAAATTTACAAAAGTATTTTATTATAATTGATACTTGATATCCTTTCCAGACCGAGACATAGAAGTTTACCAGAGTTACAGTCAGGTGAATCACCGAGAAGTACCAGATCAGCTCCATGGGAAAACAACATAGATGGGTTAGTATTGATTAGATCTTTATTAATGGTGATTGATTAGTTCAGACCAAGGTTTGCTGTGTTTTAAAATCCTTTCTCATCAGGACAAAGTCAAAAAGTCATTTACACAAAATGCTGTTGGTATAAACAGTTAGTAAAACAAGTAAACCATGCAAAAATAATGCCCTTTACCTTCAAAGATTTTGAACTAGTTATTGCCAAGGCTCTCTGTTAGTAGTTATCTTAGATATTGCCTTACAATTGTAGAACAGAAAAACTTTATTCTCTGTAGAAAAGAATAAGTAGGATTGTTTAATTATTTAATGGATTTTGTTTATTAGTGGTCTGTATACGTCTGGTAAAGAGTCTCCGATATCAGCTCGTAGTGATAAGATGTTATTTCCCAGACATAATAGAGCTGTATCGGGGAGTGACAGTGAGAGTGGAGTCAGTAATCGTAGAAGGTGAGGTTTTATCAATTTTGAAATACAAAATTACTGTATGTTATTTAATGCAACCTTTAACCATTGATATATTCTTTTTGAAGTTTGTGATCTCTTAGTTTGATATTTCATTTGAAAAGTTTTTATTGTGAAGTTTTCTAAGGACTATAGTGGTTAATTCTAGTAGGATATTTTAGATTTATATTATATATTTCAGATATTTTCCTGCCAGTAGAAAAGGTTCTGATGGAGAAAGTGATGCCTCTACTACTAGACGTAGAAGGTAAAATATTGATTGAAATATTACTACTTTTTCCCTCTTAGACTAGCACAAATAGTAAAAAGGTCCAAAGATGAGAATAGGACATAAATTGATCCTTTGAGACTGGGACATAAATTGATCCTTTGAGACTGGGACATAAATTGATCCTCTGAGACTAGGACATAAATTGATCCTCTGAGACCAGTACGTAAATTGATCCTTTGAGACTGGGACATAAATTGATCCTCTGAGACTAGGACATAAATTGATCCTTTGAGACTGGGACATAAATTGATCCTCTGAGACTAGGACATAAATTGATCCTCTGAGACCAGGACGTAAATTGATCCTCTGAGACCAGGACGTAAATTGATCCTCTGAGACTACAACATAAATTGATCCTATGAGACTAGGACATAAATTAATCCTATTTATATTTGTAGACGTGGTGAAGGGTTAGATAGTGGTAGTGAATCAGATATATCATATCGATATGCTCTACAGAACAGACGTAATAGAAACCATAATGATATAGATCTACAGAACGGTCATAGTGATCTTCCACCCATGTAAGTTATAGATTTTTCAACACTGGTAAAAAGAATTGGAGCTCCAAAGGTTCTTGAGCTCAGATTCTCTTATGGTCATTGATGCTATAGTTGATACAGCTGCTTGGTCCAAATGTATGTGGGCCATGGATTTAGTGTGTATGTTAAGCGAAATAATCTGCTCTGTACTGCTTAAGAAGCCCATAAAACTTCATTTGGCTTTTAATTAACTCGTTAAAGTACAGGATTAATATGTTATTTTTTGTTTCAGGTTGTTTCCCTTTGCTGACAATCGTAAAAATGGATCCATTCCCTCATTACATTCAGCTCCTGGGGGTGATGCTAAACAACGCAGACGGAGAAGGTAAGCACACAAAATCAAGAACCTAGGCCAGTGTACTTACAGTGAGGTCCTGATTCCAATTGATTGGATAACATTTGTAATGAAGCTCAACAACTTCTGTTTGCATTTTATCAGGGGCAAATTTTCCTCATTGTAGATTGCATTTATATAATCCTAATTTGACAAGTGAATGCACGCTTTGATTGAAGATCAAAACATGTATGAAAACTATTGTTATTTTATATTATATATGAGTTTTATCTAGATGTTATAGTTTAAACTCTTTCTATAATATTGTCGTTTATTTATTGTTTAAAATATTGAATATTTTTTAGGAGAAGTAAATCACCAGGTAATAAACGACCACCTGAAGAACTTAAACAACATTTCGAGTAAGTACTTACAGACTTTCATTTTTAAGACTAAAACAATACTCAGTATGACTGATATTTGATCCATAAAAAAGACATTGGTTGTGAAAATTTGGGTTAAAATTCAAGTTTACACAGTTTTAGACCTCTTTAATCTGCTCTTTGACGTTGTGACAGGTATTGTTAAGGTGGCAGGACCATTTTATCCAATGTTTCTGCATATTTTTTGATATTTTTGAACCCTGATATACTTCTGTATTATAGATATGATTTAGTAGAAACGGAAGGAATGACAGAAGATCAACTTAAAGATATAGCTTTTGTTTCTGTAGAGTAAGTAAAAACAGAGAGAAAAAAACAGTCATTTTTACAAAAATAAAAACTACCGCCTGGTCCTCTTCCCAATTTTTCCAGAAATAAAAATATTCAAATTCCAACAGGTACTCTTGGGGTGCAGACAAATCAGGATGAGCTAGTATCAGGGGTTCAGAGACAATTTTATCCATGTGTTTTTATTTCAGAACAAAAGCTCAACCATTCCGAGTAAAATTATCTCCCAGAACTCGGCAGAAAGCTAAAGTTAACAAACATAAAAGTTTTGGGTAAGTTTTGACTTTCAGTATTGTTTTCTAGAAAAAAATATTTGGAACTGCAGTTTTGATGTTTGTTTGACATTATCTGGTTTTTAATGAGTCCTAAAGCCATTCCTTTGCCTGTGCCTACAAGGATCTTCAATTTTTTTGACAAACCATTCCATTTAGAATCTGGAATTTTGAAATGAACTAATTTGTTTCATCTTTTTTAGTGATACTGACCGACATTCCAGCAACAATCGTGATTTTCCACCTCCCGTTGACAACAGACATTCTAACCAATCAGAATTTAGGACACAAAGTCACACAGGATTACCCAATCAAAATCCTGATAATAATTTACCTCCAAGTGGTTCAAATAGTTATAGTAACAATTACCGTGATGGTCGTCCTCCGTCTAGTTATAACCGAGGGCAACACGTATCACGCAGGAATATTGAACGTGAAAATAGTGCTAGCAGTGATATAAGGCGTAATGTCTCGCAACAAAATAGTTCCTCAAATGTAAATAGAAGAGACGTTCAGCGTCATGGTGACAGAAATATGCGGGATAGTTCATATCAAGACAATTTCGACCAATCACAATCCAGGTCTAGAGACAGTGCCAACAGAAATTCTTATTTAAGTGAAAATCAAATGGAAAATTTAGAAACATCCCAGCATTCTAATTATTCTAAGCAATCAGTGAGAGACAGTCGCTATGGTAACTCGCGTCAAAATATACCAGATAGTTTCTATAGTAATAATTCAGACAATCGTCATGGTAATCCTAATATGTCACGAAATTCCTCGTATAATACAGACAAATATAACACAGTTCAGAATAACTCTAATCCTGAGAGGAGTAGATCACGAACTGGGAATCCAGATCAAAGTAATCGGCTATCTAAGGGAGATAATTTTCAATCCCCAGATTATGCTGTACCTGATAGGTAAATAATAATATTATTATTATTGTTCTTTAGTCACAATTTAATTACTTTACCATCTCAAGGGCAATTTTTTTAAAGACTGAAATTAAATCCTGATTTTGTGGGAAAAAAAGAAAAGTGATTTAAAATCACCAGTTACCAATTTGATGAAACAAACATTGGCTTTTATGTTGTATAATTTCTAACAGGTTAGAATTTTCACTGCAAAAGAATTTTTTTTCTAAAACTAGACATTAATATTTGTTGTAGGTCTCATGTGAGAAGTTCCAGTCAATTAGCTCAACCACAACCACAATCCATCAATAGTCGACAGAGACCACAGGTATATAGATATAGATTCTTTCTTTCATTTTTAACAGAGGTTAATCTTGTATATTTTTTGGTGTTTTGATGTTGTTAAAGGGGACTGGTAGTTTACTTTGGTTGCTGCAGAAACCTTGCACTTGATGTTCTTGATTAGTGGAATATATTATAACCTGAACGAACCACGGACTCTGGATCTCCAGTTTATTATACTAAAATAGTGACTAACTAATATAGGTGTGTCTGCATGTACATACATTGGGCAAATCTGATTGTAATGTGCAGGATTTTAAATATATTTTTGTGTATTTATTAGAATGCTGCAATATTTATTTCTGTCAAATAATGATCAATGTTTTGTGGAAATCCAGTGCATCATACAGTTTGCACGTGCATGCGCTTTGTGACCTAATTCCTAATTTTATTTATATTTCAGTCTGCTATGTATAACAGTTACCCCCGTAATTCTGGGAACTCTGGGAATAATAACTATACCCCCCACAACAATGTTTCCCCTCGCCACGCCCGATATACCTCCCCACCCTCAAACTTCAATAATAATAATAATAATAATAGTCAAACTAACTTCAATCAACCTGACAGGTAATTATTCGTTTCATCTTTTTTTTTTCACGATAAATTTCTTCAGCGTGTTTTATACTGTATATTGTTTTTCTTCCAAATCTGTCCCTTTAAACACCAATTTTCTGGATAATCATTATTCTTTTATTTATTCATCGTTTTTTGTATTGAATACTTGTGCAGTGAATGAATTAATTACAGAAGTGTAATATAAGATATTTTCTGCAGAATCCTTATTTTTCTTGTTTCTTGTTGAACTAATGCATTCTATGGTTTGATTAAGCAGATGAAGATGAAACATGTGTATTGACCAGAATTTTTTGGGAAATTTTATGTTGTGGGCTGAACTCTTCTCCTTTCTCCCCTTGCTGTGTTAGTGTGTTCAATATATATCAGATACTTGTTACCAGATACATTGTTATTTAAAATTCTACAAATTTTGAGATTTTAAGAAAATATGATTTATCTATGTGAATCACAATTTAATTATAAACCAGATTTCTTACCTCTTAAAGTGACCATCAAATTTAAATTCTAAAACTTAGGACTCTGTTATATAGTTATGACACCAGGTAAGTCCACTGATGAATATATTCTGTTACTGACCAAGTTTTAGAATTGAGATTTTGTGTTCAATTTAAGAGATAGTATTCAGTCATGGGATACTTAGAAAGTTACAATATTTATAGCAGCAAATCTCTAAATACTTAACCGCTTGTGTGCTTCTATACCTATGCCATGCAGCCCTCGATACTGTCTATTGAAACTGTAGATACCTTCCTTTCTATTCAGATATTACAAGCATCCTGTGAATCGATCCTCCTATCCGAATAGTTACAACCATCATAAACCACGGTAGTTCTATCATTTTATCATTAGAGTACATCTTATCAGTGGTTTTCAAACTTGGGTGTAATAATAGAACAGAAAAAACCTAAAATGTTTTCAAATGAACTCTTCTTGAAGACAGTTTTGAATTTAAAGTCATTGGCTTGGTTTGAATGAAATTCTCTAATATATGGAAATCCAATGACATTCAATAAGTCATTTCTTTCAATATACCGGCAGACCCAGTGGTAAGTGGGTACAGATAATCTAAGAGTACTCTGTGTCAAGGCCAAGGACCACCTACCGGTAGTAGAAAGAATCCTCTAGTCCCCAGTTCCCAACCTAGGATTGTATCAACCCTGTGGTGTGGGACTTAGGGTGTCAGGGGTGTGGCCAACTGGTGTAGGAGAAGAATTTGTTTTGAATTGAGAGATCACCTCACATCAACACAATGTCATGCTGAAAATGTGGATGAAACAAATTTTTGGGGGAGTGAAAGGTCCAGGTGATTGCTCCAGGGGTGTGAAGGCTGAGAACCACTGCTCTAGTCCTCTAGAACTTTTGAAGAGTTGGATCACACTATTGTGGGTAACTAAACGTCACCAGGCCCCAGTTTGAAAACTACTGTCGTATATCACTATATCACAGCTTTTAAACATAATTGATATATATTTATAATTTGGTGGTAGATATTTTTATTATGCACTGGTAGCAGGATATCTTTTAAAGGTTTTTGGACTATGTGTTACTTTGAAATTGAAATTTTAGCTGTAAAATTTACTTGTGGAAGTGTGTTTGGTGGGGGTAGTATACGTGAAGTCTCTGCACACATTATTTTATTTTTGTAACTTATTATCACTTATGTGTTTGTTTTGTATGCTTGTGTGATACAAAATTAACTAATAGCTTCTTGTGTTTGTTTAGCACATGCATAGTAATATTCTTCCTTCATTTATATTGAATGATTGACGAATGATCACAAATGATGCAGACTTTTTGAGAAGTTTCAAAACCTTTTAACCAATATATTTTGACCACAGGCCTTTTATACCCTGTGAATGCACCATATATTTTTTCTCAACTATTGATGTGTGCACATGTTTTAGTCCAGTTTGAGATTAGTTACTATTCAACAGAAGGCACGGGGTTAGACATTTTCCAATTTGAGTAAAGTCTGGTTTTGAAACCTGGTCATATACAGTAGTTTGAAAGTATAATGACTATTTATTTTCAGCCCTAATCCTGGTAGCAGTATAGGCAGGGAGTCAGGAAGGGTTCTCAGTAATGGTAAAATAAACAACACAGATTATATAGGTCAAGGTCGTTCACCTGCTGTCCCCTATAGACAGGTAAATATTATTTCTCTTTTACGAACTGACCCTAATAGACAAGTAAATATTCCTTCTCTTTCACCTATTGTCTCTTATAGACAGGTAAATATCACAGCTCTTTCATCTACTGTCCCATATAGACAGGTAAACATGACTTATCTTTCCTCTTCTGTCCCTTGTATTACTGCTCTTTCACAAATTTTCGTTATAGACAGGTAATTAATTTTCTCCTACACATATTGTCTCTTATAGACAGGGAAATATTACTTCTCTTTCACGTCCCTTATAGACAGGTAAATATTACTTCTCTCATCTATGGTCTGTTAAAGACAGGTAAATTTTACTTCTTTCACCTATTGTCTCTTATAGACAGGTAAATATTACTTCTCTTTTACATAATATACCTTATAGGCAGGTTAATTTTACTCCTCTCTCATCCATGGTCTCTAATAGACAGGTAAATATTACTTCTCTGCTTGCTGTCCTTTATAGGCAGGTAATTATTACTTCTCTTTCACCTATCTCTTATAGGCAGGTTAATATTACTTCTCTCTCACCTACTGACCCTTATAAACAGGTAAATATTACTTATCTTTTACCTACTGTCTCTTATTGACAAAAATTACTTCTTTTTTACTTGCTGTCCTTTATATGCAGGTAATTATTACTTCTGATTCACTATTTTTGTAAATTATTCATGGTAAGTTGACTGGATTCTCTTACACTAAGATTGGGACATGACTGGTAAAATTGACTGGTATAATCAACAATCCTTCTGTCTATTTTGGATGAAAAGCCTTCCTTTGGCTGGTACAATTGAAATTATTGTGAACTTGTGATAATGTGCCTTCTTGTGAGAACATGATTGACTGTCATTCATGTCACAGTGACCTACCCTTTTTCGATTTATTGTACCTCTCGTATAAAGTCGATTCCAGCTAGATCGACATTGATATGTTCCGATTTTTCTGGTTTTTAAGAGAAATTTTGAAAAATGAAAATGACCCCGACGTGATTTGAACACGCAACCTTCTGATCTGGAGTCAGACGCGCTACCGTTGCGCCACGGAGTCATGATGGTAGAGCTTTGTTTGATTGAATTAAATAATGTCGGCTTGTTTGAAGTGTAGCTATTAATAGACCTGTAATGGTCCTCACTGTGATATACCGTTACACGTCTCAATAGTATATCAGCATTTTTGTGTGATATACTCTTATGACTTCATATAGCCTTTTAAGCTTATATTAAACAATTCAAATGAATGTATTTTGAATTGGTTTGTGCTTACTTGAAATTGCAGGCTGTTGATTTGTTGACATTTGCCAGGCCTGTCTAATAGTTGTGCTAAATGACTGACTGTCAAGCTGGTTAATAGGTCATGAGTCCTTCAGAGGTTTATATTTTAGTAGCTTTCCTTTCTATTTATTTTTATTTTGCTGAATTGATATTTGCCAGTCATGTCTGAATTGATTTTGAAATGACTACATGTGGGTCATTAGAACATGCAAATGAGAGACAGAGAAATGAATTTGGGCCTCAGGGATATGATACACATGTATATTTGCCAGTCATGTTTGAGTTGATCTTCCAAATGATTAGGGAGCATATTAATTATCTTATTCGTGTAGGCCCAATATTTGCCAATCATGTATGACTTCTATAACTGCTTTCAAAAAGTGTTATTACTTACCTATTTGCTTTGTCAGGGATATTTTGTATGATTGCTGTAAAGGTGGGTATTGTTGGCAATTTTTGACTACCAAGACATCCTTGAGTCCTCCCTTTCAGCATCCACGATACCAGACTGCTTGCTGCATCACATTTACTCTTATAATTCCAGGTGAACCATCCAGGGACGCCGCCACGAAATCCAGGAACTTCTCCAAGAAATCCCAGCACCCCACCACGTCATGGAGGTAATCAGCCCCCTAATAACATGGCGTCCCCAGCCGCCAGTGACCAGTCTGTTAATAGAAGTATTGGAAGTAGTGTCAACTCGGAAGTCATGGCTCATATGATGAGAGCATCTCGATTTAATTCTGATCTGTGTACTGAATTGTGATGCTGATAAAAACTAGGATAAATTTCTAATTAAGTAATGGCCAAGTTTATTTTCGATTGAGTCCTTAAAACTGATATTGAGCTTGTTAGGGGCATTTTTGACTAATTATTATTTTCAAATAATTGAATTAAGTGTCCTCACCCCAGAACCACATCTAAAAAAATTATAGGATAAAAATTAGTCAAATTTATCAAGTTTGTAATTTATCATCATATCGTATAATAAATACAGGTTTTGACATGGTCTCTCCCGAGGAAGTATTTCGAATGGGGGTGTGGTTTAGAGACGATAGTTATTTATACTCTGACAAAAATAGATAGCAAGATTTCTGTGAATAAACAAGACCTTTTTTCCTAATTTTTTTAAATTCCTGCATTTTATACTAAAATGAGTTATGATTGAGAGATTTGACTGTTATTTATTTTATTATAAAGTGGTATTAATATGATATTATGAGCTAGAACAAATATTTTTATTTATATCAACTGTGTGTTCGCGTTATAATCCAGCAAATATATTAAATAATAAATACTTGTATTGTTTAAAGGTGCCCCACCCCCTCACACCATAGTTACGTATGGTTGCTAATAGTAGTCATGAGTTCTGAACACAACTCACAACTCAGTAGCATAAGAGTTGCATTCGAAATTTATGACTGCTAGCCTTATTAGTAACCAAAGGCAACTGGTGATTGCTATGATGTTAGGTCACCTTTATGCATAATATTTTTGATAAGAATCATGCCTCTTTGCTTTTGTGAGTGAATGTGAAATTTTATTGAATGATCCTAACTTATTACACTTAGCCCCATGATCGTGTATAATTTTTTATGCAATGATTATGATAGTTACAAATTTTTATAAGCACCATAAGATTGTTTAACTTACAAATTTTTATACCATTTTTAAAATTTACAATTGTTGAAGATTTTTTCATAATATTTTATTTGAGAAACATAATATATTTTCTGCATATATATCTCATCTTGCGTTCAGTTTTCTGCTTTTATTAAGTAAACAATTATTTCTCCAGAAGTCAAAAATAGAGATGACATACCAAGATGCGAAACTCATAGTTAGACACAGAGCACTATTCTCCATTCCTAAAATTACAGTTGACCACCGGACATTTGAGCAGCTCTGCTGGTCATGTCTGGCAAATAGATCCAAATTAACAGCCCTGCTGAATATATTTAAGAAATATGCTAGGAGACAATTTAGTTTTGCTTAAAAATAAGACATATATTAGCTTATATAACCATTCACAGCCTTTGATAGAACAACTGTAACCATTATGACTTATTGCATATAGCCATTTTGTCAAGGCCTCTATGCTAGCATACAATCCAATCAAATTGTTGCATTTACTAACTTCCGTAACACACGAAATGTGGCTAATGATGTCATGGTAATTGATGTAGATCGTAATAGCTTGATATTGTGAAGTTGTGTACTTAATGATTTTAATAATAGTTTTGTTATTAAGGTGTATATATTTTAATAAATATTTTGTTAATTTTTTAAGAAATATACGAAGATGTACTAATCAGATGCTACCAGAATGGCAATAAAACTAATAATCACTTCAACGTCTTTTGATTTAGTTTTTATCAAAACTTTTCTTTGTCAAAACTTTTCTTTGTCCAAACTTTGTGATTGTTATAGATCAGATATTCAGATTTGGGTGGTATACATCAGATGCAAGTTTTATAAAAAGAGTTCCTTATAGTGATTTTACAGTTTAAGTGATATGGTATCCATTTCTCAACTGAATTAGGAATGAATTAAGAATGCACAATTAGTCTAAAGAATAGTCTAAACAACCCTCTCAGCCTTAGAGTTAATAGATAAATCTGTTATAAATATTACATTAATCCTCCTTTCATAGTAAAATTGAGTACAATAATTCATAATGACAAAAACTATTGAGCTTAATATTATACACACTTAAACAAACTTGAACAGAACAAGCAGAAAAATTCATAACAAAAATCATCTGATTACAAAATTACAATACAGCAAAAATTGTAATCTGAATCAAATCAAGGGTAAAGGGGCCGTCATATTATAGCGTTCACCAGTTGCCAATAATGAAAGTGGCCATGAATATTGAGCGCAATTCACAACTCAGTAACATGAGAGTTGCATTCAATACTTATGACGAATATCCTTTTTCGCAACTGGTGGTTGCTATAAAGTGACGGTCACATTGGTACCATAAACCAATTATACCAAATTAAAATTCTCAAGTTTCAAGGGCTCTCATTTTCCACCTTGACCTCATTCACTGGAGCACGACGAGATCTAATAAAAGCCATTCCATGTACACGCATGTGATTTTTCAAAAGATTCAGATTTTCAAATTCTTTGTAACAGACGCGACATTCAAGTTCACCAACTGGTCCTTCCTTTGCACGCTGGGTTTCGATTGGCACAATGTCTTTAATAATATTCTTACGCGGACTGACAGCCACATCTAATTCCTCATCTTCGCTGTCAGGAGGTAGTTCCTCAGGTTCTTTGATACCCTTTTCCTTAATGTATTCATCCGCGTTACGAATTTTATGCACCATGAAAAGATGTTTTTTGAGCGACGGTAAAACACTGAAACACAAACCACATTCTGGACATTGATTGGCTTCCACAGTTTTATGACTTTCAATATGTTTACAAAATTCTACTGAATCTTCAGTCGAGAAGGAGCATTTAACACACGCATAGAGTCCACTTCCTTCTTTACGCAGACGTTTCACGGGGAGCGTCTCCTGTTCTGCGTCAGCCTCTGTGTCAGATGCAAGCTGTCGTTTTGTAGCATCTTTCCGTCGATTTTCACGTCCAATATTTACAAATCGTTGCACACGTTGTTTGGCAATTCTGTGTTTGAAAATCAAATGTTTTTCTAGAAAAACAGCAGTATTGAAGTGTCTTTTAATGCCTTTTTGTTTACAAGGATAACAGATGTATCCTGGTTTGTCTCCAACATGCGTAGCTTGACAATGACGATCAAGTTTTTGTTGTGAATCATACGTCAAACCACACAAATGACAAGGGAAAGAACTATGTTCTGTTTTGTTATGTTCCACAAGTTTAGATTCAGAATCGAACTCAAGGCGACATATTTCGCATGTACTATTCTCAGGAGGAGGGGTAGGTTTTTGGACAGGTACAGAAGTGGATGTTGCTTTTCTAGATGTTCCTTTTCCAGGTGGTGGCCCTAAAGTTACCCTTATCACAGGAGATGTCTTTGGTGAAATTTTACGCAAAGGTTTTGGCACAATGTTAGTTTTTTCTTTGGACTTGTCGATTTTTTCCAAACTCTTCACTACAACTGTCGTAGATTTTTCACAGACATGTTTCTTGAACAAATCTGGACTTTCAAACATAATTTTACAAATGTTACAGAAATAAAATTCAGAGTTGACATGTTCATGCACTCTGAGTTGATGACTCAGCATTTTTGGATATGAGGTGAACTTTTCATTGCAAGCAGAGCAACGTAATGGCCAAGTTTTGGTTCGATGGTTTTCTCTCATGTGAGTGATTAAATAATCTTTCGACGAGAAGACAGCTTCGTTGTTCTCAGAACATTCAGTACACTTGTAGCAAAACGTTGCATTGCGTTTTATTTCCGTTATATGAGTTTGCATGTGTTCCGATACTACATGAAGAAGATTCATAGCCTTGTGGGAATACCATTGTGTGCCCCTTTCTTCACAAATTTTGCAATAAAAGATGGAATCACCTTTCCTGTCCTGATTTAGGTACGTTGGTAGTGATTTTGTTACCGTTTCATGAAATGTTGTGGTCTCGCCAATGTGAATGGTCTTCATGTGCTTGATCAAAGGTGCCAATAAATGACTCTTGTAGCCACAGTCGATTCCACGTAAAGAGCAGCATTGTAGAAAACACGAACGACTAAAGTGAAGACAGACATTTTTAATATGTTCACGAAATTCCTGAAATTCAGAAAATGAATCACCACATTCAGGGCAAGTATGTGGCACCTTCATTGAATGGTATCGTTTGTGAGCTTCCAAAGAACATTTTTTTGGTAGTACCATATTACAAGTATGGCAAACATAATTAAAGGAGCAAACTAGCTCCTTTTGACCAAAATGGTCTGCCAATGCATCCTTGCTCACAAATCCTGTATTACATTCATGGCACAGAATTGGATTTTCAGGGATAGGAATGGTCTGAAAGGGTTCAAATGTTCTTTCTAAAGATTCCAAAACCTTGTCTCTAGGTGGCATGTTGATAGTCAAAATGTCTGCCTTCACTTGAATGGCAGGATTTTTGGAAGCAGCTTGAGCTTTGTTATGCATTCTGATGTGACCCAAAAACGCACATTTGTTGTAAAAAGTACATATTGTCTTGCATAAAGGACACTGGTATTCAATCAGCAGACTCACACGCTCTGTGTGCATATCCATAGTATCTTTTGACATAAAACTATCACCACACTCAAGGCAGGTGGCTGGAGAATAATTCAACAAGTAGCCCTTGAATTCTGGAGGTAACGGCTCAGCCTTGTGACTCCCAATTTTATGCTTTCGCTGCATCAACTGAGTAATGCTGGCGACATTGAAGGACTTGGTGTTTGGCTTGTTTATTACAGTTGGTGGTTTATTCACTGGAGGATTTGGCTGACGGGCTGATTTGATGTAATGTCCCACGGGTAAATTAATGATCCTTGGAAAAATGTTAGTTGCTTTGATTGGAGGTCTTTTTGGTCGGACTGGCCGTCTTTCAGGTACTGGCAAACGTCTGTATTGTTGTGACATCTCCATGGGTCTTACTGGAAATTTCTGTTTTGCCATTTTATATGCAACTTTAGACTTGCTGTCAATTGCTGATGAGGTCACTGTTGTTTGTGATGTCACCTGCGTTGCTTTGACAACACCATGACTTCCATTGGACACATGACCTTCAACTTTGTCTGTTCTTGAAGAATTTTGTGAAGTAACCAATGATACTGATTTTGGAATCATGGCTGCTTCGTATCTTTCATCAATTGGTTCCGATTTGATTTTCACTGGAAAAACCACCTTCAGTTCAGTATTTCTGGAGGTTTCAGGCACCTTGGTTACAGGAACAGGATTAGAATGTGTGCTGGGAACCGGAACAGATTGAATTTCATCTGGATCGATGTCGTCATTATCATCATCATTTTCACTCTGTGTGATTTCTCTCTCGGCATCATTCTCCCCTTTTCCCATTCTCTCAAATTCTTCAGGGGTGATGTGCTGGACACCACTTAAGCTAATAATTGGACCAATGTCACTATTATCTGGCTCTTCTTCATGGGTGTCCATATTTGTAGATGTCAGTCCGTCCATTTCAACTTCTGCAAATCCATGAATGTTGTCTTCTATTAGATTCTCAGAAGAGGTGCTATGCTTTTCAATTTCTGGTGATTTTGTTTCTAGAATGCTCCTCACTGTTGATAGAGCATTGGTATTTTGATTTTCACCATTTTCCACTTCCTGTTCTGACCTCTGATTCAGATTAGAGTTATCTTCCTTAGTTGATAAGCTGTCTTCTGCATCTTGTGATGATTTTTGAGTGTCTGTAGACATGATAGCACTGGAAGCATCATTCGATAAATCTTCAGACAAACTTGCATCTTTTTCAAAACTTTCATCAGCAGATACCTCCACTTCATTCATCTCTGCTACATTCGGCTCCATTTTTTCTGGGCATGTTTCAGAATCTGATTGTGTCTTGTAGTCAAGGACTAGACGATCGCAATCAGAATCGCTTTCAGTTGATGGAAAATTAATTCCAAAATTATTTTCCATTATTTTTGGTTGATTTTCTTTGATTCCTGTGTCTTCAATTCCCTCCATTTTTTCAATCTGATCATAAATTTTGCTTTTATAGTCTTCTTTGGCTGCTTTGTTTTCACTAGCACCATCTTTGAGATCGGAAAGTTGACCTTCAACCGAATCTGACACACAATGCCCTTGTTCCTGATCTCCAGAGCTATGTATTGCTGCATTGGCACCAGTCTTAGAATGTTGATCCTCTACAGAAATGACATCTGCATCTCCCCCATCCTGAATATCAGAGCTACTTGAAATGTCCAAATTGGAACCAGTTTTCGCATGTTGATCTTCCAAAGTAATGGGGTCTCCATCATCTTGACTTTGGTCTTCAGAGCAGGAAGTAACGTGTGAAGTCGATTTCAACTGTGTACCCTGATCAATCATAGTATCTCTGTCTTTTCCCTCCTTTCTATCCAATGTCAAAATTTCAGAGTTCTGACTGGAAATGGCTTCAGATGTAAAAGTACTTAGCGAAAATGGATCAGTATTTTGCGAGGATCTTAAATCAGAATCTTCCATTAAAATTTCTGAATTTTGAGAATTTGTAACATCAGTGTTAATAGTTGCTTCAGAAGTAAGTGACGCATTTTGTGAAAGATTCGAATTTTCCGATCCAGAAACGTCTAATTGAAGATTCAAGGATTCTGTAGACAAAATAGAAATATTTTGCGAGTCTGGTGGACTCTGAGCGGAACTCATTTGAGACGTGTTCAATGAAACAGCATTAGAGTCAGTAATGTTGTCTTGGGATGTTTCCGAAGGACTTCCCGACATTCCGTCAAAATCACTGTCTCCAGATTCCTCATCTAGATTTATTATCGTAGAATCATCTTGTAAGAAACTATCATCCAGCCCATCCTCTTCTTCCATTTTCACCTGCCTGGTCAATCTTGACTACCAGACTTGACAATCTTGACCACTAGTCTTGACAATTGTTTCTCTGGTTTATAATATACCTTATATCTTGATAATCTCATCTACTTTCTACATAACTGTCTTTCTCTGAAATATAGGTAAGTTACATTGCAAATAAAGTATACCATAAAATTGAGTTGTTATTTAATGTGCTCTCTACCCATAAAATGTTTCTTAAGGCCTATTTTACATCTAGTTCACACCTTTTTTTGCATTTATATATATGCATGCATTTGACGGCAACAAAAGGTTATCTTTATCAACTGGATTATTATGATCAAGCCCTATGTATGGGATATGGCAAAGGGGACATAACCTGTGTTTCTGTTAGTAAATCAATACTGTAGCCTATATACTATTATAAATATATCAAATAAATATTATTAGCCACATAGACTCTCATAAATGATAGGCCAAGTTGACTATCCCAGTCACAGAAATACATCAGGTGTTATTGAAAAGGTCTATTTGTGCATGCCAAGCCAATGATATATGAAACAAAATAAATCATGTTGCAGCTTAAAGAGCCAATGTGCCATTTTCAGGGGTTGATTTTGGTCTTAAATATATGTAAATAGTCTTCAGAAGTTCTAGAAATGTACGAACCTACCAAATTCTAGTATTCTTGAAACAATAATAGCTGTTATCCTAATATCTCTTTCAGTCAAGTCTTATTTAGTCTTTTTTGTATATTTCTGTATACATATTTCAACTCATCTGAATACTATCTGGCTGAAAATAGACACAGACAGTACGTTTATTGGGAACATCCTTAAATTATATACCTGAAGACATTTTAAGATCTAGATATGCTATATAAATCAAAAGATTGTGGAATTTTTTATAAATTTTAAACCGGTGAATTTCATTCAGCCTTAAAAAAAACATAATAGGCTGGTATAGCCTACTGGAGGCAGAAAAAGAAATATAGACCTTAGTCTAGTATAGGACTAGGCCTACATGTAATAAGGCTTCATTCCCATAATGCATCTCTATTCTCTACCAATATGGCCCTTGCCATGCATCTCTAATGAAATATGGACTTGGCTTGGAATTTCTTTGTTTTCCTATGAATTCAGCTTTTTCCTCTGAAATATAAAAGATTGGGTTTCAATGCAAACGACGATGGTAAAATAAACGACATCGCACACTTACAAAGCATGGAAACTGCAGCAAAATAGCGACAAGATTCGTCTGTACAATCTATGGTTCATATCACGTGACTTCCACTGCCTCATCAGTCATCCCACAATGCATCTTGATAATGGCGGCGCCCAGTGTGAAAGGAAGCAGGTTAAATGTGAAATGAATAACTCATAATAAAGCGGTAAAACTTAAATAAAAAGCGAGGATTTTCGTGTGGATGTTGATCTAAATCATAAGTCCTTTGACTTTTGTCTCCGACTCGCCTTGTCAGTTCACAGAGTTCATTTGTGAAAGATAAATTTTGCTATTATTCGTGTCCTTACGCAGCCGTTCCTTTGTTTACATTTTTTAAAGGTCAATTTGTATCGTATCGTGGCGCCCGCAAAAGGTACAAAACCCTTTCGGTTGATATCTTGAATGGGAAGAGAAGGTTTTGATTTTGTAGAAATATTTGGTATTTGCTTTTGGTTCATTCTTTCTAAAATTGTGTCTCTTCTTCAAATATTAGTCTGTAGAAATGGTTTGCCTAGTAAGCCTGCTACTCTGTTAGCTAAATTTTTAAATAAGGTCATAGCCATGGGACTAATTTTGGTGAAAACTCTATGATGAAAAGCCTTAACAAAGCCACAGAGCATAGAACAAATAGTCAGGCCTCCTTTTTCGTTGAACTTTGTTTGGCCAATTAATAGCCTGCTTTGACAATTTGACTAGCTTCCCCTAAACTTAGATTTTATCAATATATTTAAACCTATTCTTTGTTTCAGGCAGTTGCAATATATCCCAACAGAGAAGGCTAGTACTGGTGGAGCAAGTTTAAAAATGAATAAGTAGAGTGTCATTTCTTTTAAACAAAATGTCTGCTTTCCAATTTACCATTCTTCTTAGTCAACTTCTGTGTTTCTTTGCTGATGAACGAATCATATTAGGCAAACATTCCAGAGAAGAAAGGGGCTTGGATTTAATTGGCAAGTTTTCAACACCTGGTGTATTTTACGAACATTTTGTGAAACCTGGTGTACCGTTACTATGGAGGGCAGTACTTGATGAACCCAAGGTGAAGTTTCCAGCCTATAATTATTGGACCGATGGATACTTCAGGTGGGTAACTGAATCTAGGTTTCTTCCATCTTCACAATGTCAAGGTATCACAAACTCTGTCTAACACCTTGACATCATTAGACACTTTATTGTATCATAGAATTATGTAAATGTATTGATTTCATTGGATTGTACACTAACGAATATAGCCAATCAGAGCCCTCAACAGAAAGACTTGAAACAAAAGGTGATATTAACAAGTTGGAGTTGGTAAGAGTAATTGTATTAAAAACAATTTAAAAAGATCTGATTCATCAGAAGGATATGAATTTTAAATATTAATTTGAGTGAACACTTATATTGATTGACATCATTTTGAATTTTGTTTTTCTGTCTTTTTTCCAGAGAGAAGTTTGGAGATGAAGAATATAATGTTGAGGTTCAGAAAAAAGAAAATCGAGATAAGAAATCAGTTAAAATGACACTGACTCAGTTTTTAGATGAATATAAAATTAAACCTATATATCTTATTGATAGTCTCAGTGAAAAAATGAAAGGTTGGTAAATTATTGAATTCATTAGGAGTTACATTGTTCTGTGTAGCATATAAGCTTTTGGGGAGTGACTAATAGCTAGGCTACCATGCACCCAACATCTCTGAAATCAAAATCAAAGTTAAGCAGCATTTTCTTGTCATTATATTTTTCCAAATTTAGCCAAGAATTGAAAATTTATTGATTTTAACATCATATTTAATCGAATCCAGAATCTGGATAATTTCGTTTTGAAAAGTATTAAAGGGGGATAACTTTAAACCCTTTAATCATCATTATGTAGATTGATATTTTGAATTTCAGAAGACTTGTCTTTACCATCAACTTTCCAGTGTGGAGGTTTAGAGAAATCTATCAATGATGTTGTCATGTGGTTTAGTAGTGGAGGTACTAGTTCTGTTTTACACAAGGACCCGTTAAATAACTTCATGTGTGTTTTAGAGGGCAGTAAAGACTTCGTATTTATTAACAAAGTAAGTATAGTGAATCCTGCTCATGGGATTACCTGTTATAAGCAATCACCGTCAATATGCGACTACAAGTTATTCCCCGTACATCTTTTCAATCTGATTAACGACTGTTAAGCAACCACCTTCTTTGCTTGGCCGGCAACAACTGGCTTATACTGACCCAATACTCTTCTAAGAGACCACCTTCATTAAGAGACCGTTTTGAATTATTCCCTTGAGTAGTCTCTTATTACAGTTTCTGTCGTAGAAGTATGTAAGTGATTGACTTGTAGTGCAGATTTTGCTTGGATATGAGTAGAATTTGATAATTTGAGTAATTGGCTTCCTTATGTATAAAGACTATGAACTTGCCCAGAAAATGTCTTTTATGCTTACTAACTCTTGGGATCATGGTCTAAGGGAGATAACTCTCTTTAAGTATAAAGCATGATGCTATGATGAGAGTATATAGTAATGATTTGATATCGTCTTAGTGACGTTGATCAACGTAAGATTATAACTTATACTAATCTTCTCTCTGAGCATTCTTTATTACTTATGGAGGTTATCTCCCTTGAATGCCAATTTAGGGTTTGATTCATACAGTTCTACAAGTGCTTGTGAATTTAATTAAATTCTTCTTGAATGTAATGCATAAGGAATTGAAAGGATCGGATTATAAAAGCACTGGTAGGGGCACCAGATGATTTCCAATACTTGAGAATGAGCCAATTAGTAATTCCTCCTTTTGTGTCTAATAGAAACATATTAAATTTTTTCTTCAGAAATACGAGAAAGAAGTAGAATCAGTAGGGTGGGTAGAAGAGGGTAGCTATAGTACAGTAGATGTTGATAATGTCAACCGCAGGAAGTTCTCCACCCTCCTGTCCCTACCCTGGGTCAGAGGGCATGCTAACGAAGGAGACTGTATCTTTATACCTTTTGGGTAGGTTTATATTTTGCTGTAATTTAACACAAGTCACTGATGTCCCTGATATACTTTAAGAGTTTAGAAAACCTCTTTACACTTAAGTAAATGAAACAATAAGCATTGAGGCAGAAGTTGATGTATATTATATAATAAGCAATGTTTCTGTATATTTTCTAGCTGGTATCATCAGATACGATCCAATGGTAGAAGAAACCTGGCTGTGAATTATTGGTTTACACATCGCTGGTGGTTTAACCATCCTGATTGTATTAAATCTAGTAAATTTAACCTTACCGAACCTCTCAATAAATATCCCATAGCCTCATCTAATGAAATACTGAGGTAAGTTATTTGCATGTTGCATCGAGTGATACAAATGTGTTGTGCAAAAAAGAATATACTGAAAAAGGCATTCATAATACCTTAATAAATAATGTATAAGGCAACAAAATGTCAGTGAAATATTATAATAAGGCATACGGTAGACCTTTAATTGATATGCTCCATTTTTATATGTTTTTATTGAGAAGAATGTTCTGTTGCTAGGTTTAAAATGTTACGACCATATAAAGATTTAGAATATATACTGAAAGATCAGTTTCTAGAACCAGATGTTGATAAGGAAGACAGGGAAAAGGTAAGTGTTAACCTTCATCACTTTGTGGCACATTTGCCTTGTTACTTAACGATACAGAACGATATGGTTTTCTACATCATTTACTAGATAATAGATTTTTGAAATGATTCATTTAGAGGATTTCAATAGCTCAATAAATTGAAAGCATTAAAATTTTACCTGTCATTGATGCAAGTCAGAGGAACTGAAATGTAATAAGAGTCTAGAGTAGATGTCTCGATCAGGAAAAAAGGCCACTTTTGTGCTGCAAGCTGTGCACATTTAAGATCGCTCATCGAGTTGGAAATCTGAAAAAGACCGGGCTAATGTCACATTGTTCATTGAAGGTCATTGCCCAACCGTTGTAGAAAAATAGGTCACAAAAATTCCATTTCATTTCTTATTTTGGTCTCATTGTCTGTTCCAGTTGTTTGATTTTATTAACCTAGACAGAGATAATGTATTAACATGGGAAGAATTATACGAGTTTGATATTGATGAAGCTGTATTGAAATATCACCATGTACTGGCTCTAGATTATGTCAGGACGGTAGAGGATACCGGACCAGAGACAGAGGAGGTGATGAAGGGAGGTGAAGACCAAGGTGTTGAGATCGATGAGGGGGTAGTGTTGGAAGAATACCCACATGGGGAGGATCATTTTAAAAGAATGCACCAACAGATTCTGAAGGAGTTAAAGATGGTGATGAAGACAATGATTCAGAAGACAGCAAGGTCAAGGATGAATTGTGAAAAGTATTATGTTTGTATGTTGGAGTTTTTGCCCTTGATCTTGAAATTGGAAGATTGTGTAGAGGTTTATGAATCAGCTCTTTGATTGTGATCTGAATAATGAATGATTTACAAGACTACAAAATTAAGTTAGAATATGTTGAGAGTTATTGCTCTTGATCTTGTGATAAATAACTATGTAAATTAAGAAATTGGCTACCAGCTGATATATAAGCCAATTGATTGTGATCTGAATTATGAATTTTTTACAAGACTACGAAATTGAATTCCAATATGTGAAGAGTTATTGCTCTTGATTTTTTGATAAATAGTGTTGTGAGAGCAAGAAACTTCAATTTTTTTTTTACCAGTTATATTCTACCAGATACAATCTGTATATTTTAATAAAGTCAGACATGACTGGTAAACTCCATACCAAGATCAATATATCTTGTAGAGCTCTGGATACTAATATGAGTCAGGGTTGTTTAACATTGTAATGTCGATGTTGATTCTCTCCGACAATTAATTTCAGTCATTGATTTTTTATTCATGCTTGTACAAATTGATAAAGTCAGACATGACTGGTAAATACACCTGGATCAATATACCTTAGAGAGAACTCTGGGCATTATTAAAAGGCAGTGAGAAAGGTCGTTAACCAGTATGATGTTGATGTGTATCTATTATTGATAATCAATTTCTTAATTAATTAATTACTGCTTCGTTAGCTACTTGTTGTTTACCAACTTCTTGACGAACGAGAAAAATATTTTTTGTTTTGTTAGATTTACCACCGGGAAAGTACTTCTCAACAATTTGAAACAAACAACTTTGTTAACAAGGATAATAACTTTGTTTTACAGTTAAGGATCCTTTCTAACAACTGGTCCTTGGTCTAACCTCTAAATATTGATCTTTCCACAGATTATTCACAATTATTTTCAGCTGGGTCGAATACAATAACAAGGAAAGATGATTATATGGAAATTTATTTGATAATTATATGATCATTATATACCAATACTAGTATATGATCTTATCGTCAAATATACAGGATGATAGTGGTGTCTGTGATGTGCCAATTCTGACTTCAATTTTTTCGTAAACAAGGGGCGCGCATTATACACGGGTGCGCATTATATTCGGAAATATACGGTAATTATATGATCATTATATACCAATACTATCTGTTGCTAAAATTTAAAATCTCTTAACATTTATCATACCATATCATTTTAATATATAGATTTTTATGATAAATATTTGATCTGTTAATGTTTATAAATTCTAGAATTACTCTAGTGAATGAAGTCCAGCGTATTTGTTAGATCATGTTATCAAGAATCATTATTGTTATGTTTTCCCTGATCTTTATTTCAGAGAGAAAACCTGATTTGTTTTTCATCTGATTGATTATCAAATATTGAACATATCCTACTTTCATTTTATCATTCCATCAGGACTAGTTAAATATTCCATATCGTGTTTCATATATCTAGAAACTTTGATTGTATGTGTGGAATATATTGATGGTTGATATCAGGTTGACTCTTAAGGCTTGGATATCAAACTTTTTCCTACTTGAATAAGAATGTTGCTATCTGTTTATCAAGAATAATTTCTTGGGCATATTCCTAAACATTTTTAAAAAATGTATTGATGTTTTAGTTTTAATAAAACACAAAGTGACTTTTCTATATCTGATAAAGTAACGCCTCTGTAAAACTGGTAATGCAATCAAAGTTTCTGAGAGTAACACATCTTTTGTATATATTCCATTTTTAATTGTTGATTTTTGAAAAATATTAAATATAAGAAAATAAAATTTAAGAAAATCAGAAAGAGTTTTATTGTACTCCGGGAAATCTCGGAAAATAAGAAAAAAAAAGCGTTCAAAAAAGCAATATATTTGGAAGCCTTTTGGAGACAAAACGTTTTGTTAAAACAGTTTTATGCAAACAGACAACTGAATGCAGGGTGGGCGTCAGAATATATATAGATATACCTAGGTTATTGGCCTGGTTATCGACCAGACTAAATGATGGATTGATATTAAAATTAAGATCAAATTAAACTCTATAAGATACATGTATTGATTAGGTATATGCTGTCGAATCAGGTTGTTAAAGAATGATTGTGTTTGTTCTATAGATTAAAAATGTCATCAGCCATGTATCAGGTGCGTAGGCTGGAAGAGGGTGACTTTCAAGCAGAGCTGTTTCTTTAATCATTTATTTAGGTTGGAGGTAGAGGGAGACAGGATTGTCTAGGGGGGCTCAAAGCAACAGGCCTCTAAGATTTGAGGGCCCCTCCCCCCCACACACACCCACACATCAGAACGCCGCTGAGCTAATCGGTTCCCAATGTTCGGGCGTTGTGTTCGAGACCTTCGGTCCAAAGGGTTTGCCAGTATTCTACAATATATCAGCTGATACAATTCTACAATATATCAGCTGATACAATTCTACAATATATCCGCTGATACAATTCTACAATATATCAGCTGATAAAATTTACAGAGGCATAATGAAATATAACAATACTGTTGCATGATGTTAATAAATGTTTTACTGTAGAATAAAATAAAATACAAATAAAATTATCACATAACTTAATAAAATATAACAGTTTATACGTGGACGGTTATTTTCAGCAGTTAGTCTGTAGATCACCTTGTCTCATAGTCCCAGAAACCCTGACCCTATGTACAGCTGGATACAACAGATGATTTTGACGGCAAACACACACACACACACACACCCCTCTTTAAATCTAACAATAGCGGGCGTCTACCGATCGAATTCATCTGTTGGATTTGATCAGATTTGCCTTGAGTTATTGGGTTTATAACTGCGTGGGTTTAGCTATGACCAGCGACAGCTCCAATGTATTGAGATGATCTATACTAGGCTACAAGGTGATCGGAGTGAGAAAATTCAGCTTATCAAATTTGGCAGTATTAGAAAAACTTGAAATAATATATTTACTATCAAAACGATTAACATATTAATAATATAATAAAGAGTTTCGGGTGAGGAAGCCGGTTGCAAATTCTCAGTTTTGCCAAACCATAAAAAGGGGCAGAGGGGATGATTCCGGCTGATTGCAGGACTTATACATTTTAGCAGTAGGTTTACATTCATTAAAGAATACATAAGAATTATAATGAAGATAATAATTAATAATAACATGAACTTGCAAAACATTTCAAAAACATCATTTATATTAGCCTGGTGGATATATCCTCTCATCCACCACCTAAAATGGATATATAATAAGCCAATTTATGTAAATATTTGCAGATTTGTTGCAATTACGATGGGCGTGCTTTGTTGACCTATGAAGACTCAACAATTAAATGCTGAAAGAAAGAATTCCTGTCTAAAAAAGTAGTCAGAAAATCCTGTATTTGGATATATAACTATGGTGTATGTAATTCTCTGACCAAGCCACTTTCCAATAAACGAAAAAGAAAGAATGATGGGAATGGCTGTTCCAAATATTATGTGCGGTGGGTGTAATTTTCTGGCAGTTCAGCCTTGTTTAGTTGCTAAGTGAACGCTTGATGAACATAAATTAATATACATAGTACAATAAAAAGAGAATTCTCGAGTTATTTGCTGAAACAAACAAATTCTGTCTTCAAACTAATTTTCAAAAAATAACATAAAAATATAATATAATATAATATAATGTACATTAAAATTGGAATGTTAATTGATACAATATAATTCTATAATAACATAAAAACAATGGACGGAATGAAAATATCATGAAAGCCTCCAATCAAGCGCGAAACAAAACTACATTATTTTACAGATTCACATTGGTTTCTTATTGATTTGATTCCAGTATGACTATTGTAATCTTACATCCTGGTATCTTCATCTATTTCTCTGTGCCTACACATAAACAGGTTCTTCCTTCCGATCTATATTCAGGCATCTTCACAATGTCAAGCTTTTGTTATCTGCGTCTTTTCCTGTATCATGGAATGTCGAAAGCAGTGATTTGATTGGATAGTACGCTAGCGAATACAGCTAATAAGAGCCCTTGATAAGAAGACTGTAAACAGGACTCCGATTGGACATATTCGCAAGTGCTGCATTCAACGATACAAGAAAGGTGGCTATTACAGTAAAGATAAAAGTTTGTAATAGCTTGACATTGTGAAGTTTGATCTATTAGGTTGAATGGAAAATAACAAGTTGACGTTCGCTTCCAGTTTAATAATTTCTTACGAGCTATGGGACCTCGAGTCAGATACAGCTAATTCAAAATATATAAAGAATTTTGATTGGTAGCTTTGGTGAAATACGTCAATCGGATGTCAAGTTGCCTCTATGTACTTCAGAGCTTTAAATGTAGTTTTGTTTCATGATATCGGATTTGTCAATTCAATGGTTCTACCTACCACTCCACACTAAATATGATCAAACAGAATAAAATAGATCTAACAGAGACGTATACGAATAATCTCTTGAATTCTGAAATTGTTATAGTTTAAACCCAGCGCTGTCAGCTAAAAAAGCTAATATTAAGATTTCAATAGCATTTTAAAGCGGAGTGGAGTGGTGGGTATAATAATAAATATACACGTATCACCATATACCAATTGTCGATATATATAAACGTATATACGGTAGGTGGTATATTAAATAATATACTAAATAATGCAATCAATGTGTCTCTACTTATAAATCTATAAGATTGTTTACATACCACAGTGATCACAAATAATTAAATAATGCTAACTCTAAAAATAATTAATTCACAATGAACGAATTGCATAAAATATTGTTCATTGTATCGTCGGTAAATTTATAAGTATACATACATACCACTTAAAATATCGCTTGCCTGGTGTGAAGCTAAAACAAAACCCCTTTCAGAATTCAGAAAGACAAAATCTATATGATCTATGCTGCATCCTATATCATATAATTGCGAGTATAATACGCATTTTTACCACAACTACGTTGATCTCCGTTAATTTCAGGTAAGCGGAATCGTAGGTTGAAAATATATCTTGAAATGTACACCGCAGTGTGTTCAACCGTTGTGTCATTGCCAGTTTATGGATTGTGTCTCTTGAATTGTGGTTTGGATTAGTATAATCATAGCGATCTTAGCTTCACATCACATCATGACGTCATTAGTAACGCTCCAGCGGCGGTTCTGGGGGCGGGATTATTTCGACTGTGTAACCAGGATTCTCAAAACCAGAATTTGTACTGGATTTCGAATCTTGTCGAATGATTGGCGTTTTGCTGATACTCTGATGAATGCTGGGAATTGTGATCCTTGCATCATGGGTACCGGAAGTGCTGGGTTGATCGATGTTGCCTGGTGCAGACGATGTCAATTTTTGATTTTTTCGATGAGTGAATTTTTCTATCATTCTACTAAAGAGATGCTTTTCGTCGCCGTTTGTTTTCTGTCGAGGTTTGGCTGGAGACATGCTGGATGCCCGCTTCACTAACAAATCAGGTCGTTGCATCCGACGCTCAGTGCTCATGTCTTTTTGTCGTGGCCATGTTTGAGACAAGGCATCGACGTCACCAACAGCATTCTCCTCGTCGGACAATGTCATTGGGCGAGTTCGAGGGGTTTCTGGAATTTCTAAACGAATAGAATCGGGTCTCAGCGCAGTGTTTTTCGCTCGGAGATTTCCACCTTCCTTCCCCTTTTTCTTCTCCTTTCGTTTTCTTTCCGATTTTGGTGGAGTTAACAGAATCGGATTTTGAAGTGGTTCTTGAATCTCTCGAATCTCCTGAGCGCATTGACGAACTGTTCTGATCAAATCACTCAAACTTTCTAAACTGAAATCCTCAATTTCCAAATCGGTCTCTGCATAGTTAAAATCCTTCTTTGTGCTGATAGGGGATCTAGGAATCCGTTTTTGTGGAATTGTTGGACTTGTCTCATCGTCGAAGCTGACGACGGTGTGGCTCTCTTCTCCGGGCGCAGTGACCGTTATGGTCGGTTCAAGGGGTCGCACCATTTTTAAGCTAAGGTCTGGTCTTTCTACCACAGAATCTTTCCGAACGCGGGCAATGACCTTTTGCATATTGTCCCAACTATTCTGTCGACATTTGACCGTAGTCGGAGAATGATCCGACATTGGTTTCATCTCGATCCAGTTTTCGTCCTTGTTAGTTTCCGGTGATTCGCGTTTCTCTGATTTAAAATTAGCGAAGAGTTTAATAATGTTAACATGTCCGCGGTCTGTAGCATGATCCAAAGCAGTCATTCTGTCGTTGTTCTTGATATCCAAGTCTAAAATATGTTCCCCGAGTTCATGCGACTGGAATAATCTGGACACAACTTCCGCATGTCCCAGAGCACAGGCATACATCAGAGCAGTATTACCATCAGCATCTGTTTTGTTGACATCTACAGCATTCTGAAAGATACAAACATGACTGATATGATGTGTCTCTGACGGAGGTATTCAAGATTAGCGTATCAGAGAATAACTTTTGTGCTTGCTTATTATTTCTCAAACCCCTGAACGATAGTCTCGGATTGAGGTTAATCAAAGGTACGCATGGGTAAACTGGAATAGTATTTCCTTGGGAAAAATGCTAACATTATTATTCAGTTTCTCAGAAATTGTCATCAAGGCCTAACAGAGATCGATATAAGATCATGTCGTAGTACTTTAGGTGGACCTAATCACCTTTCATAGATAAACACGCCCCTATTCAGCTGATTGACAGACCGAAATCTGCACCCAACCACACAAAATGTGAGAGGAAATGTTTTTAAGATATCGGGTTGGTCCTAAATCCAAAAATAAATATTCTGTTCTTCTATACGAATTCTAATACCCATCGCTGTGGTCCCAAACTCCCCCCCCCCCCCCCTTTAAAATAGCTACCTCAACCTTAAATGGCCACGTTTTCGGCTATTTTGCAACACTTGTAAAATGCCATCCTTTATTACTGACTGAAAGAAGGGACGTTGTTTCGGACTAAGAAATCGATAAATGATAAAGATTAGCAGCAAGTCAATAATCAATATGGCGGATCTGAACGACTACACAATCTTTAATATATTATTAATAGAAGTCATGTTCTTATTTAAGGGATGTAGTCCACTAGATATTATCAGTGGCGGATCCAAAGGCGGGTGCCCCCAACCCTCGCTGACCTGAAAGCGTGTTTTGAGCAAAAATCTCATAACTAGGTTAGAAATTCGGGCAATCTCAGATATTTAGCTCCTTCTCGGGCGTAAACCAGGCTCCACCACTGGATAATGAGCCACATCTTCAGAGACTATAATGTCTATCGGAATTTCAATTCTAAATCAGGATAATAATAAGGATCAAAAAATAAAACATTCTGGTCTTAAACGTCGCTCTTATATTTATGTGACTAGATCCCTTTGATTAATTCCTTTTAAATAGTTCATAAACCATTTATAATTCATTCACGCAAGTCCATTGCCAATCGATGTCGGCTAAAGAATTCCTTACAATACGCACTAGTAATGTTATGGATTTGATATTTTTCCCAAGACGAAAACATTCCATTCAAACATGATTGCTAACAGACCTAAAACAATGGCCATTATGCTTCTATATCTATCAATAGACCGAACCCTACATTGATGAAGATAACACAAAGATATGAGAACATTATTAGTGTTAAGTTTCGCAATTCTCTCGATCACTGAAAGTGGTAGCGCCAGCCTTTCGAGACTGGGGTACAGATAGGGCGCAGATAGGGGCGTCTGAAAGAATTCTCCCAAGACATATTTTGGGGGCAAAAACGTATAAAAATCACGTATAAAGCCACTGATCACTGGCCCTTCTAAACGACCCGTCAAAATCATCTTAGCCTATAATATAGAGCCTCTTGGATTAGGCCATCACTTAGGCTTGCCTTCATGCCTACTATAAGATAACTCACCTGTTTCAATAAAACAGACAGCATTTGAAGTTTGTTGAGAATACTGGCATAGATTAAAGCAGTTTGTCCACGTTCATTTTGATCGTTGATATCAGATCCCGCATTTAATAACTGGGTCACACATCCCACATCCTTCACGTGCATTACACATGCTAATAACGGCGTCTCTTTTCTCTCATTTCGTTGATTGACATCGAGTCCGGTACCCAGAGCAACTTTTATCTAAAAACAGAAATTTCACAACAATGATTAGTTTCTTACAGCACACAACTTCGTCTTATACCTTGACTGCGATAGACGGAAAGACTGAAAACAATAAGCTCTGTCTTTCTGTTTAGGGCTCTGATTGGCTGTATTCGCTAAACAATCCAATCAAATCGTTTCATTTAGTGATACAAGAAAGTTCGTAATAGCTTGACATTGTTGAAGGGCTTAATGAAGGGTACAATGCCTATGATTTCTGCCATACCATACCAATTTCTGAAAAGCTATCGATATAAATTGGGTTGTTACAGTGTTTGAAAATTCTCTGCTCTGAAAATAGATTTTACATACATAATACATTTGTTTTAAAGTTCCTGGGAGTACAATATTGTATGTCTGTAAATGTCAAACTAGTTAATGAATAGCAATTGATTTCAATTTCAGAAAAGACGGTGTTCAAGTAGCTGCTATTCAAACAGGCTATTCAAACAGGCTATTCAAACAGGCTATTCAAACAGGCTTTTCAAACAGGCTTTTCAAACAGGCTTTTCAAACAGGCTATTCAAACAGGCTATTCAAACAGGTTTTCAAACAGGCTTTTCAAACAGGCTATTCAAACAGGCTATTCAAACAGGCTTTTCAAACAGGCTATTCAAACAGGCTATTCAAACGGCTATGTCCCCTTACGATAACATTTCTGAAAACAATAAATTTGTTTATGAAATTTCTTCTTTTCATCTTAAAAACTCTCAAAACTTCAACAGCCCTATCAGAAAAGCATGACGTAAAACTCCATTCAATTTTCATTTCTAAACTCCGTCTATATCTATATATAATCAGATAGTCATTGAATGAAACAGTATTGAAATATTGAACTAGGCTCTAACAATTATCTATGCTATAATACCGTAAAGACAGTGGCATTATTAAATATTTATTCTTATACAATACTAGTTTTTGGGAGCGTGACATGGTTGAGATCCGTAGAGAGGGGTGGGGGAGGATGTTGCAGGCCCGTAGCCAGACTAGATTGTTCTGTTGAAGGGGCGGGGGGGGCTGGGGGGGGGTAATATGTCCGCAAGGGAAATGTTCAGTTGCAATATTGTTGAATTATTTCACGGGGACAATCCTGTCGCTATGGTACGGACCAGGGGTTAGGAATCTAGAGAAAACGATTAATAAATGTCCGATGTTTCTGTTGTGAAAGGTGGGGTGTGGTTTTTTAAGCCCCGACATGTGGGAAAAAAACATCTATAGATGCCTGTGGATACATTTAGACAATATATCAGATAGGCTCAAACCAATAGGTTCTATTTATTGCGAAAAGTCAAGATGTTGGACGTGGACGTAGTTGGGGAGAATATAGTTTGTCTTTTGTGAACAATGATTACCACCTACAAGGTCAATTGAGCTATTGTTCGGTTGTTTGTCGTCTTATAATGGCCAATCGATCGGTTTTATAACAGTAAAACATATGTCTAGTTCAACGGGAAGAAGTGAGATAAATGGAGTTAATGTAAAGATCGAGTATCTTTCTCGGATTACATTCATACATACAATTCTCTTTAACGAAGTTGTTCTAAGGGTTGCCACTGGATATGCGATCAATTTGTATTCGATGTCCTCTCACCTCCTGTTCTCTCTATTCTATATCTGTTCTATATCTGTTCTATTCGCCTGCCTCTATCTGAACTGGCCTATCCATAATCTGCCTTGTCCTATTCTCTTTTTAGCCTGACCTGGGTTGCCACTGGAAATGCGATGCGCTCACGACCTGTTCTCTCTATTCTATATCTGTTCTATTCTATCCTGTCTCTGCCCTGTTCTATATCTGAATTGGCCTATCCATGATCTTGCCTGACCAATCATGTCCTATGCTATCTCCATCCTATCATTTCTGTCTTGTCCTACCCATGTCTTATTTTGCCCTGTCTTGTCCTTTCTCTGTACAATTCTATCTGATATAATCCTATATTATTTATCCAATCATGTGTTGTCCTATCCTATCCTGCCCTATCTATGTTTTAACTTTTCCTGTCCTATCTCTTTCTTATCATATGCTGTTCTATCTCTGTCTTATCCTATCCTGTTCTATCCTGTTCTATCCTGTCCTATATTGTCCTATCTCTGTCCTATCCTATTCTATCCCATTCCAGCCCCTGCTTTCCTATACCACCACTCATCATATCCTGCCCCATCTATATCCCATCATATCTTATCCTATAACAGCCAGTATGGCGTTTCTACGGCGGGCTAAAAAAAGAGACTTGTCCGCCCCCCCCTCTCAAATTTTAACAATTTACATAGTGAAAAAATAGCGTGTGGCCCCCCTGGAAAATTTTTTATAGCCCCTCAACTAATGTTTCTTAGAAACGCCACTGATTACAGCTCATTTATTTCCTATCCCATCCTATCCTATTCTAAATCTATAATGATAATAGAAGAAAAGGACTGATATGGATGTGAAAGTTGTCAAGTATTATTTCTACATCCTATTATTCTGCTGATCAATACATAACTCTTATATTATTCAATATTTCTACCTTGTTTTGAAAACACTAGGTATCGATTAGCCTCTTGCTAAACTGCGGGCGGAATATAAAATATATTCAAAATGCGGGGGCCTACAGTTAGAGTACAGTGGCGGAGCCAAAGGATGGGGCAGCCCCGAAAGCAAGTTTTTCGGGCAAAAATCTCATAACTGGGTTAGATATCACATGAAAACTTGTTGATCTGCTTGACAGCACCCCATGCATCTCACTCCTACCACTCGGAGAGAAACATGAACCTGTAGCTTTAAGTTTGAAATAACTATTCCCAATAAGTATATACGCTAAGCGAAAAACGCTGCTGAAAATAACTTAAAACACAAAAGCATACTCGATTTAGCTCTTAAAGTGGTTATAGACTAGTTTGCCATGACAACTGAAGACAATCCTGCAAGTAATCGGATTCCGCTAATTGCAGGAATCTTAAGGAATGTCAAGCAGGTATTAGAATCGGTTGTCCAACAAGATTTTATCTCGAGCTGTTTGGAATCAATCAATCAATAACTTCCTACCTTCTTCACAGAATTCTTCCGAATTATATCAAAAATATTTTCCTCCATTTTAAACAAACTAGTTTTCTTCGTTTACCAAAATTTCACCAAATTCAGCCGATTAATTCCTAATTCTTAAGCGTAACATCAAGGTTTCAAATTGTCCACTAGTATTCTGGAATCAATTCGCGTGTAGAATAGAAGGTATGATATTGTCATGCGCGACATGTGACGTCAGAGTTAGTTACCTGACATCCAGGTAGACTGTGGAATTGGTTTTCTACTCGATCAACCAGTCTTAAAATGTTGTAAAATTCATTCCACTAATAACTGCTTGATTGAGACCTAATAATCAAGTATTGTTTTATTTGTTATCGATGAATTAGAAATAGCCATTTGATAGTTCAAGCAAGAAAATGTAGAGTGTAAGACGTAGGCCATGAAAAAGTCCTTGGTAGGGCATCTTCGAAGATCCAAGGTTTGGGATATAGCCAAAGTTTAGACAGAAAAGTTTCAGTTATCATTTGTTCCTTTTTTGTTGCCCTCAACGCGTAGGCTGAAACTTTGACAATTAAATAGTTGCGACATACGTAGGCCCTACCATTAGACTATGGGAGGGGCGGGGGGTCGGGTCAGTCTAATTTCTCAGCATCGTAGTAAACGCTACTACTACAAACCAATTGCAAATAGCCTGGAAGCATAGGCCCTATTTTCAGAGTTAAGGCTGCTATTTCAATAAGTCGCCGCCATTTACCTGGTGATCGGAAGGTGAGACGATCAAATGGCAAGACCAATCAATAATATGGCGGGAATAGCAGCATGGAGAATTATATCACGCAATTACTGGTTAATATTGTATAGCCTATAGATCATTTATATTTCATACCAATTGTTTATATATTGATCTCTGGGAGGATAGTTAGCGTTTTTAACATTTACATGTTAAATTAATTGGCTGACGCAATTTACCTTATAGCTCACTGAATGGAGTTACTCGTAGATAAGGCCTAACTAGTCTTGTGCAGAAAAATTCACAGCCTTATACCTTGTTGTCCTGATTATGATATTGATTCAGAAACATATTGGAGGCCATCCTGTAGAAAATTGAGCTAAAACGATTTGAAAAACAAAATATTATCTAAATTATGTAGTTATTTTCGAAGAATTCCCGATAAACGGATTGATGGAGCAAATCATATCGCATTTCGTATACGCCTTTCACTTGTAGGTCAACTTGTACTCAGCAGAATGCAACCGACAAAAAATTATCAAAATAAAAGCATAGTAGCCTAATACAAAGTAAACAAAACAAGAAAATCAACCAAAATGTTTTAATTAACAAGTACAACACATTTACAGACTGGTGTTTGCATTTTATACAGAATTATTGAAGGTTTGTAGGGGAAATCTGGGGTATTTCGTTCACTTTCATGTATGCAGGATAGAAAATGTGGGGGTATCAAGTCCTATTTTGATGCCACAGAATGATATCTAAATTGAATCTTTCAGGAAGTTTAAGTTGCTATAAAACGTCTCTATCGTTAAAAAGTTTGTAACTTAGTCGCCTTTTAACAAAAAACATGGCGACTTTCTTAAAAGGGGAAGGGGTAAATAAGCGTTTAAATTCGGAATAACAATAGACACTTTCAGCATGACGTTCAACGCGAGCCTTCACAAAACTGTCAATTTGAATTCTACTACAAAGTCGCATTATTCGCTTTGACAATATTTCCGACACACTAAATAAACATATACTTTCTGACCTAGGCCAGTGCTTTTATAAGACTATGTTCTCATCACCACCTTACACCGCTATTGATCTTGTATTATCAGTCATTCTGTCCGTTATATCATATTGTCTTATCCACACAAAGACGTTGAACGTCGTGCTAAAACGTCCTGATAATAATAATAATTGAAATATACATCCAGTCTAAAAGCACTATTTATGCCAAGGAGAAAATCCTTATGACGACCATTCCTCGCCTGGATTTTGAGCACTATGATTTGGACCTTGTCGTCCGAAACTACCAGGAACATTGAATGGAGTAGGGTAAGGATAGTTCCTGTAGTTCGAGTCCACCATACTAGGAGCATGCTGACTGTTCAGGTAAAGATTGGTGAACGCGTTCATATTCATTCCAGACGGAAAGGCGTCCATAAAATTCATATTCATGCCATATCCTTGGTAACCTGTAGGATTATTCCAATACGGAGCCATTGGATTTGTCATTTGTTGTTGCTGCGAAGTGACGTTGCAAGATGGTGGTTCTCGTGCTTCCGGGGATGATTCGGCACTTCTTGATTCTCCTCTACAGCTTCCGGTTTCCAAGGGTGAAATTGGCGATATCGGGCCACTGTAAGATCTGCTGTAGGGTGAATTTTCATCAGATGATTTCGAGCCGTAGCCTTCTGATCCGGATGGACTGTGGTTGAAGCTTTGCGGTGGGTTGATAAATGGATTCCAAATTGGTCCACCGGGTTCAGGCATGGGCTGTCTGGGAATGTTGGGTTCTGGGGACGAACCACTAGATGGTGGGGATGTTGTGGGTGCGGAGTGGGACATTGGCATGTGCCAGTTACCATGGTGACCCATGTTTGTTATTGGTGCCACGAGTCCACTGTGTCCAGGGTAACCACCAAAACCATTTGGCAGAACAACAGCATTAGGACTGGATTCACTTATCTTCTGCTTCTTCTTGTTGCCATCTTTGAATCTGTATCGTCTGCGCAGAAAGCTTCCATGATCGAACATATCTTCATATTCGGGGTCAATCGCCCATTGATGACCTTTCATGCCAGGTTTTCGATCGAGCTTCATGAAGCAGTCATTCAGTGCCAGATTATGTCGAATGGAACCTCTCCAGCCTTTGGAATTTGGGTGATCTCGGTAATAAGGGAATCTATCGGTGATGAAACTGTAAATTTCGTGAAGGGTGAGCTTCCTTTCTGGAGAATTGGCGATTGCCATGCTAATCAGAGCGATGTAGCTGTATGGCGGTTTACCCTTTGGGATTGGTCTTTTGCGTTTTCTGGATCCTTTGGACACAGTTTCAGTTTCTTCATTGTCCTCTGCTTTCAGAAGTTCTGGTTCATTGCCACTGCTGTTTTCCAATGAATTTTCTCTATGTTCGTCTCCTTCACTGCTAATACTGACAATAGACTGCTCGGCACTGAGAACGCCATCTTGGGATTTCTCTTCGTCAATCACTAAGGATCGTTGCGTCTCATCTAAAGCGTCATATCCGGTTTGATTAGAATTGCTGTAGTTCTGATAACGATATTCCAAACTGGATGGCGAAATGTTCTGAAAACTTTGAGAAGTTTGTACATACGACATGTTTCCATATGAATTAGTTTCTGGTGGAAAATAACTGGAATATCCATTATAATTATCCAAGCGAGCCGCCATGTTGTCAATTTTGTCACTAGGGCAGTAGGTAAGAGGAAAGGTATTCACGTTTGTCATAGTTTCTAATTTCACATCCGTTTCTTCCCTTTTAGAATATCCAGAGTCTTCCAAATTTGTGCGATCACCAAGAACGGTAGAACTGGTCTGCATTATGAAAAGTTCTGTATGTTTTTATATAAATTGCTGTGTCATCCCAGAATAAGTTTTACTCCAAATTTTTGTTTCACTCCCAAGCGTTTGACCTCATCAACTCCCAAACTGTCGCATCAATCGTCAACTCAGATCACGTGATAGTTTCTAGATCGTGCAATGCACGTGGAGTAAAATGATATCAATGAAGACAAGCCGTCACTCTGTCCCTAATCAAACTACGGATAGTCACGTGACTATAGATTATCCTTTGGATTAGGGATTAATCCACGATTAAGAAAGTTTGTTTAACCAATCAGAAGCCAGTTTAATATTTCGAGGGAAATCGGACACTGTTTGAAAGTGAAGTCTCATATTTTCGAGCGATTTTAAAGTTTTTTTTTTACTTTAAATTTTTTAAAAGATATTAAGGCTAAGAATGACGTGGAAATTTTTTTAAATAAAATTCTCAATAAAGTTATTATTTTGTTATGAAATGTTTTTTGAAGAGTAAGATATGAAGCCTAAATGTTTGAAAAACGGAGAACTTGATTTTTCAATACTTCAGATATGAATTATTTTAACATTTTTTTCTCATAAACTACTATTCCATTGATTAGTAAATTATGCAAATATATGCACATAAATAATTCAGTCCCTGTTAAAGTACCATTATAAGTGTCGATCCATATTTTTCGTATGAAATACATTACCGTATTTTAAAATATAATTTTAAAGAAATAAAGACCCCGAAAAATTACTAAAATAACCATCAGTTGAAACCTATCTGTATCATCTTCAATGTCGATATTTAGAAATTTGTAAAACAGTTAATAATGTACCTTATTATATGATATATAGTGTTTGTTTTGGAAAGTTTGTATAAAATTTGTTGGAATGTAAAGACATCAAATCGTGAAACAACAAAATAAAGGTGTTGATCTGGGTCACTGGAACATCATCACCTATATTAATGTGATTATTACACTTCCTATGTTATTTTAGATATAGTTTATGCTTTAATAACCGATCAAATATTGTCTTAAATGAGCATGGAAATCATGCGCGGAATTTCTTCTGAAAAATATCCTATCCTAGTGTCTATATCCTAGCCTATAATCAGAGATAGACTTAAAACTATGAATGGAATTTGTGCTAAAATATACTGTGGGGCCTCTGTACCGATTCTTCAAAATCAGTTCTTCTTTATTACATTAAAAAAACCTGAATAATAATTTTCTTTAGTTTCCCTTAATTATAATTATTGATAAATAAAATCCAGATTCAGTTTGGATTTGGAAACTTTTTTGTGGTTTATCTAAGAATAATATGGTTTTAATTCGTGAAACAATTTCAGATCTCAACGAATCTAGGGGTTAAAGTTCGTATATGATGTTTGATTTTTAATCAGTTTGATTGCGAGGTGTGGAAATTGACACCTTTTATAAAATAATATTATCAGGTTTAGAAATAGGTTCCAGATTGTTAAAATATCAGATTTTGTCCAATTGATTGATTAAAAGATGTTCTAATTTTGAAAACACGTACTAAATTTTGATTTCATTTGTCCGGAACATAGCTCTATGGTCTGGAACCTACAAAGTATCGTACAAGTATGTTTTGGAAATTGAAATGAATGGGGTTCATGCAGGGTACAATGAGGGATATAGGTATCAGCCTGCTCTTTTTCGATTATCAAATGTCGAGGGATCTTTAACGTGCACAGCCTGTAGCACACGGGGCCTCGGTTTATTGTCCTATCCGAACGACTGGATGCTTTTTCCATTTTATTTGAAAATGATGGATGGAAAGTTTGAGATCATAATTGCCCGACTAATTTGGCCCTGTCGTTTCCCGAAAGTGATATATGGATAGGATATCAACATGTTTACCTAAACGTTTAACGTAACACGTAGAAAACCATCCGTATAACACGTTCGAAAAACGGACAGGTCGAGCTAGTATCATAAGAGTTCTGTTTGATAGATATCATCAAATCAATCATTGGGGTTAACAGAAGTGTGGCGGGTTCGAGACAGACGATCAGACTGGCTTCGGTAGTCGACAACCAATCTGGAAAGGCTACAGATATTGATAACAGAAGCTACAAAGAACAACAAGGCAATTATTGAACTAATTATGGATCTATATACAAACAGACTTCCTAGAAAACTTGTTTTTTGGTGTAATATTCAAATTTTGTATTATCATATTCTTGGACAATTGATTTCATCCCATTCTGTAAACTTTTCATGATTCTGAAATTTATTTTTGATATATATACAAGTCGGTTTTATAATGGCATAATATGAAATAAGAAAGGAACTCTATATTGCTTATATATGACGAATTTTTGCTTAAAAAACACCCCAATTCGATTGCAAAGTATCCCCTTTCCTTTACTCAATATGAGGCGAAAGCAAAAGACAAAAAATGGGAAGTAAAACTTCAGTTCAATGTCAAATTTAGGGATAATCTATGCATAATTCATGCTTAGGAGATTTTGTTAAGAAACCTTAAAAAGTTAAATTGTCAACTAAAACAACAATCTTAAGTTTATAAATTTACTCCCCAGGTAAAATATTCAAATTAATTACAGGTGTGAGAAAATGACACACGTCACACCGCGGGGGGTCTCTTGTTCCTTCATTCTTAGTTTTACTCTAGGATTTGAATATCGAGTAAGCCCTTTCTACTGTCACTGACGGATTAGGTACAGTTTCTTCTAATCTTATAATCTTTGGACACCAACCGAATGGCCTATAGCAAAGTGGGCAAGAGCGGGGGTGGTGTGGGGCGGGGTAGTGTCGTTGACGTTTTACCAATTGTATCTTGATGGGCCTTGAATGGTTTGATGAAGACGATAACGTAATTGTGGATATATCATTCAACAATGATTTCGAGCCAAATTTGAGGATGTAGAGTTTTTGGTAGGCATAGTTCTTAAACTGCAAATTTGCCGGAATAGATATTTCCAGTAGCACCGTTAAAGTTCGCGGAAGTGTATTATTATTGTTCAAGGGGAGAGGGTGGTTTACGAACATTAAAACATAATAAAATGGTTATGAGAGGGCATAATCTACCATTAAATTGGAGTAAAAAGGCGCCAAAGGCACCCATCCTACAAATTTTTATGAGTTTGAAAGTTTCGGCAAACAGTTTTATTAGTAATGATTATCGTAATCAGCCCATAAAAACACGTTTATTACCAAAAATCATTACGCTTTCGTTCTAAAAACTAAGTACACGATCCAGAAGCGACAAAATGTAATGATTTTATAATCCACCAATAAAAGTTAAGAAAGTTGTGGTCTGGGTCCAAATTATCGAAGGGACATAACTCATGTCTCTAACGACCTTCACCTTACGGTCAATACCCGCCATATTTGAAGAAAATGTTCGAATAAAGATGTAATTCGATGAATATTAATGATAAAAAGCCAAATCTCACAGAATGAACAAGGTTAGGAGTTTCTAATGACAACCATGCATACGACGAGCGTCAAAAATATTCTGCGCCAATTCGGCAACGAACTCTAAATTTAAATTCAAACCAGTTTGAGTTTCAATGTAAAGTCACGAGACAAGTCACAATAGTAACAATGTCAAAGAAACTAGACCATAACTCGGAATGGACTACAATTCTAGTATATAACTATTGCATATTTTTGATAAAAGCAGGCGAATTCATAGGTCACAGGACAGAATCTATTATCACCTTCTTCATTATAAAGTTGGTAATTAAATAAGCCTGAAAAATGTACTTCTAGTTCAGTATATTAAAATGTGGTTTTCTTTTCCAGAGTTTTTCAGACAGTCCTGTATCTGAGTTTGATCTGAACTCTACGCTAGAGAAGAATATTAGTCATGTGATTGATATACTGGAGAATGAAGATAATGAAACAGAGGGAGATGAAGATAGTGGGAAAGATCAGCCTATTTTAAAAGGTATTGTTTGAATGAACCATGTATCAACTTATCTCCCTTGTTTTTTACATGGAAAGATCAATGGCATTCAAAGAAAGAATAACATTATATAGTTACAGACTAAGGCACACATAAATTCCATGAAGGATTTTGGCTTGTGTAAATGTATCTTGTTCCTTCATGTATGTTGTCCATCTTTGCTTTAGATATATGCTTATATTTTTCAAGGATTAAAATGAGTCAAAATTTCACAGTTTTTAATCCTTTGATTTCACTATCAAAGCTTTAATTGAATCATATGAAAAACATATTTTTTTTTTCGATTGTAGGTGTACGAGCGTATGTTGAAGTAAGAACCAATAATGACAATAGAAGTGAAGCAGTTAGTGGGATGCTGAAATCTCATGGTGCCATTGTTGAGAAAACTTTTACCGACAACGTTACACATGTTATATTTAAAGATGGAAATAAACGAACTGTGGATAAAGCCAAGAAGAAAGGCATCCATCTTGTGTCTGTTTTATGGGTTGATAGGTAAATCTTTTTGTCATGTTTTTTGTGCCAGACAAAGAGCTGACCTTTGCGAAAGAACAAAATTTAAACTTAGGCCATTAAAGAGTTTTGTGGCGATATATAAAAATCTTTTATTTCAATGATAGTGAAACAATCAAATAAAATTTCCATTATAAAGAGCTCTACTATGAAGACCTCTCTCATTTAGGCTGTTTATTTTTCAGTTGTTTACGGAATGGAAGATGTGTCTCTGAAGAGATGTATCCTGCTATTTTACCTCAGAAAGAAAAATCTACCCCAATTTTCTTTAAAAAGAATAGATTAAAGGTAGAATTTCTTCCATAATTTATGAAATTGTGTGGTTTGCAATAGCTACGTCATAAAAAGCTTAGTTTAACTGAAATTGCAAGACCAACAGACGTCTGACTGAAAATTGGAATGGTGCAAATCGATGTTATCAGTAGCCTGATTCACATGAAAAGTTAAGGAAAACTTTCACAATCTATTCCATGCTCTTACAGAAAATGAAGTCAATGCAGCCGAATGATTTTGAACATGATGTAGCCAAGAGTTCAGAGAGATATGATAGGAAGAAGAAGAAAGAGGAAGAACGGCTTGGGTTATCAGGATGTTCTACACCAGTTGCCTCCCCTATTGTATTAGCCTACGACACAGTGCCTAGATCTCCGGTAAGTTAGGTCTTTAACAATATGATAGTAGCCATTTCATTTCTTTGAATTGATTTTTATGTTGTGATTAGTAAAATTAGAAGAAATCAAGAAAAAATCAAAAAGTCTATTTCAGAATAATCAGTAAATAAATTATATTTTGAAGTTATATCTGAGTTTATCTAATATTCTTTCTTTTTTCAGCCGTCCCCGTCTGACTGGAGATCACCAATACCCCTGATGATACCCAACACTCCACCTAGTATTAAAGATACAGTGAACAGATTACGTCAAGCTCGACTTAATCACAGTACGTTTCAATATTGCTATTTTAGATTATAATTTTCATATAACATTTAGATTTAGTGTATTAGTGAATTGCAACACCTAAAATGTCTGACTGCAAATTGATGCTATCATTATCCTCTGTGCACATAAAAGTTAAGAAAATTTCCTTACAATATCTTTAACAGTCTGTGTGTTTATTTTGTAGGTGCTGGTAGTGATGGCAGCGGAACAGACTCTCCTATGATTGGTGATCTATCAAATCTACCTCCTTTACATAGAAAGTTATTTGATGGTAAGTCACTTGTCATAGTATAATAAGATTAGTTAACAGAATGGGTTGAAAGCCAACATCTTACAGACTTACAGAAGTACTGGTCATGGAATTAGATTTGTTTCCCTTGTATTAAACACATACAAATAGTATGATTAGTAATGTGGCCTCTTTCATAATTCAAGCAGAAATCTGGAAAAGATCAATCAGGTTTAGCAAAGGTAGGAAGGATCTTTTGTGAACCTAATATGTTATCCTTATTTCTTTCTTTCTTTCTTTCTAATGTTGATATAATATATAATATATTGAAAGTTTTAGGAAAAGAAGAGATGCAGACACCAAATTTTAACCAATCAAAAGATGATCATGAAACTTCACATACCGATATAGTTCATGCTGTCAACAAATCACCACCCTTCCATTTTCCTGAAATCGATAATCCAGAGGTTGATTCTGTAGGTCTTAGGATATTGAAAAGTTTTGACAATGCCAAAAAAACTGAAAATGAAGAACCGGCCACTGTTTTGAAACGGAAATTATTTAATGTGCTTGACAAAAACTCTCCGAAACCATATTTATTGGAACCTTCAAGTTGTTCGGAAACTGTTCGTCCATCTTTGTTAGATTCGCCTGTATTCATAAATAGAGCTGCCTTGACCTCGAAGGTCAAAGGTCAAAAGAGGAAAGCAGACACAGATTCTGAGAATTCAGGGAAGGAAAAAAATTTGAAGAAAAAATCAAAAGACATTACAATGAAGGAAAAACCAGTAAAAAATATTTTTTCAGAGCATGTATTGGAAAGAGCGCCATCTGAAGGAAGTGCAAAAGTGAATGGTGCAGATGTGGAATCAAAGGGAGCCAACTCTGAAACAACTAGTCAATGCCGAAGTAGTAGACGCTCTTCAATTCTCAACAAATCACACGCTTCAAATTCTTCTATGAATCTATCAGAGACTGGACAATCTAGCAGACGTGTTTCCATAGCAACACCAGATCTGCCTCCACCTCAAGATAACTTGTTACGTCGCAGTTCACGGAGATCATCAGTGATTAGTCTAAAATCTATTTCGGAAACACCATCCCCTAATTTTAAACCAGAAATTGATTCCTCAAAAACTTCAAAACGTGGTCGAAAAAGTGTTGCTTCAAGGGAAACAACTCAAACAATAAGTGAAGAGGGAGGGACTGAAATTAATGGAACAGCCAGTGGAACAAGTGACTCTGCGATAGTCAGACATGGAAGAAAGAGTATGGTCTCTAAGTCGGGTGTTTCAACTCCAAGCTGTGACAAACCATCTCTAAATGGTACTGATGCTCCATGCAGTGGAAATTCGGAAAGTTCTGGTAAAAACGTGCGAAAGGGCAGAAAAAGTCTTGCTGTCAAGGAAACCACACCCTCTCCCATTGTTAATTCAATTTCTAATGGAACTGATACACAGACTCCATGCAAGCAAAGTCCTGATCAGTCTACCAAAAGTGTAAGAAAAGGCAGAAAAAGTCTAGCTTCTAAGGAAGCCACTCCATCCCCAGCCTTACATTCCCTAACAAATGGAACAGATTCTCCTTGTGGCCAAATTTCTGTGAATTCTACTAAAAGTGTAAAACAAGTTAGTGAACAAATTAAGCAGACTGGAACATCCAGACCTTCAAATGGTGATCAGAATTCCTTAAAAACTGTTGATGAAACAAACTCAGGGAAAAGTTCAACAAATCGTAGAAAATCCATGAGAATTTCTGCTGGGTCTAAATCTCGAGAAACCACTCCAGTGCAAACCCCAGAGTTGAATTCTAGTGCTCAAAATAACTGCTCAAATTTAGAAAACAGAATTTCAAAGACATCCCCAAAATCTGTAAAGGCGTCCAAATCAAATGACAAAACTGATCATAATTATGATCATCAAGACTCTTCTGTACTTGCTCATCAAGACTCTTCTAGACTTGGTCAACAAGATCCTTCTAAACTTGGTCAACAAGACTCCTCAAGACTTGAAATAAATCCTCATAATACTTCTTGTGCAGATATGCTTGATCATCCAGACATGTCCAGAGCAAATATGTCAGATTATCCAGACACTTCTAGAAATGAAACAACAGGATGTTTGGGTGCATCTATGTCTGCAGTATTCGGTGACATAACAATGCCGTCATTTAGTCACGCACCTTCCCGACGAAGTATTGACGAATTCAAACTCGTAAATCGAAAGAAAAGTTCGACTCGTGCTCAGATATTGACAAGTATTTCTGAAAGCAATCAAAACTCTCCTCCGAAAAAAACTAAAACCAGTAAAAATTCGCAAGTGCCAAAGAAAAGAACGAGTCGAAATTCTGAAAATCGTGGAAATGATATGTCTTACGAACTTGAAGAATCAGAAAAGCCAACTGGGTCAAAGGTAATGCTACGAAGAGCTAATTCGTTTTTAAAAGAGAAGAATGAAACAGACGGGAAGGGTAAAGTTACTAGACCTTCTCTTGTGATGACCAGCATGCATACTCAGTAAGTACTGATTTAAATTCCTTATTCCATGATAGGTCAAATAAATTTTATATTAATTTACAGGTAGGATGTTGAGGCTCATCTGATAAAGGTATACTACTGATTGGAATGAACATAAAGTGTTGATTCTCAAAAATTGCCATTAGACTCGTAAGTACTGCCTCAAGTTTAACAGCTAGAGTTTTAACCAAGCAAGCTGGTCACATTAATTACAATGACTTGCTACAGGTCTTTTTGTCAATACAAGGGTATATTTGTCAGTAGACTTCAATGGCAATTTTTTCAGGGAACAGGAAACAGTATTATCAGTGATTAAAAAGTTAGGAGGATTTTTATTGGTGGATAATGTATCTGATACAACAACTCATGTAGTTTGTGGGGACGCCAGGAGAACTCTCAATCTAGTTAATGGTGTGGCTCGAGGATGCTGGATTCTTAAACAGGATTGGGTAGGTTTTAATGGTTTCTTTTTGGTCTTTGCCCCATGATTCTTTCAGGCCTGCACCTGTGTTCGGGTGTAATTTGTAGTCTTGTATCACAGAATTTGTAAATCCAGCGGTTTGATTGTGCGCTATTGAAAACAACTGATAAGACCGGTCATCAACAGAAAGACTATGAAATATATAGCTAGAATTGTTGAGGGCTCTGGTTGACTATATTTGCTACAACTGAACAAAATATTAAATCATCAGATGAAGTTCATGTTAATTTTAAGATAATTTCTATTCCCAGGTATTAAAGTCACGAGATGAAGGTAGCTGGTTGGAAGAAGAAGATTATGAATTCTCTGATGTTTATCCTCAAGTTAAGGTGGGTTATCCTCTTCAGTCTTTACACAGTTCCTTATACCTTACTATTGCTGTATGTATTTCTAAATTGTTGAGTAATTGATAGCTTTAATGGTATCTTTTACACTAACCTAACTGTTATTCTGCAGTCTTTTCTGAAAATATAGATGGTGCATCCTGTCGATAATGAATACAACTTCAAGCATGGGCGGACATATTAATTTTTGGCCTGACGTCTTTCTGTTGTTTTTTTTAAAAATATGCTTGTTTAAAGCAAGATTCCTGAAAGGGAGACTATAAAGAAAAAGGTTGAAAATCCCTGATTTAATGATGTTTTAATGATACACTAACTAAGCTGATGTTCTACCAATTATCACGATAGTTTTAGTCTCCCACTGAAATTGACAGTTTTAATAAAAAACAGTTATAATTTATTCTATACCTATTATAGATCAACAGAAAAGAAAGACAGACAGCAGGTCGACTTTACAATCAGTCAATATTTACTGGTGTAGGAACTTTTTTTATCTCAACTAAAAATTCTCCTCCTCGGTCAGCGTTAACATCTTTAATACGATTGTGTGGAGGGGAGGTAAGTCAGTCTCAGTTTCTTGTTATTATCATATCATGGCAGAGAACATGTCTGACTGTTATCAAGAGTTTAACAGATGAATTTAAGATATAAGCTCCAATCATATTAATTGATAAATAAATACATTTGATTTGTGTATTTAATGATTGTAGGTAACTGGATCAGCTAGTAGTTGTGATCTATTTATTGGTAGCCAGGCTAACATCAATAAAACCAGTATTAAACCTGTCTGGGTTTTAGGTATGTATGATCGTTTTGTCAAATTATGACCAGTAATTAAAGATGAACCAAAACCTGTTAGCAGATTTAATTCAGCAGTTTCTGTCTTGATACTGTATTCCATTATGTATGCTCTCTTTCTATATGTATCATTATAAACTAAACCAGACTTCACCACAATGACCTTTTTAAGACTCAATAGGTGAGGCTAGAGGCCACAGAATTGTCAAGGGGCATGCACATGTAATTTTTTGCCCTATGTAAATGGATCATTCGCCCTACCCCTCCCCCTACCCTCCTCCCATTGATACTTCACAGCTTCATATGTTTTTACATTCATGAAATAGAAACCTGTATATATAAATATATATATTTTCAGATTGTATTATGGAGCATAAACTTCTGGACTATAATAAACCTAAGTACATCCTCAATTTAAATCATACCACAAGAGAAAGTAGTCCTGAATTCTAAAAAAAGAAATTGTATATTGTTCGGATTTGATATAAAATATATATTCTTGTAATTTGAAGTTTTAGAAATTAGAATGATAAATTGCATGTTCTTTATTTTTTGAATGAATATTTCTATCTTGACTTGGTGTATGAACTTCTCCCGGAATTGTTCAAGCATGCTTATAATCGTAGACACTATTTCGATTAGTTGATGATTTATCTCTCTACCAATTAGATTCATAGAAATAAAATGTTACATCATAGAGGTCGCCAATTTTGTTAGCTTTACTCCTATTGGTCAATTTGAATAGCAAAGTAACGGTCTGGATGAGGTACACATTATTCTTTCCCTGCTTCACTGCAAGGTAAGAACGGGTGCGCATTATATTTGCAATTATATAGTATATATTATACTCTTATTGGTGATATTGAATAACGACGTCGGTATCTTAATGTGGGTTATTACTCAACAGTAAAAGAAATATTGACCTACTGGAAGAAATTTAAATGTCAAAACCTCGTATCATCATAGCGCCTAAGTGAATTTTTATGTTCTAATCTACAAAGCTATAAGAGTATAAGCTAGAAATGTGTAAACTAACAAAAGAAATTGGCGTATTATAAACACAATGAATTTTGTATCTAATTTTATGATTTATTATCCTTAATTGTATTTTTTTTTCTCTTGTAAGTAGTAAAATCTTACTTCAGATTCAGGTGTTTTCATTTTATTATTTTGTGGTAGAAGGGTCGTGTTAAAAAAAACCTTGATGAGGTCCGATCTGCTCGAATAATTTAGATAAAATGAATAAAGGTAGTAGAAAATATTCACCTGATACCACTTTTTATTATGAAATATTTACTCTCTTATGATTGATATACTTCCTCATATGAAAAGTTCATTAGCTGCTACGAATATTTCGTCAATATGTCGTTTGGATTTCGGGTTTTGTATTGCCGTTCGGATAGTAAGCACGATTATTTAATTACTATTAGTCTGTAGTTAAAGAAAAGTAGTTATCTCCCCTTCATTATTGTCTCTCATAAGATACGTCTTCATAATTATTAAGAATACATTGCCACCGTATGGTAATAATAATTAGTAATATTCTCCATGTGTCACACTCACACTAACACATGCTGTGTTAATATTACATGCTTCATAATAATAGTTCTCGTATCGAGAAAATAACAGACCATTCAGTCTGCAGTGAAGTCAACATTTTACTAAGCCTAAGCTTGTAAGCTTGCTTTTCGTTCCTAGTGGATGCAATAACCAGCTTATGGGTGATTCGGTATACATAAGGCTTAAACATTATGCTATTTTACGGAAATTTCCACTTCTTGCCATTTTAATCTTTTGTCGTCTCGATTTGACCCACTCTTACCTTCTTGACCTATATTACAAAGCGCTGACCTAGTTCTCTAGAACTGTGTGTTTACACAAAGCACGCGCGTCATGTGTTGTTGTCTGAACGTGTTATATTGACTGGTCTACAGGACAAACGGTTTAAGTTCACGCTTTTTACGATATTCTTGAAATGGTCTACTGCGTCAAGTATTTTAAGGTCGATATTTTCAACCTTATATACCTTTGACTTTCTCAGCTTTTTGAAAACCTTTGTTTAAGTCTTCAACTTAATGACAGTCGTTATTCAAGTACTAGATATTTCTTTTAAGCCTTTACCAGTCAACTAAGTGTCCTAGCGTTCGAATGGGGAATTAATCAGGGCCAAGGTCCTTATCTACTGGCCTAAACTGGAAAAGCAAAGTATATCTTAAAACTCTCAAATCAAATAGGTCATCATTTTTTATTTATATTTATGTTAATGATGATTTATCGATATCCAATTTGCCTCGCAGATCATTCATGAAATATTTCTCTATTAATCGATGTTTATTTATGCGTCCTTGTTTTCTGCACATGATCTGGCCAATAAAGGGGGGCATTTTCGAAGACAGCGGCGCCGCATTGGCCTTTTCGATATCCAACTGTCGTGGGATCTTTAACGTGCACAACTTGTAGCACACGGGACCTCGGTTTATTGTCCTCTCGGTACAACCAGATGCATTTCTTCATGTTAGATCCTTCAATCTGCAAACTAGGGGAAGCCGGTTGAAAAATCAGAGAATATTATCTTGAACTATGAATCCTGGACCTCCAGGTTAGCGAGTAAGCGTCTAACTCACTGAGCTACTGCGGCTCCCTAAAAAATCAGAGGATATTATGTGTACCAATGCCTGGATTGAAGCCTCGGCCGAAACCTCTCCCTGCCTCTTTAACGTAATCACTTATTACATAAATGAAATATTTGGCGGTCACGTGACGTACATCGTGTGAGATATTTTATGAGATATTTTATTCCCAATCTGCCTGTTACGGTTTGTTACCACAAAACTTTTCAAATATCTCGCCATGTAGAGTTCGACTGAGTGTAAACAATCTTACTCGTTAAGAGCTAGCAATTTCCGAGCCTTAGACCGTCACAGATTTTTGAAGTAAAAAAAAAAACATCAGACACAGCTCACATATGCAAAATATTCGAGAGATATAGTGATTATCTTATTTAGGCCCTACTTGAGAACCCACATACATATTCTCGGGTGGATATTAGGTCTATAATATACGCTAGCTAAACCACATCTTGAAATGACTTAAGCAAATGCCAGGCAATCGGTCATTTATTTCCAATTGTCCAAATGCATCATCGAATCTCTGTTCCTCGTGGATATTTCGTCAGCAAATCATGGCATAACCTGCCCGATTTTAAGACGATGGGTCATGACAAAGACATTTTACTACCCGACTAAGGCTCGAGTTGTTTTATGAATGGAAACCAAACCATTCATTTCTAAACCGACAACAAGGTCATCCCGGGTCACCAAATTAGACTACAGCTCCCTAGCTGTGTATGAGAAAAATTCTTTTCAATTTGAATTGAATAGAAGTTACTGTGGTGTTTAATAGAAATATTTCTGTAAAAAAAACACGTTATCCAGGCCTTTCTGAATTTATTATGAATGGTAATATTGGTCTAAGCAGAAAACCGACACCTATAAATATATATTCAAGTCATACATTAGGCGTAGGGGCCCCAAGTAGGAGTAACGGCGGGGGCAGAGAATATACCATCGAATATACCGGGAATTTCTGCATAGTAACTTTCTAAGTTTAAATACCACAATGTCACCATTTTTTTCAGGCCTGTGCAAGACAAGGGAGAATCCCAACCGTTTCACGTTCCCCGTTTGAAAGACTTGATTGTAAGCAAAATGCCAATGATATATTAACCACTGAAAATGATTAAAATTATAATAAGAATGAAGTTAAAAAGCCCCGGATCCGTTTTTTTTTTTTAAAAAAAGAAGATATTTTGATATAATTTATGTGAGAATGTATGATATAGGTTTCAAGTTGACATACAATTAACATAATAAAACCCGGATTATATAAACTACTAGTATGAGGATGGGGGGAAGCTTATTTGACGATACTCTAGTCCCTTTCCTGCTGGCTATTTTGCCAATACTTCTATACTTTTACTATAGCAAATGGGGACTTTGAATATGGTATGTCATTGTATCACGGATACGGGTTTGACATGGTCTAATTAACGGGGAGGTGTTTGAACACGATGATGGTATATTATATAAATTCTTGTTATACTATATTATGTAAATATGTTATGTAAATGTGATATTGAATACCTTTTATATTTCTAGCCTATAGGTATATAGGTATATATATAGTTAGCAGTGCTATATCGTTATACTAATATACATTATAATATCACCCCATATTACAATATCACGATATAGACTAATATATTCAACTTACTGGCTAAATACGACCTTTTCTGGTTGGATATTTTTGTATACACTTTATAATGTTTGGTAGATTATAATATTTCTTCTAGAAAATAGGTCTTGTCCGCAGGCCCGTAGCTTAGGGACTGGCCCTTGTAAAGAGAAATTTGCCCCCCCCCCCCCTTAAAAATTTAGATTATTAAATAAATAATTAATTAGATATTTGTTGAGTCACATAGTTTAGTCCGCCCCACCCCCTCTCGAGATCATGGTCTAGCTTCTAACCTGCTTATCCGTGAGATAAGCAGCTTTCAATGTAAAATTGTAACTTTAAGAATTATTCACATTGGTTAAACTAGAGTCAAGACCGGAGACAACCCAGCAGTCAAAGGAGCACCAGGTGTACAATATGACTGAGCCAGTTTCCCACCGTGATCGTTGTAGCCGAGCTCCATTCTTCTACTTTCACCCGAATTCTTTCAACAATAACCCTTTGAAGTATTAAGGTGCACTTTACATACAATGGTCACAAAATGACAAACTTGTTTAGTTTGAGAGATGAATTGGATATTAAGACATGCACCTTTTCACACGTGTCACAATTTTATTTTCAGTCCAATTAAAATTGACTTCTCCACCTATCTTCTTTGAAGAAAGAGAGTGGAAATTTCTATCACGTTGTCATAAATATGCTCAAGTTTGTTTTCAAGAAATTAAGTTGTTAACAGTCTGATGAGCACATTCAAAGATAGAATAAACGCAGCCACACCCGTTTCTGTTACATTGAAGTTAGTAAAGGACCCACATAAGAAGAACGCTCTGCAAAGAATGAAAGCTATTTGTATTAAATATCAATGGAAAGCCATTTCTAACCAGTATCAATTGAAAGCCATTTGCATTAAGTATCAATGGAAAGCCATTTCTAACCAGTATCAATCGAAAGCCATTTGTATTTCTTGTCAATGGAAAAACGATTTGTAATCAGTATCAATGGATAGCCATTTCTATCCAGTATCTATGGAAAATCATTTCTATTCAGTATCTATGGAAAATCATTTCTATCCAGTATCATCGGAAAACGATTTTGATCCAGTATCAATGGACGCCACTCCTATTCAGTATCAATGGAAAGCCATTTCTATCGAGTATCAATGGAAAGCCATTTCTATCGAGTATCTATGGAAAGCCATTTCTATCGAGTATCTATGGAAAGTCATTTCTATCGAGTATCTATGGAAAGCCATTTCTATCCAGTATCAATGGAAAGCCATTTCTATCAAGTATCTATGGAAGGCCATTTCTATCCAGTATCTATGGAAAGTCATTTCTATCCAGTATCTATGGAAAGCCATTACTATCCAGTATCTATGGAAAGCCATTACTATCCAGTATCTATGGAAAGTCATTTCTATCCAGTATCTATGGAAGCCCATTTCTATCCAGTGTCTATGGAAGCCCATTTCTATCCAGTATCTATGGAAAGTCATTTCTATCCAGTATCTATGGAAGCCCATTTTGCTATGTATCAATGGAAAGCCCTATCAACCCATTCATTCTAGGTATGATTTTGTAGGACAAATCCCATTGTATTCAGTATCAATGGAAAGCTATTTTGCTATGCATTTCAGAAAGCCATCTCAGCCTACTGCTTTGAGGTTCTCTAGGGTTTTGAAGTAAATAAAGACAGTACACAATTATTGTTTTGTAAATTTTACATTTTATTCCTATGAAGCATACAAGTTGAGTCAGTCATACACTCACATTTACAAAATATTAACAACAGAAAAAAATAATATTATTCACATAGTTACAGCTGTTACATGCCTTCAGATTACGAGTGAGTGGGCTGAATTGATTAAGAACTAACACATTTTGAAGGATATTGAAGTCGTGCTTTACGGTATTCTGATATATTTTTTTTTTTCTAGGTTTAAGCAAAATTCATGTATATGATAATCATATAATGTTCTGTAAAATTAGAAACATGATTTTGAATTTCTAATTTTACACTTTTTCTAAAAGACTGAGTAAATTTTTTTTTAAAGTGCTTGTTAATTTTTTTTTTTTTTTGGAGATACCAGAATAGCATAGAATAAGCTCAATAACCCTCAGAATCATGTAATTTCTATCAGTCAACCACTATAAAGGGGAGAAATATATACATACTAAATGTGTACTATAAATGATCTAATACTAGAGGTTTTACTAACAAGTATAAGATAGAATATTAATCAGTTAACTATAGGTGCTTTAAGAGATTATTTTCAAGATTTTCTGTGCCAGAATTTCAAAATTACAGAAAGCATTCAAATAACAGTGAAATGAGTTCAAATTTATGATAAGATAAATCTAATTGTCTCCAACTTCTTTAGAAAAATTTGATTCCTCTTGATATAACAATAAATAATTTTCCAAGTTCCAAGAACCAAAAATGATTGATGGAATTGTCTTGCTTGTAGAAATTTTTATTTGAAAACGGAGACACCCACAACTAGCTGATTACTATATTCCTATACCATGAGCACTACGTGAACACGATTCAAGATGACGGAGGACAATAGCCCTGTTGGTCATCTTTCGTCAGTTCCATTTTCTATTTTTTTTATTTTAATATTTTTGGCAATTTTTTTTTAATATTTTAAAAATAGGTGTACATTTTTAAGCTTCTTTCGATGTGAGATTACATGCAAAATATAAATAAAATATACAAAAACAAAAATAACTGGAAAAAATAAAACAGCACTTGTACAATAACAATTGTTACACATAAACAACATATTATTTGAATTATTTATTCATTATATTAATGTTAATTAAACTGGATTTCATCACCAACAAAATTTCACATTATTGAATTATCATTTCATTTTTATTCTGATGTTATATTATTTTATTTTTAATTTTGATATCATAATCATATCAATATTGTATCTGATGTTGTCTTGGTTTGCTACAAGATGGTGAAAATACGTTCGAGAACACCATATTATGTTACCCTTAACGCAATCCAAAATATCCGATCTTTTGATATTTGGATTATTAATGCCAATGATATAGTTGATGCTTAATAAAATAGGCAGTTTTGATAAGCCATCTTACTTTTGTAGCAAGTTGGATTGTCATCTGTTAGGAAATTGGGTGCAATAGGTTCGAATCCTTCTCAAAGTAGGTGTTTAAAGGAGTTAAATCTCAAACTTTACCACAACACATAAATAATGATAATAAAAGACAAATAAAAGTTGAATGAAATAATGTGGAAATCTCAACAATAAGTAACTAGATCAATCTTCAAATTGCATGTGCATCTCAGAATAACGTGCATATTGGATATTTTACAGCAAAAAATAAATTATTTTACACTTATTAACATAGCCTCATAAACAACCAAAATAATATTATAGCACTTTACCATGGAATAACATATTCAAATATCACACATGCACACACATGGATCCCACACATGCTTTAGATTCAAAGTAAAGCAAGCCACACATCATTTGTATTTACACAATGTACACTATATACAGTTCATGTTCTAGTAAGGTAAGGAAGGGGGTTGAGGAGTAGAAATTTAACATGGAGATAGGGGTGGCACAGGTAGCATATTTACATAGCTTTGTACAAAGGTAGAAATTCATGATATTGCATCAGAAAAAGTCATTAAAATTCCAATTAAGAATTGAACTCTTTTGCCATTGAATGGAATGTTGTAAAGCAAATAGAATTGAATTTGTTGGAATCGATTTCTATTGATGATTTCATTTTTTGTTGATTTTTTTGTCAAATTTTTATGCAATGTGATGGTATAATGCCAAAATATTTGAGCAATGAGAATTTTAAAAGGTCTCGGCCAACACAAGCTATTTTCAGAATACTGTGCAGGGCAATGTCTGTGATAATATCACGAGTAAACTGGTGACCACTTTGTTTGTTTGTTGATCAGTCATTTACAGTTCTGATTGATCTTGACCGGCAAACATTTCAGGAAATCTGAATAAAGTTTAAGCTCTGTATAGCAAATATAAGTACATAAAACTTATTGACAAAGGCATAATTATAACAACTCCTCCTAGGACCTTCACAAGCCATTTGGCAAAGTCTTCGTTCACTTTAGGCAAGTAGTCAATATAAAATAAGGTGGCAATGAAACAGAATTATAAAATGGTTGATGGTTGAAAATGAAAATTGAGCTCAGAGATTTTGAAACCAATATTCAGCTGTTTTTAGACATTCAGATCATAGCGAGTAAAAAAATACTGTACGCAAACAAAATATAACAGGCAACAGAAATATCAGGATAGTAACTTAATATAAACAAAAAACGCTGCCAAACTACGACCAAAGTTAATCTCACAATCAACGAACATGGGCTGTCATTAACCGTGCCTCTTTATCACACGAGGCCTCAAGTATTGTTCAAGGTTTCAAGCCAGATAACGCCTGGGTAGCGCTACGCATTGTCCGAAAATATAAGAAAATAAATAAAAACCTAACAATATTCAGGTATCAAAACTAAGTGCACAGAAACAAAAAAACTTAAATAATTTAACAATTATATATTATTTTTCTTATTATACACAACTTCCACTGGTATCTAACAATTTCATACACGCACCTACACGATCCCACACACATTCTATTTATACACTGTCTCTATTATCCACTCCACTGGCACATATATATCTTTTCTCAGATCTTTAGTCTCCATCCTCTTTCTGTCTTGGTGTTCACACAGCAATAAATTAAAAGTTAAGTGTCTAAATGAGACATAATTGGTAATAGCTATTAACTGCCATGATGATGTTGGATGTCACAGATGATATGATTGGCTGATGTTAATGAAGATGGTCCAATGAGAAAAGAGTATTTATCATCAGTTCACAACAGGCTTAAAGTTTTATCACTCAAAGAAACTCTCCAGGCACATTCTCTCAAACAATTTCATTGGTTGGAGGATTTAAAGGTTGCATACTCTGGAAAAATAAAAAAAAAAGGATTTGAAATGGTGGGTTCAGCTCGTTGATATTTAAGACAAATACATTATAGTTTTATTATGGATGTTCTATGCTTTCACCTTGGCAATGGCTATCCTGTACCTAATGTCCGACACAGACTTGTGTGACTCAGACATTTAAGTTGTCCTGCCATTCATGTTTGAAAAAAAGAGCCAAATAAACAGTCCTGCTTTGATTATTGAACCGTGGCTTTCATATAAAACATACATTAGCACTTAAGTTTCATTTTAAGCATTTGTGTTCGCTACCATCTTCTTGGTTATTATGTATGATTATCAATGATGAGTTGGTAGATGACAAGTTAACGTCAGCTTCCAGAATAAGCAGATGACGCTATTATCAATAATATTAAGAATACAAGATATAAACTTACAGGAGGTAATTTATTGGCTTTATCAATAGCAAATTGTTCTTCTGTTGTTTTACGGTAGACAGGATTATCAAAATTCATACTCTTAATATTTTTTCGTCGTAATCTTTTGAAGAACACAAATAAGATCTGAAAAATAGAAAATATAACATGGCTAAACAGACAGAACTGGGATTTCTCAGTGGGTAATGATTGTCTTCTAGGTGATTAGGTGCTGTGGGTTTGAATCCTCCTTGTGATTAGAGATTAGGATGATTGAAAAGTAACAACTTATTCAATATAAGGCACTGGCACAGGGTTAAAGTTATGTTTACAATAATTGTGATGCTAATATGCAATGCAATACTGATGCCATGACAAGTTCAATAGTCAGCCTATGTTACCAATAGAGTACCAACAGTATAGTTGATCATTCCCCTCCCCCCTCTCTTTTTCCACATAGTTATCATAAAAAATCAAGGAAGTAAAAGACCATTGTAGAGTTAAGATAACAGATAATCATTTGTTTGTGAGATATTTCCTGATGTTAATAAAATGTTAAATAGATTATGAAGTGTCCAATCTAGTTGAATGTCTTCCTGGTTTACTTGTATTAAAATATTAACAAATTGTACTCAGAAAATTTGACAGAACAGATTAATAAAACTAAATTTTGAAGACATTTTGATTTAAATAGGTCAGTTGTCTGAGGTTTCACAGTGTGAAGTAACAACATATTTCAGGTTCTGTTTTGATATTTCTTAAAAATGTACCAAATGGACAATAATATAATCCAAACAGAATGAATTCTTAAGTTTTCAGATGTATTTTGATGGGAGAACAAGTCTTTTAGCAATATGATACTCAAAATGGAGAGTTGACAACATTTCAATACTTGGATATGTCATCAAATGTCCAAACTGTGGACTTAAACTTTTTTTTTTTACCTCAATCCAATCACACGAATGATAATTCAATCTAAATGATTAATCAACAGAAAAAACAAGTACTTACAATTCCTACTAAAATAGCTACACCAACAATAGCACCAATAACAATTCCAGCAATTTGTCCAATATTTTCTTCTTCTGGTTTACTAATAGGTGCAAATTTCTCCGTGTTGTTTTCCGTTGAGGTCACGATATCGTAGCCACTGTCTGTTGTCACATCGTGAGCCATAAGAATTTCTGTGTGTTTATGGGTGTCAGTATGTGCATGGCCTTCTGTTGTCATTCCATGGGGGTGTGCGTTTGTTTTTTCTGCAGTTCCTGTTGCTATTCCTAACCCTGAATTAAAAAAAATTACAATTTCTTTAACCTCATGAAGAATGTGACTGGCTGTAATTTATTTTCTGTGAGATTTTGTTAACAACTATTGCTAACCAAAATATTATTCTTTGACTGCAGAAGATAGACAAGGATTGTTTCAATTCAAAAATTTTGAAATGGAATTCTACATCTTAGTTTTGTCCACCTTTGAGGATTATTGAGCAATACCAAGCAGTGTGCAATGAGGAATATTTTAATAAAACACTGGCATAATCCTACAGTTTAGGTTTTATTAAACAATATCTATAAATTGAGCATATGAATTACAAAATCTATAAGATTGTTGAGGGATGTTCTATAATATACACTGCCTATAGTGTTATTTTGAAAGAACTGGATTGTTTTCAGTACAATCGAAGATGCTACTGATGAAAATAACTTTATCTTATCTTATGTAAGATTACATCAAACTTGGCACCATTCCAAACGTAGAGAGTAACCTATCAACGTATATCATTTCGTATGATGTTTTAATAATTTAGCTAATAAACAACCCAGACTAGAATTTATCAGGCATTTTGTCAATTTCTTATCATCAAGACAAATTCTACAGATTTTAACGATTTCAGAAGTTTTTAAGTACAGTAGAACAAGATGGTATTAATATTTAGGTTTAAATATCCATTCATGTAAAGAATACATGCAAGGGGGTATGTTTATCTAAAAGAACAGCCAACTTTATTTTTACTGGGTTAAGAGAAACCATATATGAGGTCATGATGTCAACTGTTACCTAGCAACCAGACACAGATGGCAATTATTTGAAAAGATTTTTAAATTCAAATTTCGACCTTATTTTCTGTTTTCTTTCTTAGTTGAGTGAAACAGCTTTTTGAATTCATATTATTGAATATAATACATATGAAAAAGGTATAATAAAAATATTTTGAGGCTTTATTTAACTTCCTTTTTGATATCTGAGTTGAAATTTTAAAAAAAATTTCCCTTGTTCTTCATAGTGTCAATTTACACAGAAATAGGATCTCTTAACATCCCTGACAAGTTTGACAAAATCATTCAAGTTTGTTTAACAAATAAATAAAAGATACTTACAAGCTCGGACGTGTTTACTCTTGTTTGGTGAATCTGGTTTCTGATCAACAGTAGGTTTAGGTAGGGAAGACTTGTTGGCTGCAAATAAAATTCAAAATAATTAAAAAAATGTTCATAAAAAGGAATAATTCAAAGTCAATTCAATTGACAGAACTTAATTTTATATTTTTATTAAGTTCTTGAAAATATTCATAGGTTCAGTTCGAAAAGTAAAAGGTAAACAAAACCAAAACATCATCTGCAAATAAGTTCACAGCTCACACTATGTATAGTCTTGTGAACTGTCCAGGCTGAGTCAAATTTCCACCAAATTTGAAAATGTTCAAAGACTTAATGCAAAAAAACATCTTAAAACTTACGAATTTCAGAGCACGTTTTCTTATCAATATTCAAATTGAAATCATTTTGGCAGACACAGCTATATTTAACATCAGAAGGACTGGGTAGACAGAAATGTTGGCAGCCATGATCTGCTGGGCATCTGTTGGACCCTGAAATCAAAAAAAATAAAGTTATTGGAGACAGGCTGTTTAGTTCAGTGTATTTATGGAATGGTGACACTGGGACAACTCTTGGAGACACTGGGACAACTCTTGGAGGCACTGGCACTGGATTTAAGTGTGAACGCAATGTAAACCAAGAGTAACCAGTCGTCTAAAAAGGAATTCTGAGTTGCCTCCTGTTTAACTTCACCGGACCAGCACTGGTAATAGATCGATTGTCATGGTTACCTCACAAAGCAGCTCTAAAGTTAATTTTATCAACTTACATTGTGGTTGTTTGTATTCGTGAAAGATATGAACATCAGTGGGTTCGTTCAGATCTAAAGCAACTACTGTTGGTTTACCAATTCCAAATTTGTTCATTTTCCGTACTGATTCAGATTTCCAGTCTGTGTAGTAGATGAAGTCTTCAAAAACAGCAATTCCGTATGGATGGTGGACGTCAGCATGAGAAGAATGAACAAGTCGTAAGTCATTTCCTTCATAATCACTGCTTACTATTTTATGTAATTTGGCATCCAACCATAATAGTCTTTCATTTACATAATCTACACAAAAAATATAAAAATTAATAACACTGAGAGTAAATAAAATAAATAAATAATATAACTTTAAGATCTTTAGCTTTAGTGACGTTGTTTGGTAATATCTGTTCGGCTATATTTCATGTAATTATGTGGCCAGTAAAGCAGACAACAGTGTTCAAAAGGTAACGTTAAGAATGAAACATCTTTTGAACAACTTTATGAAATAAGAATGCCTAGACGAGATTTTGTAGGAAACTGTAATATCTGACAGAAACTATAGTCATATATATCAAAAGGTTAAAATCTTCTGTCATAAGGAAATATAAGAATAGCAATGAAAAACCTACCAATAGTGATACCGTTGGGCCATTCAATAACAATATTCTGTTTAGGTTTATTCTGAATAATAACTTGTCTGTTGCTGCCATCCATTCCACATTTCTCAATCTTGGGATTCTCACCCCAATCAGTCCAGTACATATAACTGAAAGAGAGAAATTTAAATGAATTAGACTTATGTCCTTTTTTTCAGCTCCCGATAGAGTTGATGAAGAAAGAAGAGAAAAATGAGAATTAGTTTGCAGAAGGACTTAAAAGGGAACAACAAACTATCAAAAATGACCCCCTTATCATTGAAACAGAAAGCATGGACTTAAAATGGTATCCAAAATGATCCTCTTATTATTGAATTAAAGACCATTATCACCTTGTTAATGATATTTACTAATATACAGATATTTCACTGCATTTACAGTTTACTAAACTTGTAACCCTGCTGAAACCAATATTCATGTAGAACTAAAGTCATTTATTTTTTATTTTTAAATGATATGCAAGGAATGGAGACTTACCCATTAGAAGGATCCAAGACAATAGCTCTAGGTTCATCTAAATCACTATCAATTAAAACACGTCTCATTTTACCATCTAGTGTTGAGACTTCTATTTTATTATAGCCTGTATCAGTCCAGTAAAGATGTTTGTGGATCCAATCAACTGCGATACCGTCTGGTGTATTTACGAAGGTATCAGCCACTGTAGTTACTGTTGTATTATCATCTATATCAGCACTGAAATAAACAAAATTTAAAATTCATATCCAATTCAATCTCCACATTCACTTTTGGCAATAGTGCAGCAAAAAGAGTTTTATTGAAAAATTAATGGTAATGCTTTCCTTTTGCACTGCTTCCTACAAACAGATGAATTGCTCCTCAGTCTCCTGTGTCTATCATTGAAATTCGTATGATGTTTTTCGTCGATTGGGTTTAAATCTAAATAAATACCTTAAAATCTTTTCCATACTGACGTCAGTCCAGTAAACTTTGTTATTTCTGATATCATAATCCACGGCAATGGCACACTCGACACTGGCATCTTTCACCAACAACGAATAATCAAACTTCCTCTGATCAGCGATATCAATTCTTCGTAGATCTTTACGATTAGCCAGTAAGAGTTGTGGGCCTTTACCATCAACACGGCAATGTTTATTTTCGTCTAACATATATCCTTCTTCACAGCTACATTTAAATGATCCCTTGGTATTGGTACAGAGTTGAGAGCAGGTTCCAGGTGTCTCACATTCGTTGATATCTATACATTCAGTAGTGGTGTTGAGTTTGAAACCTTTATGACATTGACAGATATATCCCCCTTGATAGTCGTTAACACATACTTGGTTACAACGATTGTTTTTATCTTCACATGGATCAACTGAAAAATAAATTTAATTTTTGAATTTCCTGATGAATTCACAAGTGAAATGATATGGAGAAACACAGATATATATACATCAATATTGCATTTCAGACAACAATAGATGCAAATCAGAACAGATTTAAGGTGATTTCATTTAGTCGACTTTAGTAAACACTTTGCTATATCCAGAAGATTATCGAAATCATAAATTTAATGTTCTGTTTGTGTGAACATGTCAAAATGCAGGAATTTCTAAACGTAATAAAGTGATCATTTCATGAAATGTGATTTTAAAAATGTCAAATTTCTAAGAAACAAGACTGTCTATTCAGCAACTAAAATCCTTTAATTTGATAAATGAACTCTACCACACATGCATTTTATAAGTATAAACAATATGCATGTGAGGAGAGTCCAATATATTTTAGGGATGTTAAGTACATAAAATATTCAGCCTTGCAAAAAGAAAACCCTAACTAGTGATGACTTAAAAATGAAAATAAAATTATACACATAAACATTTCTAAAAAAAACAAAATTGTGCGATTGGAAGGTCGTTTTTGATGGGTCGTTACACAAGGGAGTTAACACTTAAAAAAAACGTTCTACTACAGACAACAAATGTGACACGCTTATGTACCTTTGGTAATATTCCTTATTTTGTCTGAATCAAAATAAAACATGAACAAATTAAGACTTGAAAACAGAAAACAGTCAGTTTATGAGAAGAATTTTATGATGATGAAAATAATGGAAACAATTGAAAGAATGAATGCTAAATAAAATCTGAAGAACCATTTCCGCTGAAAATGAGCAAATTTCTGAAATATAACACCAGAACCCCCTTACTAGAATTTTGGATGGTTTTTTAAATAAATTTACAAAAAGGTGAAGAACAATTTCCCTGTACCCTAAAATGATTTAATTAAAGAAAAACAATTCCAAAAGTATTGCACCTTCACCTGGACAATTGTATTTTTTTAAAGCTATACCAATAACCCCCATTGTTCCTACCCATTCCCCCACCCCTAAAATAAAATTCATCTTACCAGCATCAGCTTTACAGTTAAATCTCTCTGGATCTTCATCCTCAAACATTCCACAGTCATTCTGATGGTTACAGACTTTATGCATGGGGATACATTTTTTACCGTTTCCTTGACAATCAAACTCATTCTTCTTACACTGTGTAGCTAAAATATACAATATCTAACAATTAATAACAAGCCTCAATACATAAACCATAACCATAAACTATAAACCATAACAACACATTGACGTAACATAAGTAACAGTCAATCAACTTTTCACAAGAGGGAGTATATCAATTATAAGTTCACCAACAGAATCACTCACCCAGTGGTGAGAGTAAATAAACCTATCACTAAAGATCCTAACCGCAAAACCAAAACGAAATTAACAACAAAGAATGCCTTTTATATTTATGAATATATAATAAGAAAAATAAATAAGTCCAATACTTACGACAACCCTCTTCATCAGAATTATCATTACAATCAGGATTGCCGTCACATTTTAAAACATCAGAAATACAATAACTTTCCTCAACACACATAAACTGATCACTTCGACAAGTTATTACACCTGTAATACAGTCAATGAAAAAAGTGAATGAATGAATAAATTATGGACAATAATCAAAGATGTTTGAGTGATCAGACCACATTAGAAATTAAGACGGAAGGACCTCCTACCTCTAAAATCATTTGGAGAATACGTGGCCAGGGTTTCATTCAAAACAAACATTTTCAGTCAATATGATTTTCTATGTATCTGAGATATAATATAAGTTTATTCAGTCTCAAAAAATTAAGTGTGTCTGAAAAAAATTATGAACTTACAATCATGTTCATCAGATTCATCTGTACAGTCAGCATCACCATCACATCTCCATGACATATGGATACATTCAAAGGTTCCGTTACACACAAACTCAGTTTTAGAACATTTCGAGCCAATCAATGCTGTGTCGCTACAATTCTTTTCATCCGAGCCGTCCTTACAATCTAAATCACCATCGCAAACCCAGGAACTTTTCACACACAACTTATTTTCACATTGAAATTCATCTGTTTCACAACTCTGGACAGCTGTAAATTAAAAATGGTTTCGGTAAGAATGCAGATCATTTTGAAAGTAAAACAGCCATCATTCATTAAACTAATATTAAAAGAAATTCTTATTCCTTATCAATGTGTGCTAGAAAAACATACTGTATAATGACATGACTGTATAGCGACCGTTATATAAATAATTTTGAAACTTACGACAAAGTTTTGGATCCTCGTCTGATTTGTCGTAACAATCATCATCTTGATCACACATCCATCTTTCTTCGATACAGCGGCCATTTTTACACGCAAATTCACCTTCTTTACAAGTTACTTTGGCTACAAATAAAATTTCAAAAGTTTATTTTGAGTGATTTTAGTGAGGGGAAATAGAATTGTAAGCCTTCAATTCAATACTGAATTTATATAAAGGTTATATATTCAATCATCAAACCAAATACTTACTGCATTCTTCATTTTTCTCATCCGCTTCATCATCAGCACAGTCCGTCTGTCCATCACACATCCAAGCCCTCGGTATACACGCCCCATTTCCACATTGAAACTGATCTTCTTTACAAGTCTTATTGGCTATAATTAAATATCATTGAAAATAAATATTCTGTTATTTTGTCTTGTTGAGAATATTGAGAATTTTAATTTCTGCATACTATAGTTTGAACCCGATAGCGCTGATAAAACCAAGTTCACTGGATGTCATAGACTATCTTGGACTAATGAAATGAGTACTATTGCGTCACACCTTCTTGGGCAAATGAAACAAAACAAGTTTAGACTCTTTTTTGATGTCACAAGCTTAGGCTATAGGTCTTGGTGCATATCTCAATGGATATTAGACGCATTTGACATCCTATTGTTCTAAGTTTTTCTCCATGTTCTGTTTATACATTGACACTGGCTGGCTTTGTTATGATATCAATATGTTAGTAGGTCTAATAGAAAGGAACAGAGACACAGAGAAAATGGGAACAGGTTAAAGTAATAAATGTGTTAAACATGAATAATGATGTTGATTTAACCTATTTTAATATTCATCTGGTATCAAACAGGTCATCAGCCTAGCTAGTCTCATGTTTATCTTAATGTTAAATATATTCTAGCTCTCATAACTGTACAAGTCTTATGCATGTTCTGAATTCTATTCCAATAGAGAATAGAAACGACAAGCCATATACTGGCTCTTTTTCCTCTCAATTCATGATCAATATTTAGTACATTGCTCTTGATGGAGAAATTCCAGTGCCACTAGAATCTCACAATTTTATTCTTTATTTTTTCAACTTATTAGAACTTTTATTTAAATCTTTCCCTGCAGATGCCAAGAATCTAATTTCAGTGAATTTCGAAGAATTGGGAATAAAAGTCACAGAGTCCATTTTTCATTGATATTATATAATGACTTTGAAAATATCACGACCTGACCTAACTCACTGAATCAAGGTTAAAAACATTATCAAATTTGACATTTTTCAACCATTGGTTGTTATGAATATCAATGTGTCCCACTTTTAGTACATTATTTTGTGGCCTCCATTGAGGCATTAAATATTTATGAAAACTGAAGTTACGTATTTATAAGTGTAGAAAGCAACGTCATGAAGAGGCAAAATTAGGCTTAAATTCCAAAGCCTGTATTTAGAAGTTGAAAATCTATTTTTATTTTAGAAAACAATAGCACGAAGGGTAAAAATTTACAGAAATAAGGCTTAAATTCCAAAGCCTTCACGCCAATAAAGGGGATATATTTGCATATCGAGAACCATTAAAGACTATGTATTTTTCTAAATACCGGTATACAATTACATATATTTTTATCCTACCAAAGAAATACAATCTTAAACAATTTGAATTTTAAAACCTTATGAATTTGGATGAGAAACAAATTCACAAAACAACAAGGTCGAAGGGTCAAAAGTAGAGGTGAAAAACAAGGATATTTTGAAAGAAATTCAGTGATGCAACATAACATATTGTGCAATTTTATGAAACAGGTTTTGAAAAGCTATGCAAATATTCCATTCACTGTAACTTTCTATGTAATCCAAGCCAAGCGTTCACCTATATTTTATGACTCATCATTTTACAATTTATAATCTAATAAACTTGATGACATTCCTGTTTGTCAAAATATAAACTGTTCTATATTTTTGTCACTTTTAACGGTTTTCGGGGTAAAAATATGGTTGGAATTTTTTAAAAAGAATAAGATTAAATGAAGATATTTTTTTTGACTGAATCTTAAAATGTCTGTCAATAAAAAATTGAACAGGGGCAAGACCTTATAGTGTATCAGATGAAATTCAGTTTCACAGGTTTTTTTCAAAGAAAAGTAATCTACATACAAGAAGAGTAAAAGCAAATTTAGTTTAAAAGGTAAGTTGCAAGAGATGATATGAAGGTGGCATAACCAATACTTTTAACTACTGCATCTCAAATGAAATGAAACTGAAATCTTTCAACTCACCACAGAATTCTGGTTTTTCGTCCGAGCCATCTCTGCAGTCAGTATCTCGATCACATTGCCAACGACTTGAGATACACTGTCCATTGTCACAACGGAATTGATCTTCATCAGAACATGTTACAGCTAAAAAGAAAAGATTAAAATAATGTACAATTGGACAACTTCTAAGGTCAAGAAAAATTCTTGGATTATTTAAAAACTTTTTTAAAGAATCAACAATTACATGAATTAATATAATCTATAAGCTTCTCTTCATGTTTGTTTGCTTCTTTTTTTTTTAAGTTTGAAGGTGTTACAATTGTTCATGTCATGGAGCTTCTACATTTAATGACAATTATCATCTAATTAGCAAACAGCAGTTAATTAATCCAGTAATTAGGCTAATCAACTCCTAATAAGAATTGTTATTGTATGTAGGTTTGATTTCAAATATGATCATAATAAGCTTATATGATGCTAATGGACTTATTAGTTTTGTTATATCGTTAGACCTTGTTTCTTTGGGGGAGGGGGCGTAATGATATTCTAAAATACTTGGTGGGGTGGGGCCGATGTATGATGAATCACAATTTAGACCATTTGATTAAAAATCGTCTGTTAAATTTAAAACTATTTTGTTTCATTTTTGGCAATTAAAATTTTCAATTTCCTCCCAATATCAATTTTACCTGTGCGGTTAAAAATGTCATTTAAAGATGAAAGGGGGGCGCGGTCACCGGTTATATTACTGTCAATAAAATCTCAAGTATTTACACATTTACATTGGGTATGTCCACAGTCTGGAATGGCTACAATTCTATTGGTTAAAACCACATAGTACGACATGTTTCAACCAATCAGAAGTAACTGGGTCACCTTTAGATACTGACCTACTTTTCTCTAGTGTGGGAGAAAATCAAAGAAAAATAATTTTTCTCGCTTGAATTTTCAAATATTTTGTTAAATTCTGTATGTTGCTTTTTTGGAACTAACAATATTTCTAAATTAACCTAAATTAAAAACCTCAAAGCTCTGAGAAAATTATTTGAAGGTCTAAAGACATGACAAGTGCGCAAAATGATGATGAAATTTTCCATTGCCGTAAATTTTGAGTGACAGTTGAATGAATGAGATAGCCTATTTTTTTCGATTTTTATCAAAAAATTAAATGTCAAAGGCTAGCCTATCCCACAAAATAATGAAACCGAAATCCTAGTCTAAGCCAAGCATAAGTGTCTGACGTAGGCTACCTGCCGGCACTGCCCCACCCAAACGAAACGGGAAACTGGCAATTTTCGCTTCAAAGCCCATTTTTTAGGAACTTACCACAGTCGATTTCATCGGATCCGATTCCTCCGGGTTCTCCGTCATTGCAATCACTGTCTTTATCACATCTCCAACTTGATGGAATGCATCTCGAATTTTTACACGTAAACTGCGAGCTTGGACATTGGAATTTCTCCGTCGTTGATTCTGAAATATCAAAATTAAAATGTTTCAAATCATCTCGATTTCAAGTTCGAACAGAAATAGAGCCCCGTTGACAACGACGAAAGAAGAAAGCACTTGTTTTTAAATTTTCCAGCGGCATAGGCCTGGCTTGAAAATTATAAAAAATGTTCCGCGTTTCTGGGGAAAAATGACAGCATTCAGGAAGATGATATAACACCCCGACAACAGTAAGTCATAACTGAATGAGTTTTTAAAATCTACAAATTTAAAACGGGCACCCGAAATCGAAGAATCGACTTTTTTGGATTAGAAGCATTGACTGATCGAATGACATGACGTGTTTTTTACTCACCGTCTCCTCGTGTTGTTTGTAGTACCAGTTGTATCGTCAAATACCATGAAAATAATGCCCAAAATAATTTCTTCATCCTACTTTCCGATAGAATTATAATTTAGACTGCCACTAAAACACGAATTTACACAAGTTTAAGGAAATTTTTGACCAAAATGTGGTAAATTCCTGGAGGTGTACCGGCTTGTCGTTGAGCGCCGCGAAACAACGTTGATGTTGAAACAGTCTGCAAGCTGGGCTCTTGATTTTCACTCCCTCGTAATGGTAGATTGACTAGAAAATATTCCCTGATATTTTTGCAATTTAAACCTCTAATTCTACCTTGTTGCTTTGAGTTCGATCCGTTCTGAAAATGATTCCACTTTTTAAAAACACAATTGTCGAATGTTCCTAAGAATTACTCACTATTTGGCAAAGCGTCAGAATATCATGAATATTAACAAGTAAAATCGGATGATTCTCAAGTTGCTGCTGAAACTAGGGCACTATGACACCGGTGCTGAATTTTCCCAAAATATCAAATGAAAATAAACTTGAAAATTTATCCCGTTGAAAAATATGAGAGTAAATTATATTCCTGTGCGTTTACCAGCACGCCCTGTAGATTTCTAAATTCAGTATGGGAGAAATAAACGGTTGTATTTTGACAACGGAATGTAGTGACGTATTTTGTATATCGTACGATACTGATTATGAGTTCATTCAGGTAATACTGGCTTCTGATTGGCTGAGAGAACCAAGCTTTACTATTATTACTATGATGTCGTACGATTTCGCATGTTATCCACTCAATTTCCATGTTTTTGCCAAATAAATGCCCTTAATGACCAAATATCACCTTAGAAACTATATTTTTACTTAATGTTTAAGTTTTTTGACATTTAAATCCTAAGATATACCTACATTTTATTTAACTTTTGATTTTATTTGCCTTTCTTGTATCATGACTTCTAAATATGGCCCACCCTACCTTAAAATCTGTTATAAGGTAAGTTTTTTATAAATTGTAACATCATTTCATTTCAAGCAATCAGCAATATTTAATTTAGATAAACCTAGGTGTCTTATCCGGTTTAATGAAATATGGCGGATCATAAAGAAATCAATAAGGGCCTACCCGAGGCCCGGCAAGAGAGCGTCAGTCATTCAGGTACAAACACAACCGTTACAACTTGGCGCTTTTACATTTCCAAGAATTTAAACTTTGCCAATTGGACACACATTTGAAAAGAAACGTTCAATCTAGGGGCTAGCTTGAAAATATAAACAACCAGTTGACTGTGATTGAAACAACAAATGTTTTTCTATTATTATTATATTTATTGTATTATAAGCAGTTTCCTGTTTTTTTTTGCATGAAATCTTGTTTTAAACACATATTAAATAAGTAGACTATTATTCCAAATAGTTTTTTTTATTGGGAAATATGTTAATTATATTCTTAAACATACATAATGGGCCTAAAGCTAAATTATAGCCTATCGTAAGATTTAAGTATATTGAATTATATTGCCTAATGCAGTCTCAGAAAATGCATACTGATGGATTTTGTGTTTACTTTAGGCGTATAATTATAGTGTAGAACTGACGTAACAATGTGTCCAATATTGGTTGCCCCGAGTTTTTGACGAATGGTAAAACAAGTTTGAATAATATATTATCAAATGAATTATAGTTTATTATCTCTACATGTACTAATAATATAGTATCTCGACAATTTCTAACTAAACATTTTAAATTAAGTTTTGTGATTATCAATATCATTAATAAACGATACTTTCCTTCATCACTTTAAAAAAATAATAAATTTATTAAGATTGTTACTTACAACAAATGGATTATCAGCCAAATAAGATTTGATATCAGAAAACGGATATGCTCTTGCATAGCGCTCGTGTGATGTTCTAAAAATAGAAATCAAGAAATAAACAGTCTTGATTCATCAATAATAAATAGAAGGCAATAACCTTCGATTAAAGGGACGTAAAAATACTGAAAAAAGCCTTTGAATCTATCTATTTTGAACTATGAAATAAAAGGGCGTGTATGAATGAATGAATAATATAACCCTGATTTGTAATAAATATTAAGCCAACCATTTGGACTTTCTGAAAGGAATGTGACAGCTCGCAGGGTGTATTGGAAGCAATGTAAGGGTGTGCTGAATATCAGAAATTGCACCAGGAATCAGGTGATCAGGTAGAATTGTCAGAGTTTTTGGAACTAGGTATATAGACTCAGAATTCAAAATATTTGAATGAATAACTAGAGTGGGTGTGGGAGGTGAGGAGGTTGAAGGGAAGAGGGTATACGGAGAGAAGGGGTAGGCATATTGACTTGAGATATTTAAATACAGTTTGAATAGGTAACCAGGTGGGTCAGATCACCTGTCACGTGATGATCGATATTGATTGAATATAAACAAATAGTGGTGATATATCAGTTATTATCTCGACCCCACACTGCATTTATTACGTCAATTTTATTAATTATCTTTTATCAGTCCCATTCAATCTACAGTAGGCTACGTCTGGTAATTTTTTCGTGTCAATTGCTTTGACGCAATCATATTCGGTGCTCTATAACTGATATTTAACTGGTAGGTCAGAGTAATAAAAAAACACTCAAGGGTCTGCCTAGTTTAATCCCCCCCACCCCCTAAAAAAAAGTCGGACCAGACTCGTTTCTGGACGGAACGCCTTGCCTATATGCCTACTATAAGCTTCGAATTTGGCAAGTTTAAAATCAGTTATTTAATGTCTATAAACATGTATCAAATTGTACCAGGATGAAACGTGACACCCCTATGGTTATTATTAAATATTGATTACGTACGAACAGAATTCAAATATGAGAAATAATCATACGATAGAATAATATTATGATCACGTGATAGTAACTCTATTGACACCCAAAATAAACAGGAAGAACCAACCCTTGCATTATTAATCAAACAAATTAGTCAGCACTGGATATGTTTCCTTCCAATAAAGTGGTAGAAAAATAGTAAAAATCAATTTTGGCTAACCATTTCACTTTTTTGAATTAAAATCCGACGCCAGGTTTTACTACAATTAAAAAAGCTGATACACTGCATCATTGTACTTCGTCAAGGGCGTTATCAACCTTATCTCGTGCAGTTATTACCAATATCACTATGGCGTCATAAATTCGCGCTAGTATATTATAAAGCCTACAAAATGAAGACACTCTGTGCGTTAGGCTGCGTTTATGGTGAATCGCAGGAGGGAAGGACGTCGAATTTAGTTCTGAAAGGTGATATGCATGGCTGAAACGGAGTTTTATCAGCTATTTTTAAACAAATGCTTAGACCCAGGCCCGTAGCTAGAGGCCAGGGCCAACAAAGAAAATTTTGCACCCCCCACCACCACCACCCCACACTAAAAAATTTAAATGATTTAAATGACTTGTTAAGCCCCCTTCAAAAAATTTGCCCTCCCCCTTAAGACCCTGGGCTAGCTACGGGCCTGATAAAACTTCTGTATGCCTTTAAATAACTAGAATATTCGTTCAATCAATGGTTTAATGTCGAATGACTTGTGAGCCTGAATAAAGATGGAGCCGTCATAATTTCATGGAGTGTGCTTTATCTTTGAATCGAAGCCATCCTTAAAAACTCAGTCCCCAACTGGACACGACCTTCAGGGGTTAAAATGATGAAACTCGGGTAAGCAGGGACACATAATCTAATGTCAGTGCGTAGTCTAGGCCTTGTGAATCAAAATCCTATGGTCACTGACGCACTGAGGAATCAAGTGGTCTTGAATTTTGAAATAAATCGTCTTGTGATTAAAATAACTAGATAAGAAGAAACTCACAACACGTTTCTATCTGTCATAGTATAAAGATAGTTATATAAACATGACCCATTTTTTTTTATGAATAAGTGATACAAAAGGGCTCTCAAATATACCTCTATTACTTATATACAATACAATTATATTATGTTGATAAATGAATATAAAAGATTGTTGTAAATCCTGTACGTCTTACAGGTAATCCTAAAGGTAAAACAAGACTTATTTCTCAATTCATAGCAGGATGGGCTTCATATAGTTATACATATATATTTATATAACGCATAACTACCAATCTATGACGTCAGCAAGCAGACTCGGCTTCTTGGAAGTGACGGGAAACTTGGTAAAGAGTTATAAGAGTTGCCCCCCACCCCACCTTGAAAAATGGACTACCCACCTGGAAAAACGGCATACACCATTGTCTCTCCGGATATATTACTAGCCCCTCCGAATATATTACTTGCCCTTCCGAACAATCAAGTCTGGATACGGGCCTATACTCTTCTATAGAAACATTGGCCAAAGTCACAAGTAAAGTAAAGCAACTTGGTGGGAAAAATTATCTATTCATTTAAAAATATATTTATTAAATTATTTATTCACAAAATATTTATTTTTTATCTAAAAAAAATATTTATTTAAAATTTATTTATTTTTCAAAAAAGGATATTTATTTTAATATATATTTATATGTGTAAAAAAATTTTTTATTTATTTATTAAAATATCCATTCGTCAAAAAAATATTCAATTATTTAAAAAACACTATTTATTCATTTATTAAAAACATTAATCATTTATTACAAAAACCAATATATCATTATCGTTTTTTGTG